CATATAAACATACTACGTATGCAGCATTCAATTTTATGATTTTCGTAACATTTCCCACCGGCTTCTACGTATGTATGTAATAATTAATGGATCGAATTGGAAATACTTTAATGTCAGCAAGGGTTGATTGGCATCATTATAGCCTTAACCGGTGGACCCGACGGGCGCAGTCACGACCTACATCTCCACAGAACACAACACGAGATCACACGAGGCTTTTATCAAAATACCACAGTTACACAATCGGAAAGGAAACGGCGTATGCGGCAGGTTTACTCGCAGATCAAAAGAACAAAAACCACAGAATAAGAGTTATACAATATAGTCGATTTAGGTAAACTCTTGGTCTATGTATACATACTTTTGTTATATGTAGGTACATAGTTATATCATCATCATCAGCATATCCATCGTTAATTGTCCACTATTGACTGAACATAAATCTTCCTTATGAAGGGGGTTTTCCAGTAGTTGCGCTTGGCAAACGAATTGGCAACCGCAAATAAGCTTTTAGTGATGTTTTAAGAGGAACGCTACTGCCCAGTCTGTAGACTGGGATCGGAGGCAGAAAACGAGCATCTGCGTTCATCGTGGCATTCGTCGTGGGTGTCATCCCACGAGAAGGGAACAGATGCTCGTTCTCTGCCGGGACCACACGGCATACATAAATATAGGTATAGACATAGGTACATATACAGAAATAAAATAATTCCACTTTTCTAGTTCCGAGAGCTGTGTTTCCGTGTAGTCCCGGCATAGAATAGGCCACCTCTTCCTTTACAGTGGATATCGTAAAAGGTGACTAAGAAAGGGCGAGGGATGGGCAACAGCGTCTCTCTTAAACCATCTTTAAAGCCTAACTGCGGTTGCCAATCCGCCTGCAAAGCGTAGCAACTACTGGCAAAACCCCCCAGGAGGAGGCTTATGTTTAGCAGTGGCCAGTTAAAAGCTGATATGATGGTAATGATGAAGTTGTGTAACGGTCGCGTACAATGCAGATTCAAAGGACTCCTCTCACGAACGCTCAGGTTATACAGTGAGCTCCCTGGCTACGTTTTCCCTGGAGATTACAACATAGGGTGTATTAAGATTTCTTTATGTGTACATATTGTTAACTTATGGAATCTGTATCATTCTTTGAGAGGAACAATAAAAAGTTTTTCATTCATCATACCTACACATAGATTAGATAGATAATCCGTAGAGAAGCTACGTAGGTAGGCAATTTTAAATTGCAACTATAGAACAGAGCATACCGCACGATCTCTGAGGGCCTAATTGACAACCCACGGTGCAATTGTTTTGGGAATCGGTTGGTGTTATAATGATCGACACGACCTTAGCCTGCTTAGGTTTGTTTGGGTGGCTTATTTTTTTTTTAACAAGATGTTCTTTACCCCAACCAGAATGGGGGGAGGGGTCAGTAGGTATTAGTAATAGTGATTTTTTAATGTATGATAATGGAATGGTAACACTGCCTGCGCAATCGATATACACTGGTGGGGCACCAGTGAGCAATGAAAATGAAAAGACCCGACCAGGTATATTGCTAGCAATGGGGCTGGTAGTCTACATTACTAACGATCCCTCCCCTCTAGCAAGTCAGTTGGCCCATCAGGACAATATCCAGGAAGAACCGCGTGGAGGTCAACCTGATAGATAAGGTATATTGCTAGCAATACGAAAGTTAGATCCCATTACTAACAATCCCTGTCCTCCCCCCTCCTCGACATTAATTTGGATGTTGCTAAAAATAATTATAGTCTTTAACGTAACAACCAAATGAATAATCATTCTATAATGATTCTTAAGGCCTTGCTCGTATCAACAACAAGAAAGTCTAGAGGAATTGGGACAGGGAGTACATTTAATAGTTTAGACAATTATTCGTAGACGTTCATTTATCGGAGCACGCCTGATCGTTGTGGTTTTAATAATTACTGCCTACTGCCTTCTGTATTTACTGCACAAGTCAAATTGTTTGCAAGATAAACGTAACAACTAAATATTACCTAATGAGGGCGAATAGAGGTGTACCTGCCTTTTTGTGTTGTCTGCATAACGAATTGAAGAGTGCAAGGTTATAGGAAGGTCATTGAACTACGATAATTTGATTATAATGTCATCCTTTTAGTACCTTTACTTAGTTTACAAGGCAGTGATTACCTTTTTTTAGTAATATAAATTACAGTGTTGTTAGATTATTAGTTATCCCGATATGGATATTAATTGCACGCGTCAGCTACACAATGTAAACAACATCATCAAATTTATATAAATATTATATTTACGAAAAATTCTTATCCTTTAATTTTTTATTTTATTTGTTTTCTCTTACGGCCTATAATGCCTTAACTTATCGCTATGAAATTTGGTATACACCTACTTTATAAGATGGAGAAAGACATAGACTACCCTACCTTATAGAGTAAATTTTATTATCTCGGTCACGCAGGTGAAATCGCAGGTAAAAGCTAGTTAAAAATAAGTAGAAAGAAATGAAAAAAAAACTATTAAGAGTATAGAAACTTTTTTTTAATTCGACTTCATCATATCATTTCAGTCCTCTCTAATCTCTAATTAAATATAAATCAGAATGTATACAATTTCGGAGCTTGCCTCTATAGGACTGTATATAAATGTTAGATTGTAAGGCCGTTGTTATAAATTCGAGCACTTACTCATGCAAATGAGAAGAGACCTCAGCGAAGCACGTCATTTAATTAATATATGAATCTTTATTGATTAGTTTTCGTGTTGGATATTATCCATATGTTGTTAAAACATCAACAAAACATGGATAGACTTATTAAAATAATTTAAGATTGATCCTTAAAAAAAACCGACTTCAATTGTGGCTAAACCAGTTATTTTAATTGAAAAACTAAACTACGGAACCAATTTTGATAGAATTTCTATGGAATCAATCTAAAAGTATTAACTGATAAACCGATAAAATGAAATTTGAATTAGGTCCACCCCTCATGACGAATTCATGAAAAATTTACTATGATGGTTTCCAGAGATCGCGTGGAGGTTGACTCTGTAATTTCATAGCCATATCAGACCCTCCAAATTATGCAAGAACAGCTGCTTCACAGCAGGAACCAGGACCACGAGTGAGAGAATTTTATACATAGGTGATACAGTCTCCCTTTGGCCTTTGTTATTTTTTCTATTGTCTGATCATTTAAAAATAACGATTACACGATCGAACTAATTCTAATGAACATGTCAGAAAGGAAAACCAAAAATGGACATAGACATTGGATTAGCGACATTTAAATTTACATTTGACTTTTTGCAAAAAAAAAAAACTTGGGTATAATACCTATTAAAAAAAAAACAAGATAAGTATTGTTGTTATACAGACATTAAATTAAAATGCGTTTATTACCAAAAAGATATAACACAAATATTTAACCTTAAAATTTTTATTCAAATGGCTAGTAAACTATTCACAATTTTCATGAGTCTTTTTAAACACGTGTATATCTATTTACATTTAGGCCATGGATAATAGTGCACCATTCCACTGTATTCAAATATAATATATATTTACTTTTGTGCTACTGGTTTTATTATAATATTACCTATTCTATTTATTTATTTTGTCTTATAAATTCTACATCTTTTTAATGTGTAAACACTCATTTTATTTATTAAATAATACGTCAATATACACTTTAGGCGTAAATATATATACAATTTAGGCGTAAATATAATACTGATAAAAAAACGTGTCAGCTAATTTAACAATTAACTGACAAAAAGTTGATCCATTTTTTAGTTTCGCTCGAGGCTCTATATAATCTAAGCTCATGCGAAAAAGGGCCTTAGCAAACTGACAAATGGACGAAAAGAAAATTGATTCTATGAGGGTTCCATTTTCTCTTATGAAGTACAGAACCCTAAAAATAATAAACTTTTGAACAAAATATAAGACAACTCGTTTACTTATTTAATCGTTTATATTAGTTAGAATTGTTGAAAATTCTAGTAATATATTTATACATACATCGTAATTTGAAGTTCGGACCAGTAAGCTTTTTTTTCTCCTCTCTTGCCGTCGTTCACACTCTTATTATCGTTAACACTTGGAAAGTATTTTTTTTATACAACTTAGAATGGCAAACAAGCTGACGGCCCCTCTGATGGAAAGTGGTAACCGTCGCCTATAGACATGAGCAGTAACCATGGACACAACAGAGTATACTGTTTCGTCCATGATACTACCCATGCGTTGCCATTCCTGAGGACTCAGGTGTTATTCCTCTGTACCCAGTAAATTCACGCCATATTCCACCCTTAAAACCGAAACAGCCATGCAAACACAATTGCTTCACGGTAGAAACACGAATGGGACAGAGGTACCCAAGCAATCGACTTTTGTACAAAGTCTCCCTCTGGTAAATATATATAGTAATATTATATACATTTTAAGAATACCATAAAATAACACCGGTCAGGTATATATAATAAATATAAAATTATGGAATAGTACAATAGTATTTTTATTCAAAATGTCAATTATCTTTATCTATGTTAATTTTCTTAAAACGGATCGAAGATTTTATAAATATAACGATAACTCATAACCTGTATATCTCTAATTGGACTTAGTAACACTGGTGAGAGCATCCAACCTTGTCTGAGGTCAGTTCAGACATGAACCTGTTACCATATATTTTCAATTAGCCATCACTCGAGAAATAAATTGCTATTTTCGACGTTTGAATAACAAGACCACACGATATGTCAGGGTCCCTTTCCACGTAATGTCAGACTATCCCATAATATTTTTGATCGTGGTTCCTTGCTAAATATAATCTCAGCGCGATGCAATAATTTGATGAACCCTAAGATGTCGACATTGACATTTGGTTTTTATAAATCAAATAATAAAATGTATTACCTTTCTTGTTACCTATTTAGTTCCGTGAATTGGGACGTTATTTCGAGGACATTGAAATGTAACACAACGGTTTAGTTATAAAAATATGTATATTTATATTGTTTAAGTGGTTTGTTTTATAAAATTAAATAAAAATAACATTTAATGTCTATACAACATGGTACTTATATATATAAAAAAATAATAACTTGTTTAAACTAAAATTAACAATTCATATTTACTATTAAAAATTAGTAGATACAAGTAAATCTTGTGCTTAATTATAATGATACAATATTCACTATCTACGCAGGTATCGTGTCATCACCAATATACATCACGTATGTATGCTAATATTTAAGAAGTTTTATTAGTATCAAGTTTATTGTTTTGCTCAGTTTTATTATTCTGTTCAGCTTTGATTTCATTTCGGTTAACCGGATTCACTTTACAAGTAATTTTATATGATTCAACCATTTTGACTGAATCTCGTACTAGAATTGTAGATCGTATGGTGAACGAATGAGAGAAACACGACGACGTATCACATAAGGCTGTATGGAAACTTAAATACAATCGATAATGAGTCTTATCCGTTCTCTGTTTGAGTTTCATTTCGACACGGCCCGGCAGCTTGTTCCCTTTGTGCGAACAGCTAACGAAATCAAAATCGTCCAAAGTAACGTCCTTATTATTTTCATCCCGGACACACACGTTCCAGTTTTGAGGTGCTCCTGGAGTGAACTTAACGTTCTTGGTATCTCCGTCCAAACTAACATTAAAATAAATGATTAGGTTCCCGCATTTACGATTTACGAATAAATCGTTTTGGTATAATATTAAATTCTCTGGTTCAGTGAACTTTGGGTCTGGTAGGCGTACTTTAAACACTTGACATACATTTTTGACTAAGTTGAGTAACTTGATGCTGTGATTATTGGTGTCAGCGATGAATAGGTACTTGCCGTCGGCGCTGAGAGCTAAACCGGAGGGTTCGTTGAATTTGGCGGGGTCCGCGGTCTCGATCATAGTTGGTGTTAAAGTGGTGACCCTCTGAGTGGCGACATCTACTTTCTTGATCTTGTGGTTGTATGTGTCGGCTATGTAAAGAGTTTTCGTTGTGTCACAGTACGAAACGCCTAATGGGTGCTGTAGTTTGGCATCTACACCAATATCATCCACATCACCAAAGGCGAATAGATTCTGAAAAAAAAAAATTAATGTCACTAATTACTTTCGAAATTTCCCCTTCGTTTGAAATTCTCTAGCAATGTAAAATTAGGATATAAATCTGTACATCTGTGTCAATTCTATTCTATTCGATTATAAACTCATGACGTCCCACTGCTGAGTAAAGGTCTCCCACATCTCCATCCAAAATCAACTATTCTGCATCACCTCAAACTTTAGGACATTACGCATCGCAATCAGGTATCCAGATTGATTTTTGCACACCTATCGGGATTAACACTGCCAATATGTGTCAAATTTCATTTAATACATAACATATTTAATTTCATAGAATTATAAAAATATGTAAACAATTATTGGAAAATTAAAATACTACTGTGTGTACAAATATAATGCATATAAAATAGGTTATCATAAGTACATACGAGAGGATTGCGGTCTCCGCCGCACAGAGTCGAGACTTGTCCGGTGGAAAGCGCCAGTCGTCTTATTGAGGAGCTTTCAGAATCAGCTATGAATATTTCGGGATTTGTACCTGTTCACAGAAAGAATAAATTAGAGTAACACTTACAAAAAAAAAATAGTAAATCTGGGCGTCGCAAAGCCGATATGCCTAGAGATATCAGTACCTGAACGCATCTGCATCCTTTCAAACCAGAAAATTACTAATATAATAAAGTTGTAACTATGCGATATCTGTACATATAGAAACATTTAAGATAAAATGAAATGTGGAGTTTAAATAAGAACAATACAAGCGAAAACAATATCTTTTTAGAAATTTTATCTGTCTACATGTTTTGTTCTAGCATAATACAAAAAATACTGCACCATATTGGATACGGTTTTCAGTTGTACTCCTAAAGATCTAGCCTTAAAACTGGTATATATTTTATCTTGATACCCCACCTGAAGAAGAAGACCTTGAGAAGTGGTTTATTTTGTTGGTTTTCGTGTTTCCGTAATTCACGCGTATGAAGAAGGGAGAAAAAGTTAGTAATTTAAAAAAAAACAATGTTCATTTACGATATTAATGAAAAACTGTGTATCTACCGAAGTAAAGAATCTAGTTCTGATACAATATATTATCATAATTGATAGAAATAGTTGATTATAAAAAATATGCAATTTCCATGTTTTTTTTTTTTTAATGTCACTTTCCACATGCTAAAATGAAGTTATGGACAGACCTTTAAAGTACCAGTGAGTGTTAAGTTTAATATTTTCCGTTATTAAAAACCATATTTACCGGTTCTAAGTGTAATTCCAGAGGGTTGCGCGAAGGCTGCCGTATGAGGATAGGCGCTATTGCGCGCCGCTTCATCGCCCGAGCCCGCGATACACGCACAAGTTCCTGCGACAAACAAAACATATTATACATCCACTAGTCTATGAAATTTTAAGATTTTAATCCACAAATAAGAAATTGTGTAAAAAAAAGACTGATTTCAATCGTGGTAAAACCAGTTATTTTAAAAAGTAAACTACTAAACCAATATTGCAGGCAAAATAAGATTTTTTCTCAAACATGCTTGGAAATGTGAGCATTATTTTGACAATTTTCTTAGAGTAAAATCAAAATTGCCGTACTGGACAGATACATGCGGGCAGCGGCCGACAAAAGATGAATGAAAATCCATATCTGTCGTGTTTTGCGGTCAGATAAATTACTATGTAAACTCATATCTGTCCTGTAATTTAAAAACGGAATGACCTTATACTTCGAAACATGGCTACCAAGGAGGTAACTAATAAAAGGTTTTATTTAAATTTCGAACTGGCTTTCAAATAGAAAGCTGTTTATTGAAAAAAAAAAAACAAAGGAACATTTGGCGCGTGAAAAATTATTATTGTTCGTTATTCGTCATTGAATTTAAAAAGTAAAATTGTGTTTTTGATTTCCGCGCATTGTTTGAGAAAAGTACTATACAAGCCTTAGTCACAACTAGGCATTGATTACGTATGTATGCCTCGGGTACACCTCTGCTCACATTTGCACGTTCGTCCATCAATGCCTCAGTTGCTGGCCGCTGCAGTAATGTACTATTTTTATAAATACTATACCTTCAGTGAATGTTTTGTATTTCCACCAAATAGTTGTGTCAAGGAAGAGCGCCCAAATTTGGTGAGAACCAGCCTCGGCTATTAATAACACACGACGCTTCTCGTCTTTCTTTTCTTTATCTAGGAATAAAAATAAAATTTGAAGAAAATATGTTAATGAATACAAAATATGTAGAGAATCCTTTATAAACAAAAGTATATGTGTGTGTTTACAATAGTTTAATCCTGAAGCTATAGAATATATTATAACTATTTACTGATATTGTAAATACATCAATTCTATTTAATATTATAAAAATAAAAGTAAATTTAGTTATTTGTTTGTTCATCACACACAGATCTTGTCACTTTAACGATCTTCAATAATAACTATATTAAAATTAAATGCATAAAAATATAAAGAAATAAATAACTGCACAAAAGATGATTCTTAATAAATTAGATCGTCTAATCAATAGTTCTATATTTTTCTGAGACTATCTTCGTACAGATCTCAGATGAAGAACGACATAGGCTTTGCACTTCTTCATCCCAGTCAAATGTATCTCAATCACACAGATAAAGTCGCGGGTCAAAGCTAGTAGCTTCATAAATTTATAGATTGGATTCGATTACAATCTTATGTATTTAGTAATGCAATAATAACTATATTAAAATTAAATGCATAAAAATATAAATAAATAAATAACTGCACAAAAGATGATTTCCAAAGATAAATAATAAACTATGAAAATAAGTGTGTAAGAGATGGTTTATGTAAATGGATGATAATGGAATAGTGACTCCACCTGAGATATCAATATATTTCCGGGATACCAGTATAGGTTGATAGGTGAAAATAAAGTAGATGAGTTGGTAAATCTTGACCAATTTAATTATTATGATGGTTTCTAGGGAAAACCGTGTGGCACCCTGTGGTTCCCTTTACCCCATTGCTTGCAATGGGGTGAAGGGAATGGGGAGAAAGTTCTTAATAATAGAGACTAGCTGCCTCATCGTTAGCAATATCAGGTTGAGCTCCATCAGGTCGACTTTCATGCTGTTCCTCAGAAAACCATCATGGATAATTCATCACTGATACCTCACCAACGTAAGAAATCACAGACGGATATTACTATTCCATTTACATACAATTTAAATGCGTATCAAATACCTTTGACATCTTCTTTATCGCTCTTTTCTTTGTCAGCTTCCTTACCGACGGGGGCAGGCAGTGGCCGCACCGACATGTCCATATCGGGAGTCGTGTACAAGAGTATGTCCCATGGAGACGATAATGGCTGCAAGCCTAGGCATTTGCCGCCTGAAGAATAATTAATTTGTTAGAGAATTACTTAACATATCTTGCATTCGGATTTTAAAATTAAAAGTCATTTACATTATGTAATTATTACGTTACTATTAAATACCTATATTCATAAGAAAACTAGCTGACTCGGCAAACGTTGTTTTACCATATACATTATTTCTAGAACTATTCATGAAAATTTATCGTACTACAATTATTATATTCGATTGCCATCTTGCAACACTATTGCGGCGTATAAAAATCGTGATTAAAAACAGGGGTTAATCGTAAAAAGGGTGAAAATTTTAAGTTGTATGTATTTTTCAATGCTAAATCATAATAAAATAAAAGAATTGTCCAAAAAATAAAAAAATAAAACAAATTTAGGGGTGGGTCACACTTATCATTGAGGGGTATAAAAAATAGATGTTGGCCGATTTTCAGACCTACCCAATATGCACACAAAATTTCATAAAAATCGGTAATGCCGTTTCAGAGGAGTTTGGTAACAAACACCGTGACACGAGAATTTTATATATTAGATATATATTTACATCATTGCAAAACGTCGTATTGCCATTACTGAGGAATAAGATGTCATGTTTCCATACTCTGTAATTCATTGTTAGTACAATTACGGTTATTAAGTTATTATAGCTGTAAGCTTCCCTCAAAAATAATAAATAAATAATACTTTTTGTAACATTACCCAAATTTCCATAAACATTTTGCTTTCCTGTGCCTGCTAATACTTCAACGGTCCCGTCGTCGAGATGTATCGTTCTAAGGCAGTGATTATTGGTATCGCACACTGCCAATACGCTGCCTGACAACCAACACAGTCCCTGCGGCGAGTCGAATAGAGCTTCATTCAATTCTAAAAATATATAAAATTATTCATATTTATATATTTTATATAACATATTATATTTAATACAGCAACACTTAGAGAATAGCAGTGAGTTCTCTAAATCTCCATTTATAAATATAATTAATTAATTCGTAATACTATTGTATTTTATAATTTATCGTTACAAAATCCTAAATAAATTATTAATGTTAAACAAATCTCTCTAAAAATACTCTGGTGTTGTTATATAATATAACAATTGGCACATCACATACTCACTGCCGTCCTTAAATCCACGTTCAGATCCACCAATAATACGTAGAATCACGCCCGAACAGTCAGTGAGGAGTATGCGATGGTTTCCACTGTCAGATATAGCGATAAATGGCTCTTCAGGTCGGCCGCGGTAGAATGGATTTAATGCAACCTGGTTATCATAACATTACAATTATTCGCTAAACTGAAAAAAATAGTTTAATATTTTTCTCAAACATGCTTGGAAATGTGAGCATTATTTTGACAATCTTCTTCGAGATAAATCAAATTTGGCCTGGCCAAATACATGCGGGCAGCGGCCGGCAAAAGTTGTATGAAAATCCATATCTGTCGAGTTTTGCAGCCAGATAAATTACTGTGTAAACTCATATCTGTCCCGTAATTTAAAAATGGAATAACCTTTTACTTCGAAACATGGCTACCAAAGAGGTAACTAATAAAAGGTTTTATTTAAATTTCGAACTATACAAGCAAGACTTGTATAGTATAAGAAAAGTACTATACAAGCCTTGGCCACAACTAGACATTGATGGTCTCACGTATGTGTGCCTCGGCTATGCTTCGTCACACATTTGCACGTTCGTCCATCAATGCCTCAGTTGCTGGTCGCTGCAGCAATGTACTAATATAGAACTAGTTAACTCAGCAAACATTGTTTTGCTCCCTATAAATCATATCTTAGGATAAAAAAACTATCCTATCTCTTTAAGTTGTGCTAGTGTCTCAAGTGGCACTAATAAGGAGAAAAAATGCTTGCTTGTAATGGACCTAAAAACCCCATTTCTTGCAATATACGCTAACAGGTCGCAGTTTTCCCGGAAAACATCATGATAAGTTCTTGTTGAATTCGTCAGGATAAACCAACTAACCTCCTTTCATTGGTGCCTCGCCAGCGTATACCGATAGCGAAGGCAGGGTCATCATTTCATTTCATCCATTTTAAAATTTTCATAAAAATAATTTGACTGTTTTCAGAAATGAACGTGAACATTCATTGTGACATGTTATTTTTATATATTAAGATAGTATGTTAATCGGCATCTTTGTCACATTCCTATCCTTCCTTCCTACAGTCAAATAGACGTCCTCTTACGGCGCTATGTTTTAGTTTAAAGATGGAATATAGCAGATACGAATAGCGGGTACAAAAATCAACCGCCACTGTAGGTGTAAAAAAATATTTCCTAAATCTCAGACTAGCAAAAAGCGGCACGAAATAGAGCGAAATATCGCCATATCACAGAGGGCAAGGTTTCTTTAAATGATTAATCCCATGAAGTAGTCATATTGAAGTTAAATAATTATAGTTTATTGATTAAATTAAATTACCTTACTAGGAAAGTTGAGAATTTCAATATCTTTTGCTTTCAAATGCTTAGATGGGGCCATTGGTAGGGAAGCATTGGAGATTTTAGTACCGAAATGACGCAATGCAGCTTCAACATATGCAACCAGCCGATCTCTATGGCCCTCCCCTGTTATCACAAATAAGGGCTTGCTTCCTGGGCCTGCATAGTTAACAACATAGTTATAAAATAAAATATATTAAAATATATAATGATGTTGCATAATCAAAAGGAATAAATCTTTCAGGTTAGTCAATAACATTGTTTGGAAATAATGTTAAACAAAACAAAATTAGTAAACAACACTTTTGTTAATTAAAAAATTTTTACTAAATTATGCATAATAACTATAAAGTGTTTTCATTTATCTATATTATTGATATTTTGAAAGTTATTTTTCAGTTAGAATAAAATAATTTAGCCCTTTTGAGTTATGGTTAGTTCATCTTTATTTCATCCAATTACATTTTGTATTATTAAATTAGTTTTTATTTAATTTTGTTTCATCATTTTGTCAATCCTGGTTACTTAATTTGATTTTATAAATTATAAAACCTGGATTAGATGAATACGATTAATCACGTATTATAAGATACTATTATTATCATATCAGGTATGTTTATTAAAAAATTACAGCAGACATCATACTAACCAAGAATAAGCAATGTCGGCCAGCATTTAACTCCAAGTGCAGACCAAAAACTACTTTCAGGGTCATTAACAACTGGATGGTGGATATTATACCTTTGTACTGCAGATAATACATTGGATGTATCCTTTTCATTGTTGAATTTTGCACAGTGTACACCTATCTAAAAATATTGGTAAAGTTATAATTTAAATATAAATAGTGAAGCAGCCTAAAGTTTGTACCATATGGGGAGCTTTACTCAATCTAATAAGGCTTTAGTGAAAGTAACGTATGGTATATATTTATCTAATTAGTTTGGAAGGGCATACAGTTCCTACTACATTATCCATATCCCCATGAGGTCTTACCTTGATATCTGTACACACTGTAACTCATTTGAGAGGACTTATCTAGAACTATAGGGTTGGTAATATACATAAAACTTTGTATTGTTACAAGTTATACCATATTAAGTATTCATTATTTCAACCATATGATTGCTAATAGCTTTGTTATATAAATCAAACATTGTATCATGCACAAAATAAACAGGATGGCTGTAATACCAATAAACCAGAGTGCATTGTTCAAATAAAAATGATAATGAAATTTATTACTTTTCTGTGTTGCAAACATTTAAAGATTATATAATCAATAATTTATCAATCAAAATTAATGTATGATTGTTAGCACAACATTATCTATGTATACTGGATATAATATTAATTTTAAACCCCAAATCCCTTCTTCTGGTAATATTATTAATGTTAAATATATTTGTTATGCCATTGACTTAGTTAATTTTCATAGCAAAGATAAAAATAGTTAGCATAGAATTGTAAGAATATTTAATGACATAATTTGTGTCATAATATCTGTCACAGTCAACTCATTTTACCACTCTGGGCATATGCCCTATAATGGGCCTTGATTGGCTAATTAGATTATAGACTTTTAGATATTTATTTCCTTCTATTATTCTATGATTCAAAGCCAAAACTTTTCTGCTATTGATTGATAAAGCTATAGACTGTATAAATTTTGTGCTTATTATAAAAAAGGAAAAACATTACCACAACAAGTCCACTTTCAACTTTATGCAATTTTTCCAAATACTCCAAATCAGGTAACACATGGTAACAGTTAATACAGCAATATGTCCAAAAATCTAGTACCACAATCTTCTCTGAACAATGCTGAGTTAAAGATATGGGTTCAGACACATTAACCCATTCTAAATCTGAAACAATAATTTGTAAGTTTACCTACTAATTGTTAGAGATCACTTAGAAATGAGAGAAAATATATGAAGATGTGCATTAAATTGAACTAAAGCAAACCATGCAAATAAGTATATTGAGTATATATGTTAACATGGCATGATCCTCCAAATTTTTACTTCTATGTGTGTGACCATATACAGATCTGGTGCTCTGTTTGTGTTTTTGAAGAAACTTTCTCAACAAGCCTAACCAGAGGAACCGTGAAGCAGTTGTGTTTTTTTTTGATAGGTGAAAATGGTATGGTAGCCCCGCCTGCGCTAACGGGATACACTGGTGGAGCACCAGTGAAGGGTATTAGATGAGAATGAAAACAGGTCAGTTAGCCCATCATGATGAATTCTTCAGGAATTAACCATGATTGTTTCCAGGGGGAACCGCGAGGAGGTCGAGGTTGGATATATTGCTAGCAATGGGATTCTCAGTCTCCATTACTAACAATCCCTTTTCCCCCTCATCAATATATTATAATCAAATAGGACTATATTATAAATACAAATAATAAATTTATTTATACATATCTAGACACATATTATATAGAAAAAAAATTTTTGTTTTTAATAAACTTAAATATACACTTTACCAATGTTAAAAACACTTTTACCTATAAAAAGCAGAGTTGTATTTTATTTCCAAATAAACAAAAAGACTGCAAAGTCAGGGTGGATCTCTAGTTGCAATATAATTAAAATACCTAACAAAACAGTAGAATTAGAAGGTAAAGACGATTTGAAAGAATTTAAAAAAAATTATCATTATCTATTGTGTAGCAAAGCATATATAAATTTTTAACATACTTTTTTTGAAATCCTCAATCGGCATCACCGTAGAATAAACTTTTTTTATGTGGTTTATAATCAAATTGTCCTTTTCCGCTTCTTCTGTAACTTTTTCCATAGCTTCCATCAAGTCCCATGATGCTTGAGCAACAAAATCTAAAGGGCTTGCCTCCATATTGTTGTTGGTAATTTAAAAAAATACTGAGTTCACTTTCGAAATATTTTAATTTTCAAAACACGGCTTAAAAAGGGAATTAAATAAGTAGAATTATTCAAATTAAAAGTCAAGAGATGACAATTGAATGAATGAAACAACAATAAAAAAAAAATTAAATTATATTCGGGTAAGTACTCTTTGATGCAAAAGTACTCTGTACTTGAATAATATTATCATCAATCACTACTAATGCTGTGCTGTGCCCTATGCTAAGTCAGATTGACTCGAGTATAGAAGGCGTACTATGAAATGTTTTTAAAAATGTCGGTGCCCAACGAAACACAAATTTCATGTTAAAATTACATAATGCATACCGTTTAAAAATGTTAAAATACCGTCCCTTTTGTCTTTATATAGTAGGATTTATGACGAACGAAATGTAAGGCATAACTTTTCGTTAGTTGGACCGATTTCGGTAAAAACAACAACACAAAATTGAATCAAAAATTCGGAATTTTATTTCATTGTAGACCCTCTAATTCCAATACCTATTATCAAGGATTATATTGTTATTTTATTATCGTAAATCGATGGTACCCCTATTTGATTAAATTATGATATGCAAAAAGTGTAACTGACTTCAACCATAATATAATTAATAGGGAAATTGAAAAGTAAATTCTAATGTAGAAAAGATGCAAATGATAAAGAAGAAAATGAATTTTAACATTCAGAATTGATGAAGATAAAATGTATGCATTTACAGAGACACGACAATAAGAATATTAATATATGTAATCGATATATTTAATAAATAAGAAAAGCGGTGTTTTAAACTAATATTTTCAACTGCAAAAATTAACTGACAAAAGTTGTTAATTTTTATTGAATATATTATATTAACCATTCAACTTGTGAGTTGAATGTATAGTAGGTATATATTTAGTGTACGACTTCGTCATGGAATCAAGTGTCAGTCAGTCTAGTAAACTGGTGGTCTACCATAAAATGAAATTCCGAAATTTCGGGCTTAATTTCGTGTTTTTGTTCGTATCAAAATCGACCCAGTAAATGGAGCTTAACATTTCGTTCATCATAAATCCTATTCTAATAGTCCAAAGGAATGATATTTTAACCTTTTTAATAATTTTAAACAGCATGTATTATGTAATTTTAACATCAAATTTCTGTTTCGTTCGTCCCGAAATTTCGGAAAATACTTCATGGTAGGCCCTCTGATCCTTTTAATCGTCATCATCAACCGATTAGCCTTATCGGGGTGAACGCCACAAAAAAAGAAAAAAAAAAAAAAAAAAAAAAAAACCGATTAGCCATACCATCAGCCAACTGTCATTGTCAAAAAATGTCTGTCATGTCAAGATTGTTGATATTTTGATTCGCACGTACAAAGCACTTATTTTACAAAAGAAAATTACCCACTTGAAAGATTTAAAAAAGATATAAATGTGTGGTTAATAATTATAAATTATGCTAAATCATGGACGCGATGTTTGATATATGTTATTTATCGTCCGATAGTAACAACTTCGAGCCTGACGATATCCCAAAAACAAAGGATAACGTATGGATACTTGGGAAAAAGTATAGTCCAATACAAGGTATGTACCCAATTGAAAATCTATTCAATATTATTAAAAATATAAGAGGTATGTAAGGGAGCTAAATATCAGTCCTTCCAGTCCAATAAAAAATATTTACATTCGTTACACGACAACGATGACGGCATGTTCCATGTGGTATTTTTTTTTTAATAACTAATTATTTATTATTCGGATAGCATATTATAAGTGGCTTTATTAGCACCCGTATTTTTATAATAAAACTTAATCTGTAAAATCTGTTTTTATGGATCTCTGCATATTTCATTGAATCGTAGGTATGTTTCTTATTTGCTCATAGATTTGCAAGAAACAATGTTAAATTCATTCTTTAAATCATATTACACTTTTAAGTATATAAATATGTAATTATTTATAATACATATTTTAAAATGAGTGATGTAATAAGTATTGGTATCTGGTTGTCACAAATATACTTTGCTACTCATTATTAAGTCTGTAAGTATTAAGATACAAGATATCCTAAAACTATAAATATATAGATATATAAATATAAAGATATAAAGTGCCTCATGAACTTCAGAAAGTATAAACAAAACAACAAAAATATTAATATGTAATAAACTTGTTTATTTATAGGAAAATAATATGTGAAATTTCTTATATTCCATTGTTTGGAATTGTCAGAAGTCCAATATTTTTTTAGGGTTTGGAGTTTAGGAGTCGACAAAGTACTTATTCTGTATTTGTATCTCATTAACTAGTTTAATTATATAAATCATAAAAATTATAAACATTTTAAATCATTTATAAATTAATACATTTCATACTACCTAGCCAATAGTAAACCAATTAATTTAACCAATTAGTTAATTCCCATTTATTAGAAACCATTAATAACCCAAGCTAATAAAAGTAAAAGTAACTAGTTACTGAATGTATAAAATGTTTATTAAATTTGATTACATATATGAAATTAATAACATGAAGCATATAGCAACTATTATTTGGTATTTAGGGTATGCAAGGCATCTGACACAGCCAATAGAACTTACATCAACAGAAATGGGAGACATATTTTTAAAATTTGATAGATCTAATGAATCATATGCCCACTTTTGAATAACAATGAAACTATTTTTCCATGACTGTACTCGTGAACCTTTAACCGTTAGTGTGTGATTCATCAATGAATGCACCATGGCCCAAATCAGGATGCGGTTCTTTAAATTGTATGCATTTTTTTTATAAATAAGAACATTTCTATTTGTTTCACAGGTTATTATCTTTTACATAAATATTTTCTAATGATTTTGCTATATCAAAGAATTATCATATGTATAAACACTAAAATGAGTGTATTTATTATTTCAGAATTAGACCGTATAAGACGTGATATCACTTCTGTTATTTGGTGTACTTATAGAAAAGGGTTCATTCCTATTGGAGATGAGGGTCTCACCTCAGACAAAGGTTGGGGGTGCATGCTGCGCTGTGGCCAGATGGTTCTTGGTGTTGCTCTTGTTAGAATACACTTAGCCACAGATTGGATATGGACCCCAGAAACAAGGTAAACATAATTTATTTAATATTATTAAAATAATATTATGCGTTCAATGTTCCACCAAGTGCTATTAACAGAGTTATGAATTTCTTTAAATTTGAAATTCTCAAATTTTTATATTAATATTTATTATAGTTATTATTTTCATAGAATAGAATAAATAATATAAATGTTTGCCCATTACTCAAATACAAATTTGTTTCTGTCAGAAATAACAAAACTCTTGGTGTCTTTGTTTCATCTCATACATGTTTTATCACATTGCACAAATGCAAATGGTGCTTGTCTAGAATAATTGGAGTGTTTAGGGATGTATTGGGATATAAATGTATTATAGGAATAGTAATTTCCTATATTAAATCACAAAATGTTTACCACAATTCCTTGTATTTCATACTGCAGCAAAAATAATTCAAATCACTTATATCAACAGAATGTACAACTTTATAACCTTTTAACACTTATTTTTCAGAGATCCAACATATTTAAAGATAATACAGAGATTTGAAGAGAGAAAGCAGGCACCATATTCTATTCATCAAGTGGCATTGATGGGCGCATCTGAGGGCAAGGAAGTAGGACAATGGTTCGGGCCCAATACTGTAGCACAAGTTTTAAGGTATAATATGGGCCTATTGTAATTAATAACATACAGATGCCTCCAAAATGGTAATAAGCTCATGTAATATCTGTATACAAATTTTATTTCAGAAAATTGGCTGTTTACGACAATTGGAGTTCATTAGTAATACATGTAGCATTGGATAATACTGTTGTTAAGGAAGATATTTGTAAGTTTTGTTTACATTTCTACAACTCTTATTATCTAAATGGTTCTTTTTAAGTTGATAATTGTCATTAAACAAATTTAATATCCTATTTAGAACATGAGTTAAATATTTGAAATTATAGACATTGTAAATAAAGAGATACTACAAGTAAATTTTATACTTTCGTGTTGTTTACACATTACATTTATTATATATATATATATTTGAAACTTTAATAATTAATGGTCGAACTCAGATTAACCAGTACGCATATTTTAAATTCATGATTGGTGCTAATTTTTTTTATTATTTAATGCAACGCCTAATACCTGATTTTTATTGCCAATATTTTAAAATAACCTGCAAACTCTAGGTCGTGGTTATTTTCTGGTGATTTCGTCATGATGGGCTAACTGATCTGACTAGAGAGAAAGTGATTAGTAGTAATGGAATCTAAAAACTCCATTGCTAGCAATATACCTTATGAGATCGACTTCTCCATGGTTCCCCTGGAAATCATCGTGATAAATTATTGTTGAATTAGTCACAAAGGACCAACTGACCTGCTTTCGTCCTCACCTATTGACTGTCACAGGTGTATGCTGATAGTGCAGGCAGGGTTACCATTCCATTTTCATCCATAAAAACTGGTCAGACTGGTGAAAGAGATTGTTAGTAATGGAGTTACCAGCCCCATTACTGGCAATATATCTCAACAAGTCAACCTCCATGCAGTTTCCCTTGGAAAACATTGTGGTTAATTCTTTGTTGAATTCATCAGGATGGATTAACTGACTTACTTTCATACTCACCTATTATCTCACTACTGCTATTTTAATATAGCAGTATATAATCATTCCATCGTAGATTAAAAAAAAAACTGAACTTTATTATCTCTTATCACCCACTGATACCATGGTTACCATTCCATTTTCAGTGAATAAATATTTTAAATTTGTGTTTCATAAAAAAACGACGTCAACTGTACTAAAACCAGTCATTTTGATTTAAAAACTAAATCGATTTTAATCAAATTTCTATGGGAATCTAAGTATATCCTTTCAGATAAAAACTGAACTTTCTAAATCAAGTGACGGAGTTATGAGGTAATAAACATAATAAAAAATACAAATTGAGAACGTTCTTTTTTGAAGTTAGGTAAAAAAAGCTTAGGATCCCATATATGGTACACAAAGCAACATAATATCTACCAGTGTCAAATAGTATATATATTTTATGTGTTATTCCAGTACAGCAATGTGTCATCAACAATGACAGAGGTGATACATCATCGGCAGCTGATAACTTAGTTGTATCTGATTGGATGCCATTGTTGTTGATAGTGCCTCTCAGGCTCGGCCTCAGTGAAATTAATCCAGTATATATAGAAGGATTGAAGGTAAACATTATTACATTTGCAAATCTGTAAAGCTCACCAAAAAATATGTATATATTAATAAATTAACGGTAGGGAAAAAAATAAAATTATAATGTAAAAATTTGACGTTCATAAGCCAAAAATATGAATATATATTTGAATTTGAATTAAATTAGTAGTACATAGATACAGTTTGTTACAAATTTTGTATAAAAAGTGCTCTGGTCGTCAACTAAATGTTACTAATAGAAGAAATTACATGCAAAGTTATCATTAAAAATTTTGCATTTACTTTATCATAATCGTCTTCCTACGCTTATTCCAATTATTATTTGGGGTTGGCGTCAAAAGATTTTTATCCATATTACAAAAAGATTTTGCTTGTAGTTTTACGACCGGCTGCCTGTCTCTGACATCAACCCTCTTTGGGAATAACTTTTTAATTTGCATTTACTTCATAATAATAAATATTATTATTTAAGTAAACTTAATTTTTAAACTTAATAATAAGCATTTTTGAATTGTATTTTATTTTAAATTAACACCCAGTTCGGAATGCAATTTTAACTGAGAAGAACGGGCAAGAAACACAGCTGTTGCTTATTTTCAAATAAAAGTTAAGATTACAATAAAAAAATTATGAATGGATAAAATTACTATCACAACTTTGTATTAATAAAAGAAACTACCAAGCTACAATCAAACGTAGTATTCTTGAACAGATCAGTCCATATGTCGCTTCTGAAGTGATGTCCATTCAAGAGCGCTTATAATTAAGAGTACTTACTTAAATAGAAAATATCTTTTATTAATTATTTTATGTTATTTATATCATGTATCTCTTCCGTTCCCGTTGGTGTCGTAAGAGGCGACTAAGGGAATTTAATGTTTGAGGGATAGGTAGCAGCGTCCCTCTTAAAACATCACCAAAGACTAACTACGATTGCCAACCCGCCCGTTAGCATTGAACAGTTTTTTTACCATTGAAAAGATCCCTCGATTTATCGCAATCTCACCTGACAGAAAGCGATAATATCGCCACATTTGCCTTAAATTGGTGCAGATTATATTTATATATTTAAAAAATTAACGGCTGATGTAATAATAATAATAAATGTAATTTACAGATCTGCTTTCAATCTGCCCAGTCGATTGGCGTTATAGGAGGAAAACCGAATCAGGCATTGTATTTGATAGGCTGTGCTGGAGACGAAGTAATATATCTAGATCCGCACACTACACAGAGATCGGGATTAATTGAAGTAAGATCTGTACAATTTTTAAATTGATTTATACATAATTATTGAAAAAAAAAATATATATAAAAATTAAAACAATCACAATTTTGCGATTTAATTAAACTAATTAAATTTACAGAACAAGGAAACTGATGAACAAAAAGAAATGGATTGTTCATATCATTGTAAATACGCCTCTCGGATACCTATGCTTGAGATGGACCCTTCTGTTGCGGTAGTAAGTATTAACATTTTGTCAGAAATTATTATAATAAACATTCACATAATTTATATTAAGTAAGTAAGACAGTAAGATGAGATCTCGAAATAAATTCCAATACAAACATGTCTGGCTAGTGTTGTATTAGCACACTTATATCCTTATCTCCTACTTCTATGACGTTAAGCTTGATCCCTCAAAAAAGTTGTATATCTATGACGTGTGTAAGTTTGATCCATCCAGGGTCAAAAAGGTCAAAAAATATGCTCAAAAAATATGATTGCTTGGGTACGTCGATCTATGTGTATTTATTCTAAGAAAGATGGATTAGAACCTAATTACCTATAAAGAAAAAAATATGATACATTTTCAGTGTTTCCTGTGCCGAACGAAGAGTGACTTTGAGGAATTGTGCAATACAATAGAAAAGAAATTAATGTGCGAGAGCCAACCTTTATTTGAAATATGCGAGAAGAGACCGTCGCATTGGGGCCCGTTGTCCACAGATATTGATCTTCAGAATACGTCGCTGTTCACTGGTAAATAATTACCTAATTACCTATTACATATTTTATACAATTTACATTTACTAGTTTAAACTGGCGACTGCAGACTGATATACTTTATCAGTGTATCAAATTTCATTAAAATCCATTCGCTTTAAGCGCAGACAAACATCTATATGTATTGGAATGTACATAGTAGATAATAAGCCATAAGATTACGTATGTTATTTAGATTCGACAGTAAACAAAAATATCTACTAGAACGAAAGAGCGAAGTCGTAGGCAGCAATTAGTGTTTATATAAGATAATATTATTGTACATTCCTTTTTCAGAATTCGAAGACGTCGACAGACAATTCGATGATTCAGACGATGAATTTGAAATACTATGAAATTTTCAAATCAAATTCTATTATACATTTATGTTAGGTACATAATAATGGTTATAACGAACTCATCATAAACCTATTTTATATAGATATAACGTAATAAAAAAAAAGCGTAGACTTTCGTGATATTTAATGAATTACACAACTGTAATTGCTGATTGTAATTGTCTAGAACAGTACTAGTTAATTACAACAGTACTTAGTTTTCTTTTTATGCAATATATAAAGACAAACAAGCTAATGGACTTTTATAATTAGTTGGGCGTAAATATATGCATAAAATCACAAAGGATCATTACATATAAATACGAATTATTTCTAAAGAATATATCTAGATACAAATTTTTCTTTGCAATTTAAAAGTTTTGTCAGGGTCTTTTATTTATATATCTATCTTAAACTGACTCTGTCTCGGACCATATTACTGACTTGTACGACAAAATATCTAGCGCTTATTTTATTTGTCCCATGTAATTATTTCTAGCTGTTATTATTTCTTACTCTTCCCTTTCGTCCCAAATTATTCTTTATGAGGTCATGTCGTATATAGTTTTTCAGAGTGAAGATCGCAGTTACACTATTTTCTGTCACGACAATTTTACTTAGATTTTTCACGACTGCCCGAAATTAAGTTTTGTTTTCATGGTTAATGTATAAACATTATATATGATTGTTAATTTGTCCTTCTATATTAGTTAAATGGTATCCATGGATTGGTCGTGACAGTTCATAGTGTTCAAGAACACTTACAATTTTGTAAATTATCTATAAGTGTTCGATATCTATAAGCATGGCTGTCGTAATACGCTTTTTTATAAAGTAATTCTAGGTAATCATTTATCTTGTGTTTAGAAATTTGTGTTCTGTAACTGTAATACAGAATAAGTATATGGTAACACTTTCTAATTTTAAACGTATACATACATGATGTTGCTAGAAATGAGCATATTTTTTTTTATTTTTTGGATTTAGTTCTAGTATGCGAAAATGGAAAATGTCGAATAGACTAGAATAGAATAAGCACTTATTTACATTATTATCTATAGTTTGCAGTGCCTTTAATAGTTACTCGTGCTTTTCGTTCTACAATCCTAGAATAAACAAAATTATGCTGCATTGACATTCCTATAATGATGTGCTTACGAAATTACTCATTGTATGGTACAGTTTATTGGAAGTTTGTATGTTGGGAAATAATATTGGACTCATATTAATATAATTTTACATATAAATGTACATTACTAACTTTATTATGAATTGATTTGTTATTATCTAGTCATAGAGTAGTTAGGTACAAAATTTACAATATATTGTGTGTCTTATAACCTTGACCTGATTTAATTGATACAGCCCAGATATAACCGTTACATCTATCTTCACGCCAGGTGCCTTACAGGAGTAGGCAAAGAAAATTGGAAGTCTCTATTATATATGTACATCTCTTGCATTATCCACTGTCGTAACTAATCTCAGGCATGTACACACATTCTCAAAAGTCCTTATTTAAATAGTAAATATGGTCTGCTTGCGTTACAACATATTGACAGATAGTAAGTTACGCTGAAGTGACGGTAACACATAAAAATTATAAAACATTAAATAATATTAATTTTTCATACATTTTTCATACATTTATCCCATTTAAAAAGGTAAAGTGGTGTCCCTCCCTATAAACTATATGGTGACATTTTGTTTTCATGTGAATGATGTTTAATCAATAACATATTTGAATTATTCCCAACTTATTTATTACAATTTATTCCCAAAATTATAGTTATTGGCAGTGCAATATGGCAGCTTTTATTGATATTATAGAATGACCTATTATTATATTAATTACGTGTTAGTCAAGTAAATTGCAAATAACATTACGTCATAGTCGTAGAATACTGACGGATCTGACGAAGATTACATATAAAGATCCGTCAGTATTCTACAACTATGACGATTACCTACCTAATCTAATAAGTATATGGAACCGTTGTAGACAGTAATATGAAACTAGTAGTTCCATATTTTTGTCCTACCAACAGCTCAATGACTCGAAGTGGATATTGCCCTTTGCCACAATACGACAATTTATATAAGTTATATTGGACCATTTGACATTCTGGATTTGTAACGCTATGGGATTGTAAATAGAGAATTGGCTAAGAAAGTAGATATTGTTTAAATTGACACCAGTCTCGCTTCGTCTCTACAGCTAACTACAATGAATTAATAATAATTCCATTTATAACTGTTTTTGGTGATATGGTCACGTGTTATTGTAGACCATAATTCCACCTTGTCACAGTTATATTACGGACGTTATCAATGATATTTTTAAATAATTTGACATGAATTAATAATGGTAGAAATGTATTTTAAATTTCACGTGACCTATATTACCGAATCTATAGATAGTGTAGATAGGTATAGATTAACCATTGGAAAATTGTTTTATTTACTTTAAAAAATGTATATATTTATGTTTTGTTAAGCCAAAATTTGACTTGATACTTCTCTATTTTGTTCGTCGTATTATATGCCATTAGATTAGATTAATTTAATATATTAATAGGTTTCGTAAATGTTTTGGGATACTTGTGTTTAGTGTCTATATCTAATTCAAGTTTCATTATTAATGCAGTTTCATTGCAGCTGCCAAAGACTCAAATATTTTTTTATAAATAAAAATACCTGAAAAATTATATTTGTGTTATTTTTCATTTCTACCTTTTCTTTGGTTTTATCTCTAAAACCTTTAGTAGGTATGTATAAGGATGATGATGATTAAATTGTGCTACGTCAATAATATTTGTATTCTAAATCATACTGTTTGTCAGTAATATGTAAAATACCGATAGGTAAATCATAGGAAACCTATAGTTTATTTTGCATGTAAAAGCAGAAATCTTTGTGTAAAATACTAATTTTGATAGACTGTCAAATACAAATTTTATCTTTTTAGTTATTTCTGTTGTGTTATTTGAACAGAGAGTGTGATCACATCTGAGGGCCTACTATTTTCCGAAATTTCGACTAGAAATTTGATGTTAAAATTACATAATACATGTTTACAATTATTAAAAATATTAAAATATCGTTCAATTAGGATAGGATTGATGATGAAACGTTAAGTATTTAGGTATGAACAAAAACACGAAATACATCTTTCATTTCAGTCACAAACACGTCTATTACTTCAATTGCGGGTTGAATGTGTACCTACATCTTTGCAAGTCACAAACACGGCATTCTACCTACCCTACGCAAATGAATCTGAGACTTGTTCTTCGAAAATGTTATTACACAAACGCTTTCATAAAGACGTTCCCCACTAAATAAATGTTTATCGATGTCATTAGAATTTAGTGATCGTCTTATCTAATCGAGTGTCATCTCAGTGGTCTCATTGAGATAAATACTAGTATTGGATAAGCATGTTCAGTGTTCGAAAATACTTTCGAGGGTGTTTTACCCACGGCATAAATGGAGAACCTGGAACACGTTCGCGAAAGCCGGACATTTTCCCTATGGTCGGAAATGAATACGCACAGCAGTAAATGTTATGTAAACTGTTTCAAAGGAATATGAAATGAAACAAAAAAATCAGTAATAAATTGAATATTACACATTACATTTATTTATGTACTTTTTCTTTGGTAGAACAAATAATTATAACATGAAGCATTAAGAATTATGTTAACACGCAATCAGGACATTTAGGTACATATTACGTGTGTTATCATATTACACAGAGACATCAGGGTCGCCAATATAATACCTATTTGTATGAGAATTCTAAAGTTGTAACAATATACGAGTACAGGGGCAAATTTTCTCGATGTTTGCTTCACATTGAGCATTTGGATATGTTGCGATTTCTATACCTCTACCGACTACGTGAGATACCAAGCCCTAGTTTTGAAACGGTAACGAGATAGCATAATGGTTTACAGCCATAGACAGCTAATGGAAAGAATTTACAAGATTAAAAAGTACGATAGATAGATATATACCTTTAAGAACTAAAGATTGAAATTAAATGACACATATAATTTAGATGTCTAAGTATTCGAAATAAAAACAATATAAAGTATGTATAATAAAGATTTTACAATACAATATAAAAACTCTAAACCGCTGTTAATAAAATAGGTAGTCTGATAGCAGGTAGATTCCAATTGAAACCATTAGGGCTCTTTCATATGAGTGCTAAAAAACGTGGTGTTTCAAAACACATAATATTGCACAGCGTCATATACAAAAGCCCTTGAGATGTTTTTGTTGTTTTTAAAGAATAATCAAACAATTATTACATCGTTCAAGTTCACCAAAATTATATTTACTTATAAAGCTATTTTATGATATTTAAAAATTGACTAACAATTTATTATGGCATTTAACATAGCATAACACTATGCTGTAATAATAATATTAAGGACGCTCATTAATTAAACAAATTAGGGACATTACGTAATAAAGGTACTTAAAAAAAGGTTTTTCTGTTGCAATAAAATAAAGACTAATACCTAGTCTAATTAGCCATAAATTTGGCACCATAAAATTACAAACTGAATTTATTAAAAAAATGTTTTTGGCTATTTATAATATTTCGGCTTAGCTTCCTACAATAGAAGTAACTGTTGACTCCTTATTAAAAAAATATTTTCGTAAATTAGTATTTACACAGAGTGCAGAATTTTTCGAAATTACAAATGTTTGTACCTACATTGCAAAATCTAAAGTAAGACAAATAGAAATAAATTACAGGATTTACTTTCATCTAAACTAAGTTTTGAGTTTGGAATTAAATATGGTTTATAAGGTCAAAATATTACACCTTAGTAGATATGTAAGTAATCAACGTTCACTCTACAGTTAACACTGAAGTCGGCTTCAGAAAAAGTAACAATATATTTGTAAGTTTATTGAGTATATTACCTTGATTAGAGTAATTAATAAAGGAGACATGACTTAAAAATTTGCCAAAGTAAAAAATCATACATCGAATCGATTAATAACAATTTGTTTCAATAATACGTAAAACTTGTAGGTACACAATTATAAATGGCGAAAAATATAAAATAAAGGTACAATAAAATATTGCACAAATAGACTAGTTAACAGATAATAAGTGCAATTCTGCTAATCATATAAAAAATATAAAACCATATTTAGCTAAAGAAAACAAATGCTCAAAAATAACTGTAGGTACATACAACATGCTATGAGCCCTTTTCTCGTTCTAGGGACCAGCACAGTAAATGCACCAAATAATTACTACGATTTCTTTTTAATTTAATATCAGATTTACATTTACAATGGCCTCTTGTCTTCTTTCGACAACTTGTCATTCATGTCACTCACACAATTTTTCTTTACTAACGTACTTATTAGAGAAACTATTGAGGCAAGATTAACTAGTAATATAACATGTACGTAGTTTGTGTAATACATAATTATAACAAATTGTATTTTGGCGATATATCTCCCATCGACATTTAATTACTCAGTATAGAATATATTCTATAACAAAACAAAATTAATGTAAATACTTAGCATTTTTCTATACAGCATTAAAATACAACATTTATGAAATATCTGTGTCCACATCACAACCATACATAAATTCAAATTTTTCGATTTCAAAAAATATTTTTTTTTATACAATTTAACATTCAAAAATATTACTCTTGTTAATAGGTTTTTTTATACTGGACGTAACTATTTACATAAAATTCACAATTTTACGATAAATTTTAAAAGGTAAAAGTTTTACATAAGCTATTAGTTTTTATGTACATATACAGGTATATTTATATAAACAACAATGGACAAAAATAGGTACTGTTACGTTTATAAAAAAATTATGTTGATAATATTATGATTTTGATTGTCTGGTGCAGACGTCAAGTCATATTTGGATCATTTAAAAATGATTGTGACTTGTTCGTGTTTCGAAGTGCTCGTAAAGCCGTCTTTCGATAAGCCACAGTAGAGACCTTCGTGGACAACGAAGTTGGCCTAGAAAATTGACAACAAACGTGTGTGGTTCACGAGAAACGAACGATTGCTGTTTATCTATGCATAATGTATCATATATGTTATATGGTCTATAGGATATTTTATTCATACACTCCCATGCAAAAAATAGATACTTTTGTAATAAGATAAAACAACTGTTAGATGACTAATAGAGTTGAAAGTAACATGCAGCAAAAACTATATTGAATAATTGAGGTGTGCTCGAAATTGCATGGCTTGAACCAGTATGTTTCAGAAGTTTTTATGACAAATCGTTTACTGTGCAAGCTATTACCAACATATACCAACCTCTGTACGAAATATACAATATTTACCTAGTTTTAAAACAAAAGTTAAGGACTTTTATGTGGGCAACTTGTCATATGTTTAATTTGTTTGATTAGTATACTCATATTCTTATTATTTTTTTAACAACATACTTATGTGTTTGAATTTGTATGTATACATATGTAGATTTATTATGTATCAGTAAGTTAAAATGTATATTTATATATTCACATTATTAAATGTATTAATTCTCTATATGTATTTAAAAAAATATCAAAGTTTCGTGCCTTCGGCCGAAATGTTCATAATTACTCTTTTCCATCCAAAGGTTGACTGGAAGAAATCACTCTCAGCGATAAGGCTTCATTGTTTTCTTAGTGTAATCTTTTCTGAGTTAAAGTCTGAGTTAAAAGTTTACTAATGTAATCTTTTGACAACAACAAACAATAAATAGTATCTATCTATATTCAATAATTTGTAGGCCCTTAATTTGTAATAAACTAACTTCTTTTTTCTTTAAAAGCAGTGCAGCTTTATTCAACAGAATATTTATTTTAATAAATTGTAAGTTCCCATACATTAAAACAAAAGGATAGAACGAGTGATTTGTTGACCCTAAGTTCCCCACTTTTTTTGCAAAGGAGTATAATTTGTTGTTCCTACAATAAAGGACTACTGAAAACAATCTAGATCCCGATATCAAACTACTACAACAAGATAGAGCACAACAAGTACATATGTAGTTTATTTTTGAAAGATCACATCAACCAGTATGCATAAGTACTACATTTGAACTATCGAAGTCGGTATTTAAAAATATAACAATATGAGCTGACAAACATGGATGGACGCTTGAAATTTATATACAAATATCTATAGTATGGAACACTAACTTGTCACAAAAACTAATAATAAAATGGAAATTATCATCAATGCACAATAAGTAACGATTAGTATTTGATACATCACAATCGCGAAAATAAATTATCAAAATCCGATAGCGAAAACTAAATCCTTCTATGGCAGATAATGTAGGAACTAATTTCTCTTATTGGTAACATTAAAATTTGGATCAGCTGCACATAATAGGATATTGTCACATCTCTTATTAAAATACATGAAAGATTAAATTCTACATTACTGTGTATCATGCATGTTTAACAATTGTTTTTGCTCCATACCAGTCTTTACAAAAATCTATGATAGGTTATAGTGGCTTCTGTATTACTTACAATATGTTTTTGTTTACATGTTAAGTCTGCAATATCAGTTTTTGTCATTTATTGTTGTTGTTGTTGTTATATTTGTCATAAAAAACATTGTTTCAACCCTACTTATCTATAAAATCTATCCTATCTCCAAAGTTGGATCTAAAACACACATTTATAAAATTTTATTAAATCCAATAGAATGGTTTCAGAGATTATTGTAAATGAGCATTGTGACACAGAATTTTTATATATTTAGATTACACACACACACACACATACAGACATATATTTATATAGTTAATGTGAACATATACTCTACATATGTATATTTGTTGTAAATGCAGAGTTAAGCACTAGACAATATCCCATTATAAGTACAGCCAGAATTATACTATTTGTTGTCATGTAAAATTTAGAACATGGTACACTCATTTACCTGCACAGACTTTACTATTACATAATTTGTATTGCAAATATGGTAAAAAATATAAATTTTAGTATCATTGTTTGAAGACAGTCAAAGACACTTCAAGGTTAGGTTGTAAACTTTCCATGACACATCCATGGTAAGGCAATGGACACTCCAATATATACCAGTATCAGGTTAATAAGTATTTTTCAAAGAGTGATAGTACTTTAAATATCACTTTGAAAAATTACTGGATCACAGAAGCTGTAGTAATCTGGTTATGCAAGAAATTTATAACCAAAACTGTTATGTTGTCAACTGATCCTCTATAATAAGCTTGAAGTGTTAAACTTTTAGCACCATAATCTGGTTCATCCAATCGTTCCTTTATGAATTTAACTGCTTCTTCATTTGAGAATGTATCCCATAGACCATCTGAAGCAAGCACTAAAAACATTGGCTTATGGTCATCTAAATTAAAAGTGAGAATGTCAGGATCTGCAATAACAAATTTTTTGTCCTTTAGAGGATAGTCTCCCATCGCACGAGATGTTGCCAGGATACCTGCCACTCTCCAGACACCATTAAAAGCAATATACCCTCCAGCCGCTTCAATCCTTTTCTGTTCACGGACCTACAAATGAATAAAGAAGATTTTAGTATTCTTTCTATTATCCACTACATTTAAAAATTATATTATTGATAAGATTGCGAATTTTTGTATAATTTCAAAATGTCATGTATATGTTAATAATACAACCTGTATAAACACTGCATGTATAAAATACATTATATACTTATATATGATGTAAATGCATTATAATATTCCAAAAAACAAGTACAAAAATAAATTAATTTCTGCCATGAACTGACAATGACTCAAAATTCATGGCATGAAATTGAACTTAATTTTGAAGCATGAATGTTACATGAATCTAACTTAAAAAAATATTTAATTTTTTAATACAACATTATATTGAAGTTTATTATTTACACATACATGGCAGTTTTATTAATATTTAAAATATTAATAAAACTGCCATATACCTACATTATATATATTATTGTTTTAAATATTTAAGACAATAATATATTTAATGTAGGTATCAACCTACATTTTATGTTAAGAAAAATATCATTTTCCTTAACACTATTTACTACTTGTGGAATATATAAACCTTAGGACACTGAAAAAATTAAATAAAAATAAGTATTTATATCAAATTACCTGTTGTGGTTTATGGTCAAAAGAGACAGGAATGGCATTGCCGCGCGAATCACACATCACACCTCTAGAATCACCGACATTTGCAACAATCAGATGATTACCTTCCATTATAGCAATTAGAGCAGTTGTACCAGCAACATTCATTGAACGCTTTGCAGCTTCTACAAGCAATCTATCAGCTGCAAGTACCTCATCTGTTAGAAGCTTACCAAAATTTATTTTACCTTTATCTAAGTAGCTTGATAAAGGTATAGCAACATTTTTTACAGGTTTAGCGGTTGGTCTCACTTCTCTTGTGATCGGCCTGGCCTTAGAAAGTTGAGCTAATAGTTCAGGATCTGTTATTTCTTTTTTAGATGTATCATCGGCTGTACTTACAGACTTTTTAAAGCTAGTTTTTCTTTCAACATTCACATTACTCTCTTCCTTTGGCTCCTCTGGACTTTCTTTTACTGGTGTACTGATTGTTTTGCCATCTTTAAATGCATTTAATTCTATAATTTTATTAAAAAGATTTTGAATTAAGTGATCTTTAGCATAATTGGCGGCGAACTCTCCACCGTGTCCATCAAATATTGCAAATAATGAAATTCCTGTACTGTTGATATTTTCATTGATGATAAATCTATCTTCCATGTGCATTCTTCTACCTTTGATTGCATAAGCAGCGCTTAACGTGCCCTTTAACTCCCAGCTTTGCTTATCGGCCTCAGAACCTTCCATGAACTTCATACGTTGAACTGCACTTATAGGGCTCATGGCCTGAGATAATCTGCTGAGAATCGTGCGACTCCATAGCTCAATTGTTTGTAAATACATGAAAAATATTATAAGACCAAGTGTGAAAACGACAACGTCCGATCGTAGTAAATAAAGTCTGACCATTTTCCATAAATAGCTCACAGGAGTATCAAACGGAACACTGCTCGTAAAACGTGACAAGATCTTCATGAAAGACAAATACGTCTGATGCAAAACTCTATCCTCCAACTCGTCTTCCATGTCCTTAATTAGAAAATACAATAAGCAATAAAAGTATTCGTGATAATTTTAGACAAATAAAGAAAGAACGCTTAGAAATAAAACCACTTAATAAACATTCACGATTCAATTTTTTTTTTTAGTACGTTTGTTCCGTTTGGAACAGGCTAAGGTCGGAGACCATGCTGCCTAGTCTTCAAAAAGATAATTTGTCTGGAATTTTATTTTTCTAATGTCGCTTCAATTATTGTCATAATCTTCAATATTTCATTTGTCAAATCCGGTAAGTACATTTTCATAAATATCTTTTCTTGAGTTTTCTTAAACCAGTGGATTTATCAAATTAAAAATAAATAATTATAAAAAATCATTGTCTTGCAATTCAATAAAAGTATTCTTATAGCTCCTTGAATGTTGTAGTAATATAAGTGAAAATAGCTTTGAAACAAGAAGGAAATCTTAAGAGAAGCGGGATTGAGTGCGGGATATTTTCGGGTTTTTTGAAGATAATCCTAAGTTCGTCAAACATAATGTGTCTTTGAATGACAAATTCAGAGCAATCAAAAAAAAAGGTGATGTAGAGATTGGGCTGTATTTGAGTTACACCATGTGCATGATGGGGAAGCGATCATGCCCATTCGGTGCAGGTGTTCGTTGAAATGTCCGTGGCCGATTCGTAATCTACAAATATTGGTGTAAAATTTTCTGTTTGTGTCCTTTCCTTTGCAGAACCACGGTTTTCCAATACGCCAATTAATTTTGCGGTACCATTTGCCTTTAGTCTGTAATATTTGAGTCCAATGCTCCTCCCATTTAGTTGTAACGATTTTATGTATTCCAATACTACAATCTGAGTAACAAAGGGGTTAATCTTGAACACGAGCAGCACTTGAATTAATAATTTTAGCCAAAGTGTCTACTTGTTCATTCCCAAACACTCCAATATGTGAAGGGGTCCAGATGAAGATAATATCTTTTCCATATATAGTACAGAGATGATAATATTTATTACGAATTTCTTGAATTAAGTAGTTTGATGATGAAATGAATGTGTTATTTTTTAATGCCATAAGAACACTCATACTATCTGTAATTATAATCCATTTCGAATATAGTACCTGTTTTTCTATGTATTCTAATGCTAAAAATATAGCTTTTGCTTCTGCTGTGTAAATACTAGCCAAAGTTGAAATTTTATAACCGTGACCAAATCTATTTGACAAATCGTAAAAAGCCACTGAAGTGCTAAGTGCATTTTTGGAACCATCTGTATATATCTGCCTGTAGTCAATAAATTCTGATAAAGTCTCATACATATCGTGCTTTTCTTTTATGTCTTTACGTATAACAATTTTGATCTTACAGAACTTACTCTCATAAAGGCCATTATAACAAGGAAGTATCTTACTACTATAGATGTTATATTCATCTCGTAAATTCAAATCATTGACAATAGTTTTATTCAAAAACATAGAAATGGGGCAATTTAATAATTTGAGTATGAGTGGGTTATTGGAAACTGAAAAAACTTTGAAGAGAAATTTGAGTTTTAGGTATTCGAAACGAAGAAGGATAGGAGGCAAATTACATTCTACTTGCATTGAGATAATTGGAGAAGTATACATAGCACCTAAAATAAGTCTTAAATTCATATTTTGAATTTTTTCGAGTTTTTCTACTAATTTATGTTCTGAGGCATAACAAAAGAAAGCGTAATCAAAATTACTTCTAACAAGAGATTTGTAAAGTAAAAGGATAATTTTAGGATCAGCTCCCCAGTTACGACCAATTACAGATCTTATTATATTAGTGGCTCTTAAAGCACGATCTACTAAGCAATCAACGTATAGATCCCATTTTAAATTTTGATGAAAAATTACCCCCAGAAATTTAACGCTACAGTCTGTTGGAAGAGTTTGATTATTATATATAATATTCATTAATGGAACATATTTATGAACTTGATGAAAAACAACTACTTTACTTTTGGTTAAACTAATATCGAGGGAAAGAAGAGAAAAATATTTCTCAAGTCTTTTTAATGACTCATTTAACACTAATTGCATATCAATAATATTCTTTCCTTTTATATAAATTAATAAATCATCGGCAAATTGCAAGTTGTTCACACTGTTTCCTAAAATTGAATTAAGTTTATAGATATATAAAATATATAGTAGCGGGCTTAGAATACCACCTTGACATACTCCTTTAGAGCTTAACCTAGGTCCTATTAATTTACTATTTACTTTAACATACACTTCTCTATTACTAAGAAAATTATAAATCCATTCGATAAGTTTCATTGGAAGAAATGAGGATAAAATCGAAGATAGAACTGTTAAATTTACATTGTTAAAAGCTCCTACGACATCTAAAAAAACAGATAGAACATATTCATCGTTATTCAAAGCAGTACTAAGGTCGACATAGAAGTTCGCTAAACTTTCGCGCGCTGAATATCCACGGCGAAAACCAAATTGATTCGATGGTAATATACTATTACTTTCAATAAAGAACTCTAAACGCTGTTTAATTAATTGTTCGAATAATTTGCCTGCACAGGACGTCAATGTTATAGGTCTATAGGAGTCGAAATTTGTAGGATCTTTACCGGGTTTAATTACTGGAATCAAACAATCCATTTTCCATTCTGATGGGATAATACAGTCCTTCCATAAATCGTTAAAAATTTGTAAGAGTTTAGTAAGGTTTATTTTATTCAGCAATCGAAACATATTGTATGTTAAGCGATCAAGGCCACTAGCTGTATCTTTTCTAGATTTTACTGCACTGGATATTTCATCAATTGAGAATGGGTCAGTGAGAAATTTTGGGCATGAATTAACAGAATTAAACTGTTTGTCATCAAAAGGTGAGTGTACAAAATCAGGAGTATATTTGCGTAAAAAATCATTGACCCATGATATATCTTTAAAATGATTTTGACGATGTTTTGAATTTAGTTTTCTCATATTTTGCCAAACAGTGGAAATTGGTGTTAATCTATTAAATTTGGAACAAAATTCCTGCCACCCCTGTTGTCTTACTTGCTTAATTACTAACTTTTTAACAGCTTGAACTCTTTTAAAATTTATGTAATTATCGAGAGTTGGATTTTGTTTAAACCTAAGGTAAGCCGCTTTACTATCATTGACAGCTGTCGCACACCTGTTATTCCACCAAGGTACTGCAATATGTTTGTGCCTCTTTGAAGTATTTGCACCGCTATTTGATAAGTTCCTACGTGGAACGGAACGTTCCACAGCTGTCAAAATAATTTTACAGAATCTATTGTAATTGTTTAAGGGTTCATTGACATCATACTCGAAATCCAAAAGTAATTGATTAACAGTTTCAGAATAAAGATCCCAATTAACGAGACGTAGGTTTATACGATTTAACAAAAGTTTATTAACTTCATCTATAGGAGCATGTTGTTCACCTGACGGAGTTGATGAAGAGTTCTTTGTGTTTATTTTAGTAAAAGTCGGCAGGTGATAACTTCCTAACGGATCATCATGAACCGACCACTCGCATTTTAATGATATGGATGGGGATACCATAGTTAAATCAAGGCCATTGGGTCTCCAAATATGAGAGCCAACAGTAGTAACTTGCTTATCATTTAATAGTACCAAATTACATTCATCTAAACAATCAAGAATGTCTTTACCTCTTGTATTAGTGGAGGTACAACCCCACATAGTATGATGTGCATTTAAATCTCCAGATATGATAGTGGGTTTAGGAAGAGACTCCAAAAAGAACTTAAATTTGGCTTTAGTAAAACTAGGTGTACTATTGGTAGGACAGTAAATACTGGCAACTGAATACCAAGAATTATTAACTTCAATACTAATAGCTATAGTTTGCAAAGAATTGTCGAAAAAAGAGTGAAGTTTTTTATATCTAATACTATTATGTATAATAATCGCTACTCCATTGTGGTTATTACCACAATCATTTCGTTCTATACAATAATCTTTAATTTTTAATTTGTAATGTGGTTTTAGCCAAGTTTCTGAGATGAGAGCAATGTGAATATGATGTTCATTTAAAAATTGTGTAAAAATATGTCGATTGCTCAGTAGGCTCTGAGCGTTCCACTGTATGATAGTTAATTGGTCTCGATTGAATTTTGTGAAATAGGTCTATTACCAAAAGTATCATATAACACATTCAAAACACTTTTAGTGTTAATAGATGTGTTCTTTGTGTTATGTAGTGAAATAAGTTTGATTATGCTTTCTATTAAAAGTGATAAACTCTTGTTATCAGAATTTAGAATTGAAATTAGGTCTACATTTTTTTAGGTTTGTTACCCAGTTTAGGAAATATTTCAGTGCTAAGTATATCTCCAAAAGAAGCAGGTCTGAATTTAGATCTATTTTCAGCAATTTTCTTTTGTTTAACAGGGCATTGCGGTGATACACTTGTGTGATTTCCATTGCAGTGTACACAAATAGCGTTTTCCATTCCAGTTGTACAAGTTTTATAATTATGCTCACCTTTGCAGATGCTGCAACGCTCAGAATTCTTACAGAATTTAGCTAAATGTCCATACCTCAAGCACCGGTAGCATTGTTTAACTGGTGGTATATATGGAGTGACATTGTGGCGCCAACCTCCAATATCCAGATATTCAGGTAATACAGATGCAGCAAAAGTAATTGTCACGGTTAGAGTTGGCTGTAACACATATCCATGAGTCAAGGTATTTTTTCTTAAAATTCTTTTAATAGCAATAATTTTCTTAGAACTCGATATCATAGTATATATTTTTTTATTAGATATATTTGTAGGTACATTTCTAATAACGCCTGTAACTTCTGTTGAAGAAGCAGGAATACTGGCCTTAAAATGGTAGTCATTTAAAAAAGTTTTATTATTTAAAAAAGCATTGGCTAAGTCTGGCTTTTGAAAGTATACTCCGATTTTGAATTTATTTATAGATCTAAGATAAGTTACCCCTTTATTAAATCGTTTTAAACAGGAGGAGAGTGAGAGCAAGTCTCTGGATCCAATGGTTTTCTGACTATCTGAGGATTCTACAAAGACAACAAATTCTGTCCCAGGGGATTCCTCGGGATATCTTCTAATATAATCTGTGACGTAGTAAGGTTTATACTTATCGGCCTTATCAATTTCAGATTCTGAGTCAGTAGAAGTATCTTCCGAATATATATCCTTGTCATTACAAGGTTCATGGTCTACATCACCTGAATCGTCATCTTTTTTTTTCCTTTTTCTACAACTGCGCTTCCCCATGAATGCTAATTATATTACTGTCGCTGAATTTAGTGAAAATATAATATTTTATTCAATAATAAGAATTGATAGAGATAGTTTTAATAAATTAATAAAAAAAATTTAAAAAACCCGCTTGTTCTTATTCGAGTTTCCCGCCTTTTTTTTTCTCACGATTCAATCAATTTGCACTTGACGTTGACGGCTGTCAATATGACTTTCATTTTTTTCAATATTGTGCTTCGGATTCACGGTAGAGAGGATTATATTTCTTGTTTTAGGTGCTCTGCCGTCTCTTAAATAGTACATGTTAGATAATAAATAAAATTTAAGGACCAAAAAAAAGAAAGGAAAATGAATGTTTCTAATGTATTTTATACAGTTGTATACTAATAATAACGAGTAATGACCAGCAGCGTTTCTCTTAAAATATCAACAAAGCTTAACTGCGGTTACCAATTCGCCTGCCAATGTGGCATCTACTGGCAAATATATATACCTTAGATTATAGTATATACTTAGTTCAATGGATTTCAATAATTTATCTTAGGTATACAACTATTGGATAAATACTTAATTAATTATTATCAATTTTCACACAAAGTTCCGTGCGAAGTAGGCAGTGCGACCTTAAAGACCTACATCTCTATCTGTACGTCATTTATCTGTTTTGCGGACTTTCATAACTCGTCTCATTATGTATGTCAGTTCTAGAGATTTTTTTTAATGGATGATAATGGAATGGTAACCTAGCCTGCGCTCATGGTCCAGTAAGATGAAAAACAGCTCAGTTAGCCCATCGTGATTAATACATCTGGAATTTTACACTATGGTTTCCAGGAGGGACCAGATGGAGGTAGACCTGACAGGGTATATTGACAGCAATATACCCTAGTTCCAGAGACTGTGAACACCTCCCTCAGACAGAAAACGATCTGGTTATAATTTATTTATTATTTCCAATATACGGATATTATGTTAAAGAACGTAAGAAATAGTCAATTTGGTTACAATACGTAGGCAAATAATAGACCAGAAATATTTTTATAAAATGTATTAAAACAGTGAAATTCAGATTACAGTTATTCAGTAGAAGATACAAAAGTCATTTCGTATTTCGTGCATAATGCATAACAACCTTAGTACATTCACAATACGAAAATTCCGGAATTTTAGTAGACTATAAAAATAAAAATAAATGTTTTTTAGAGTAAAATTAATAAATTTACATATTTCTATTTGTTGCTGCTTTTCCAATTATAATATTGTTATGAGAGATTACGTATATCGTAATCTTGATCTTCCAGATCAAAGTCAATTTAACCATTTCTTAAATTGGTCAGACCAAGAACCTAGGGCAGATGTGTTTTAGATACGATTTAAAAGATAAGATATAGTATAATTTAATATATATATGTAATATTTTTCGCTACAAGAATTAATATAGAGTGAAGGGTAAAACAGACAGATACCAAAAGCGGATCGTATTGTAAATGTACGAAGATAACAACAAGTAGGTAATAATGACTACATGTGTGACTATAATACTACTTTTGCTTAATTTATGGCATTTATTTGTGATCAAATCTTACACAATACTAAATAATCACAAGGTTTCCATCACCTACCCATGTAAGGTTTCATTCACAACAACGAATCGTGAAAAATTATGAATACTTGCTTCGGTCCATAAAATATTATTATAAGTCCATTAGAATGGATTGTCATATCTTTTCACCATTTACGTTTATAAGCGAAGATCAATAATTGTTCTAAAATTAATGTTACAATCGTAATATAGTATGATTAATATAAATAGTTCGAATTAAGGGAAATTTTTAAAATCACGATTCAATTTTTATAAGTGAAACGCCGAGTAGGTTTTCGTTGACGATTCGATAGTAATAGCAAATCGTCAATGACGAATGTGTGAACGGGCCGTAGGTAAGTACATGATGCAGGTAAATATTGTAATTGTATATAATTTCCCAATAGGTATCATTAATTAAGACGGAGACGTAGGTACAAATTAAATATGCAGCTAATAAGCAAGTCTAGAAAATTAAATATTTCTCAATGATTAAGCTGCGTGTGCCTTTTCCTGGATGTGTTAAAAAATAAATAAGCTAAACACATATCTGTTCAAGTCTTTTTTTTTTTAATTACATAAGTACCTTTCTGAGTGAGTACATTTAAAAATAGATAAATTGACTGGAATGGCTGAATTGTACTTTAATTTAATATAAGTATTAATACCCGCTTTATATATCGATATAAGTACGCACAGTTGTTCATCACACTATCAATTGTTTGAGAAGAGATTTTAGCTTGACCACTTCATTTCCTTATATGTTACGTTATTAATAAATGAATGGCTTAATTGATCAGTGTAATAACTGCTTACAAAGATGTCATCACACCATTTTACTATATAAAAACTGGTCAAGTGCGAGTTGGACGTATAGTCTGTAGGTAATTTAGTTTCCGATAATGTAAATGAGTTTAGACAATGTATTTCAGTATCTGAGATAATTTATACATTATAGAATATGAGTTACAGAATATTAATATGTTTGTCTATGATCTTTTAATGATTTAAAAAAAAACTGTGTAAGAAATATGGCCCTATTTTTTTTTATATTTACATAGTAATCTTTGTCAACTATAGTTATTTCAGGGACGACGACGGTGTTTTCTTCTCATTTTTCATAATAGAACTAACATAAGGTATGGCTGCATTTTATACAGACTACATATTTGTAGATATTACAAGAAGTGAATTTAGAAAATTTAAAAATGGAAAGTAATCAAACAAAATAACAAATTCAGTAGCAAACGAATATACGCTTTATACTGAATACATACTGGCTATTATTCGATATAAGGTGTAGTATAACATCCACCTTTTTTCCTTTACACTGAAATAACATAACCCATTTAACACACTTTCTTGTTTGTCATTTACAAATAAATAAATATGTTCTTCCCTAAATAATTCATTACAATTCTGCATTATTTAGTTTCAATACATTTTAACATTTAATACATTCAAATTGCAACTGACACTGAAAATCAACAAAATAAATAAAACAGACATAAAATCTTTTGTGCATAAACTTTGTTCGTAAGATTAATGTATTTTTGTATTTAATATACTAATGTATACATACGATCCTTTAAGTTCTATATAGCATTTGTATAGCACACCTATGACGTTTTTATACACATATAATCAGCATAGTAACCAACTCCATGATATAAAAGAAATATGCATACGAATATTATATCCTAGACAAATCAAATAATATATTTGCTGAATATAGTATTACAAAAGGTCTTAATAAAATAGCATTACAAGCCAGATGTATTGTCGAACATTATTGCAGTGACAAATGTAATCACTTAACTTATACACAAAACAGACTTCAAATATTTCTTATGTATATTTCTACATCAGAACTTAAAGGAATAGTACGAATGATGTCTTATTAAGAATATGCAAAAATATATTACAATTATAATATCTAAAACAATAAACAAAAAAAAAAAAATCATTTAAGAGAACAAGAATGCCTTGTATGCTTATAAACTGATATGCTGTTAAGAATTTGATATAATGATACAATATGGTCAGAATTCGGAGGGATAGAGTTGTAGGATGTAATAAAAATTTTAAAATTACTTAAGGTAAAAAAATTTTACATTCATTATTCCGATATATTGAATAGTATACGAGGTCTGTCCGGAAAGTTCGTATAAAAGTGTTCTGGAATGCGAGAAAGAGGAGTGGGGAAGGTAAAAATGTCCCTAACAATGCTTCAGTTCTGGTCTGACCGCCGTGCGGTGCGAACTGGCTTGTCACGCCATCTGTGAAGTTACCTCTTAACGAAACCCCGTCGGCATGGAGCCCGCTTCCGTTGAAGAGCAGCGCGTCGTAATCAAGTTTCTCTCGAAACTCGGCAAGAATGGCCGTGAAATTTTTGCCGATCTCAGAACAGTTTATGGGGATGATGCTGTGAAGGAAAATCCCGCTCAAATGTCAAGACAATGTTGATTGTTTTTTTCGATGTTCGGGGGATTGTCCATCAAGAATTCGTATTCCAGGCCAGACAGTTGATGGAAAATTCTACGTCGATGTGCTCAGACGCCTCAAAGCTCGTGTGGCACGAGTTCGTCCAGAATTGGCGCGAGAGGGGCGTTGGATTCTTCACCACGACAATGCCCCTGCCCACAAGTTTTTGAGTAAAAATTCCATTACGGTGACCGAACACCCCCTATTCGCCGGATTTGGCCCGGTGTGACTTCTTCTTGTTCCCAAAAACCAAATACTTCGTAAATGTAAAAAAAGCTACGACGGGGCAGCTGAGAAACCTACAACCAGAGGACTTTCAAGGAGCCTTCTCACAGTGGAAACGGCGTTGGCACAAGTGCATTATGTCACAGGGGGAGTACTTTGAAGGGGATAAAATTGATTTACCTGAATAATTGTAAAATAAAATTTTTAAAAACTTTTATACGTACTTTCCGGACAAACCTCGTAAAATATTTCTTCTTTGCAAAATTACGTTTGCAAATTATTAAAAAAAAAATTGTTTTTTTAAATAAAATTAAAAAATGAATTTCCAAAGATAGCTACAATGAGATAGTGTGTGAAAGACAGAAAAAATGAAAGTAGGTATATAAATATAGTATTTCTATTATTATTAGATATTGGGACAAACATCTTACGAAACTACATTATAAGAAGCATGGCAATTGTAGAAAAAGTTTGATCACTAATGACTTATAAAAATCTTAGGTCTCTCTACAGGGAGTTATAAAATCTTACCTTAATTTAATTTGTGCCTTTATAGTAAATCATGATAGTTGCAAGAACAAGCAAAACATTTGCGGTCTTACTATAAAAAAAAAAAAACAGTGTTTTACAAAGTCTTTTGTCTCATTGTTTAGTCATCACATTGACTAACGTTTATTGGCAGTATTATGAGCCAAATCTATTAAATGTCATGTGCCAATTAGATTAGTATAATAAAATTTATTATTTTTAATATCATTTATTTTTAACAAGACAGACTTTCATTTAGACTAAAACAAATGTTATATGCTTTTTATTGCAAGAATTCTAAATATTTATTTAACACCTGTCTATCACAAGTTTAAATTTAACAAGATTTTTTTTTATAATAAGACCGTAAATATCAATAATCAGGAAGTATAACATGAAAAAAATTAACACCTGGTAGGATGGAATTGGTAATTGACTAAACATTTTTAATGTATTAAATTAAGTACCTACATATCAGTTCAAATTACGTATCCAAGAAACTGGTGTGTGTACTAGTTAGTGGTTTTGAACGGAAATAGACTAATACTTCTAATAAAATAAATTATTTTTTTTCTTTTGATTCTCGTAAAAATATAGATTCTAAAAATGTTCAGATCGAATTTGTGCTAATATATATCAGTATAGTCTTACCCTCTTATTCATAACAATTAAAATTTTCTACAAACCTACATTTTATTAGAGTGTTTTGTCGCTTTCTTTCATATCGAAAAAATTGCGTAAAAGAAAGAAACAAAACACTAATGGTGAAATAGGTTTATTAAATATAAGTCGTTTTTATGAATAAGGGCATTACGCGTTACTAGATTCCAGTTCGACCCCAGTGACCGTGGTGCTAAGATTTCCATTGAGTAATATGTCCTGTAGAGGTTGTCCCAATACGCTGGACAGTGAATCGCTCAGTTTGTAGTAGTTCGTCTCGAGCGCCTCGTGGTATGTAACTTGGTCGGAACTGATGAGTTTCGCATTCAGTTGGAGCGCCGAGTGACATATTGTTAGGAATTCTCTGGAAAATTTATTTGCATTAAAAAAATGTTCTAGATTAATCCTGTGATCATTGGTTACGTTATATAACGATATTGTTTATAAACTAGTTGTTCCTCGTGGCTTTGCTCGCGTGAATCAATATAAAAAGTAATTTATGTATTAAGTTAGGCTATAATCTACCCGTCTACCAAATTTCATTTAAATCCGTTCGATAGTTTTTGTATGAAAGAGTAATCAATATCTATCTATTCGTCGTAAAACTTGCTCATTTATAATATTAATAGAATGTCATACCTGGGGGATTAAAAACTTACTTTATACAAATCACGATACGACTTATTTTGTATAATTTAACAATGAAATTGTACTGCTGCGGTATTATGATGCTATCAGCATGAAATATATGAGTCTCGTTTTAAGACTCGTTTCCTTATATCCTGTGATTTCTCACAGGGTAGACAAAGACATCCGAATACTTAAGGTTACTGATCCCATACCAATACAATTTGTATGCATTCACAATACTGTTAAATTGCCTAATTTACAGGCCTGATTAGGCGATGAGTTTAGCTTTAAATTCTTTTACTCGTATATATTGAATAGTGTTCAAATAGTAAAGTTATATATGAATATAATATTATAAAAAGAAATTTGTTATTGTTTAGAAATTTATGCTTTTAATACAGTGACATTTATTTATTTATTTAATCTGTAGATAGGCTACAGATAAAAAATTAAACTGGAGAACATGTTTTGATTTTTACGAAATTTAACACACATTCTTTAGTTAATATGTACATGTATACTTTTTATTTGACTGTGTAGTCTAATTTACATTTCACATCTATGTCGACGAAGTTGCACACAAAATGTAATAAAACAAAATAGGATTGTAATTAAAAAGTGAAGTAAGTATATCACTAAATGTTTCAATGAAATTCTATTTCGCATGCAAGAAATAAACATTCGTTTGGCATAGCCCCAGCAATGTGTAATCAAAGTACGCAATGGTGAATCTTTGACGTAAATATAGAGGTATATTTAAATATATTATTTTTTTTATCTTTTTCAACTTAATAAGATTTAAATAGTAAAAGGAACAAGATACAGATATAATATTGAGCAATTGTTTATTATGAAATGTAACTGGGCGCTAAGAAATGATAGATCAGGAAAAAAAGGGTAAATATAAATGGACCTAATTACGTAGAAAATCTTTTACGCACAAGGTAATATAGCTGTAATGTAGGTGCGGTATGAATAACAGATAGAATTTTGTATAGAAGTATAAAAGTTGCTAATAAGAACTTTCATGTGACACACAGCTAGAAATAAATATTTGGTCACTTGATTAAATGTATTTTGTTTAATTCTGCTTTTATTATTATGTGTGTGACTGCCAACACTCGAAGATTGACCACCATTATTACTACTACATTATATTTCTTATTTTTTCCCAGTTTGTGTGCCGAAGGGTTAACACTAGGTTTAGAGCAGTGATGTATTAATTTGCCTGAAGCTGCCTTGTTTAGAGGTGAAACACGTGTCGCAAAATGTGCGTGAACAAAATCGCAGTCGAAGATTGATGTCTAATATGGAAGTTTGTGGAATTTCTGATAATAATAGGACGTCATCTTGGCATTTGCACACAGTAATGGTAGAGGAATTAAATAAAATAATATAATTATTTCAAATAACCAGTGACATGAACTTATAGAAGATAACACCTAATTCAGTAAAATAAATAATTACACTACTTACTTGAATGTAGCTTTTAATTTATCGACCAGTTCGTCAGGATACATCGGTGCCAACGTCGGGTCCAAAAATGCGTTAGCGTACGCGAGAGGACCAGCGTTCACTTGTACGCATATGCTGCCTTGTAACCTATGCATAAATAATTAGGTATAATATTTAGATAGATAGATAGATACTCTTTATTGTTTCCTCTAAAAGATTACAATAGTAAACTTATTATAATTATAAATAATTACAAGAAATAATCACAATGAGAAAATAATGGGCGACCTTATCGCTAAAAGCGATCTCTTCCAGGCAACCTTTGGATGGAGAGGATTAATTATAAACAATTTGGTGGGAGGTACAATTCTACTTTTGTGGCTCATCACCTACACTCATAAGACTGGCTATCACTGGTTTCTGCCAATTTATAATCAGTCCGAATTAGGCGAAGTAGCTAGATGTTTGTCCTTACTATAGAAATATAAATACTAAACTAGTATGCTTACTAATAAATGTGAAAGTAAGTTTGTTACCTAACGGCGTAACCGAATAAAAAAATTTGGTCTGTACATACTATATGGTACGGAAGAATCACCATCATCATAATTGTTTCACAATCATAATTTGTTCACTGTTGAACATAGGCCTCTCCCTTGGGAGGTTTTCCCAGTAGTTACTACACTTAGCAGGCGGATTGCCAACCGCAGTTAAGGTTTAGTGATGTTTTAAAAGGGATTCTGCTGCCTATCCCTAGGACATTAAGTTTCTTTAGTTGCCTCTTACGACACCCACAGGAAAGGAAGGAGTGATGCATTCTATGCCGGGATCATACGGCAACGGCAATAAAGAAGAATATAGGCTATTTTTTGCCCGGCAAGTAGACATATCCCGGTCAAGTGGACAAAATCGCGACTAAAAGTTGGTTAATAATGATAACAAAAAAAAAATATTAACATTATTTGGTAATTTTATGGTAGATATATATAGATTTGATACGTTGCCACGCAATATATTTTCTCTATTTTTATTTATTTATTCTTTATTGCACAATAAAACTTTGTAAAAGTGGCGAAATTAATGCCATATGACATTCTGTACCAGCTAACCATTAGGTAAAAACAAAAAGCGTTCATACGCTTTTTGTGCAGGCAGATGTGGTGAAAAATATTATTAAAATATTAAATTTGTGTTTCTAGATATTAGTTACTATGAAATATATTCATTATTTTAATTTCATTATGTATTCAATTTCATAACACTGAAGTAATGGTTCATGTTATATTTGGTATACATGTTTGTGTCGTTATAACAGACGCATAAATGATACTAAGTACCTTAATTGCAGTTTCTTTAAATCAGTTGATTTTGCGTTGACGATTTCCGCTAGTTCGACAACCTGGCTCTCCATCTCCGCCACGGCGACCTCTATCGGGCTTTTTTCTTCAACTTGCGTGTCGACTACAGGCACCCGGCGTTTAACATATGGGAACCAATTCTCAGCTGTGTTTTGAAATAAAGAAAAATGTTTTCAAATATATGTATTATAGAAATTAATTCTCAGGATTGATAACGCAAGGCAGAGTGCCACAATTTTTATCTGGTGGACTGTATAAGTTGTAAAAAACATGACATGAACAGGTGTTTTTAAAATGCTATCCGCAATAAAGCTTTTTGAGGACAGTCTTAAAATAATATTTTTAATGCATCTGAAGTGACAAACAAGTTGACGGTCCACTCGATAAAAAGTGCTAAGCATCACCTGTACATTATCATTATCAGCAGCCCATCGTCCAGAATTGGACACAATAGCTGTAACTTTTTTTTTTTTATAAAACTTAGAATGGCAAACAAGCTGACGGCCCACCTGATAGAACCTATAGACATGAGCAGTACCATGGACATAACAGAGTATACTGTTTCGCCCATGATACCCCCCATGCGTTGCCATTCCTGAGGACTCAGGTGTTATTCCTCTGTACCCAGTAAATTCAAGCCATATCCCACCCTTCAAACCGAAACACAGCAATGCAAACACAGCTGCTTCAGGGTTAAAACACGAATGGGACAGAGGTACCCAAGCAATCGACTTTTGTACAAAGTCTCCCTCTGTGAAGTCGCGAAATAAAGCTAGTTTTTATAGTAGTATGAAGATGTCTATGCTATGAGTTTCTTTGCGTGATAGAATTCGAAACGAGGATATCCGCAAAAGAATCAAAGTAACTGATATAGTCCGAAGGATAAGTAAGCTAAAGTGGTAATGCGCTGGTCACATAGCCGGAAGAACCAGCAACCGATGAGGAAGAAAGGTTCTTGAGTGTAGATCCGCAATAGCAAACGCAGTGTAGGATGACGCCTCCTTAGATGGAGTGACGACCTTAATTGCATTGCAGGGAATCAGCGGACAAATGACTGAGATAATGATATATTAGTAGGATTACTGTTTTACCAGTCAGGTGCGTAAGTCTCAATCTCTGATGGTGAACAGGCCCTCGTGCGGCTCCGTCGCTCGTGAATGGCGTTTCGAATACGAATCTACGGACATTGTGGACACGTTCAAATGATCCCTCGCCGCTTGAACTCGTGACTGCTACGCCCTCCGGTGCTGCTCGCACCCAGGTTACTTGGATATAGGCCAATTTGCTATCCAGTTCATCACGGTTGACCTGTAAATTCGTTATTAGTGTATATGTTCTAAATCTAAATATAAAACTAAAATTTGTTAATTAATAAACATACGATTTGTAATCAGAAGATGATTTTACGATACACGACAAGTGTGAAGATTTTGATACAAAACGTATGTAAAATTGCAAATGTTTTTTCATGAAATTAAAAAAAAAAAATTATTATTAAGTATTAGTTTAAACTAGATATCTAAAGTTTCTTAGAATAATTTTCTACTCAAAGGTTGCTTGGAAAAGATATTAGTAATGAGATCGTATAATAATACGAGTTTTTTTTTTAATGGGTGAAAATGGTATGGTATCCCCGCCTGCGCTAACGGGATACGCTGGCGGAGCACCAGTGAAGGGTGATAGATGAGAATGAAAACAGGTCAGTTAGCTCATCATGATGAATTCATCAGGAATTAACCATGATAGTTTCCAGGGGAAACCGCGAGGAGGTCGACCTGGTTGGGTATATTGCTAGTAATGGGATTCTCAGTCTCCATTACTAACAATCCCTTTCCTCCCTAATAATACGAGTATAAATGACATAAATGGGACAAATTATTTACGAATATTATTGGTGTATTTAATAAAGTTTATATAAGTAAATTAAAGTAAGTTGGACGACAATAAAAGTAAACAAAATCATATTAAAACATTTTATTACAATCATACTTTAATATGCTCGAAATGACATAAATGAAAAAGATATTAGTGGTCAAATCTCTAAAAACTAGCTAATTAGTATGATTCTTATAATTAATGATGTGTGTTTATTACTGTCCTCATCATCATCATCATCATATCAGCCGTTAACTGTCTATTGCTAAACATAAGCCTCTCTTATAAGTTACCACGCTTAATAAGCGGGTTGACAACAACAGTTAGGCTTGGGTGACGTTTTAAAAGGAATGCTGCTAACCATCCTTCGTCCTATAAGTTCCCTTACTCGCCTCTTACGACACCCATAAGAAAGGAAGGGGCAGTCTATTCTATGCCTGACCATACGGCAAATTTATGTTTATTACTATAATTAATATAAATTATAAAATATTTTTAATTACTGTTATAAACTTAGTATTCATTTAAAAACTAAAAAAAAATTTACATGAAAAAACATTTTTATTCCTTTTTCAAACGGTCATCAGGATAAATCGGCATTTTTTTTCATTAAAGACTTCAAATATTTTTTTAAAAGTTTCAGTACATTTTTAAAGGTCTAAGAGCTAAAAACTTAGGTGATAATAAGATAAGAATTATATGATTTTATATGCCAAATATATTATATAAAAAATATGAAAACTCACCGGCGCTGAATCCATAATCATCTTAACGAATCCCACTCCGAACTTCTGTTCATAGAAGGTTTGCAGTTTCTCCGATATTTCGCTTAGTGATGTCAGTTTGGGTTCCTTATAGATGAATTCAATGCCTTCTTCGTCTTCTCCGAAATGGGCTTTCCCAAAAAATGCGACTCGATAGAATCTACCAAGGAGACGCTTCCCAGAATGTGTGACTTCGATAACTTTGGCATAAGCTTTAGTGAGGTGTTGATAGCACGCTAATAATGCTTGGTAGTCCTTTCTTCGTTCATAGATGGGGATGATGAGCCGATAGAGGGGACCAAGAAGTTCGTATCTCTCTGCTTTGTCTACATACTCTGTGCAGACCATAAGCTGATCTAGAAGGGCTTGTTCATTGTAGTGAACATCTACCATACCTAAAACAAAATAGGATTTTATAAGCTTTCTATTAATACGGGTTACTTTTTGTTTTTTTTTTTTTGTTATGCACATAGAAAGGGTCTCTATAAAATAGGCATAGTTAGTATTATTCATCAAACTTTTTTAATAAATGAAAATGAAATAATAACTTTGTTTGGTGGTGAGGGCGAACTCAGTTCAATTTGCCCATCGTGTCGAATTAACCAAGTATTTATCAAGCTAATTTCCGGAGGACTTGAATATATACCATAAAAGAAATAATTGTTAATACTTATATCAATTTATTATATAATTCTTTCATATAATTTTTATCCAATAAAATAACGGAAAAAAAATACAAAGAATTATAAAAATAACTATATAATGACAAAGAACAAACAAACTTATCTTACTCTTATTGAGATAAAGACAATAAAAGGTATTAGTTGCGGTTAGTGTTGCTTCATTATGGCTAAATATCACGACCAAGTATCAGTCTGTGTAATTCGTGATATTCAATGTTAATTTATTCTAAAATCAATTTACAGTAATACAATATATATGAATTAGTAGCAATATTTGCGATTATTTCGCGTGTACAGCCAGCGGTGCAGTCCAGACCCTCCTGTATGATTATTCTATGTATCTCTGTATAAATGGAGCGGAGGCTCTGTAGTCGAAATCAGTTCGCGAACGCGCGTACCGTTGAATAGAGACGGCTGTTGGGCAGTGGTTTTATAAATATAAAGAAAAATGCGCAGGCTTATTGTGTCAATAGTAACATTTGTAGTCGCGTGGGGCGAAGACACCACTGTGGGGCGAGTTGTGGAACCGAGCAACAGCGTGGTCCCTGACGGTCTGGCCGACACAGATTTGCTGCTAGCTTTTGTGGTATGTTCCTGTTACAATTTCGCTATTGAAATAGAGGTCACGCAGGCCAACCGTGCTCCGCTTCCTGATGAATTGCGGATCAACCATTTAACAGGGATCGCAGGTCAATCATGCGTGAAGTCATACCTTAGATTTAAATGTAACCAATTTTTTTTATTGTCATGATTTACATATATCGATTATTTTATTAATTATTCACTAAGGTGTGTGTCCAATATGTATTTCAGTGGTCGGGCGACAGTACGTTATGTCATAAAAAATGCCTATTAATACGTTCCATTATTTGTTTATCAGGTATTCCGGCATGGCGATAGAACGCCAGATTTGGAAGAGCTGGACCTTTATTCACACGACGCAAACAATAAGGATGTATTTTTCCCATATGGAATGAAAGCCTTGACGAATGTGAGTTACTACAATAGCACCGTACAATTTATAGCGAAAACAACCAATTCATAGCTACGGTTGTCAGGCAGTAATGTACTTAGCTACGGTTCGAAACTTAAAAACATAAGTGGAATTAGATCTTAGTCGTTGTGAGTACAAGTCTAATTACAATTTGAAATATCTACGAGACATATGATCGAGTCAATTGCTCTGACACGAGTTTAGTCTTAAATTGTACCACATAAGGTATATTATATACACGTGTTTTACAATAGACAATATTTCCGTTCGAAATTTAAACTTTTATTCATTCAAACATGTTATCCAATTTTTAAATGTAAAATAAGTAACAGTAACGAAGATAGAAATAATACCTAACAAAATATATAAAAAAGACAACAGCAAACAGATTTTCATCAAATAGAAGTATATTTGATGAAGTTAAGAACCACCTCATTTAACCAACTCAATAAATAACCAAATGAATAAAACGTTATCGATTTATCCCTATAGAAGCTACGACGGTTATGACAGAGAAGTTATTACTCCTATACTAATAACGAGATATCATGAGATTAAATAGTAACGATTGGTAAAACTATTTTTTTTTTTTTTTTTTTTTTTTTTTTTTTTTTATACTATCAATTAATCTATTGACAATTGGCAAAGAAATCGTTCCATAGTAAATAAATTTAAAATGTTAAAATTGATCACTGCCACTTTTTAGGTGGTAGAGCCACGCTGTAATACCATATGGTATCGCAGCATGAATGGGCCGGCTCGACCGGGGAAGTACCACACCCTCACAGAATACCGACGCTAAGTGGTTGCACTTTCAGTGCGATCACATTCCGTATGGTGAGTGAGGGAGTCCGAGGCCCATCCCATACCCATCCCTTTCCTATTCCTAAAATCCTTTCCCCAACCCCGTCCCCCTATCCTACAACACGCAACCATGGCAGTGGAATTAAAAAAAAATAACATACCCCAGGGAGGTACCAGTAACCATGTTGCTGGAGAATCCTCTCTCGAGCAACCACGCTCGGGCTGCCCTGCGTATTCTGGGGGGCAAAATTCCGCTCTTTGGAACCAAGGGCAAACGGAGCAAGATTTCTACGGCATCCCCTTCGCTCAATGTGAGCTTCTGCAATATTAGGGGATTACATTCTAACCTAAACGCTGTCCACCACCACCTAGAAACGGCGCGGCCGGCATTGCTCTTTCTAACGGAGACACAGATATCCTCTCCAAACGAAACTTCATACCTGACGTAAACATTGTTTTGTTTCGCGTGCCGGTGTATGCGCGTATGTCAGAGAGGATATCTGCTGTCGCCACCTTGGAACTCTTGAAGGTACGGACCTGTCTATTTTATGGCTACGCGTAGACTGCAATGACCATCCTCGCGTCTATGCATGCCTATACAGGTCCCACAGCGGTAACATCGAAACCGACCAACTCATTGAGCACGTCCAAATGGCTACAGATTCCCTGTTCGAACAGATTCCTTCCGCTGAAGTCGTGATTCTTGGCGATTTTAATGCCCACCATACCGAATGGCTTGGTTCACGTACAACCGACTATGCGGGAAGATCTGTTCATGACTTTGCTTTGGCTTATGGTCTGACGCAGCTTGTTTCCTCGCCTACGCGAATACCTGATGTGTTGGACCATTCACCTTCACTGTTGGACCTTCTGCTGACCACCCACCCAGACAACTATGTGATTTCCGTCGAAGCTCCGCTTGGATCGTCGAATCACAGTCTGGTGCGGAGCGAGGTGCCTCTCATGAGTCCGATTCCACCACGTTCCACGGGTAGACGTCGTGTTTGGCACTACAGGTCAGCAGACTGGGATGAGATGCGGATTTTTTTCGCATCTTACCCATGGAGGCAGGTTTGCTTCACACTGGATGATCCCGACGCCATTGCCAATTCCATTGCTGATGTGGTGCTTCAGGGAATGGAATTATTTATTCCCAACTCTGTGGTGCCCGTCGGCGGGAAATCCCAGCCCTGGTATGGAGCCTCTTGTAGAACAGCATCTCGTCTGAAACAGGAGTGCTTCCTAACCTGGGCTAAAGGTGTGGCGTCGCGAGATCCTAACACCAGTGCTCTTAAAAAGAAGTATAACTCTGCCTCTAGGTCTTTCAAAAGAGTTATAGCCACAGCGAAGTCAGAGCATATTAGTAGAATTGGCAAGAGATTGGCTAGTTTGCCCTCTGGAACTCGAGCTTTCTGGTCTCTTGCCAAAGCTGCACAAGGGAATTTCTGTAAGTCATCTTTTCCACCATTGCGCAGGGAGGATGACTCGTTGGCCCAGAACGCTAAGGAAAAGGGCGATCTTCTTGGATCCATCTTTGCGTTAAACTCGACATTGGATGACGGGGAGAAATCACCACCGACCATCACGTGTTGTAGGAGCTCTATGCCTGACATTAAATTCACGCATAGCTCAGTGCGTAGAGCACTTTTCTCCCTCGAAATCCATAAGTCGAGTGGGCCCGATGGTATTCCTCCAATTGTGCTTAGGACGTGCGCTCCAGAGTTGGCTCCGGTTCTTACGCGTCTTTTTCGGCTTAGCTACTCATCGGGCATAGTCCCAAAGTTTTGGAAGACTGCTCTGGTGCATCCGATCCCTAAAAAGGGAGATCGCTCAGATCCAGCTAACTATAGGCCCATAGCTATCACTTCCTTATTCTCGAAGGTTATGGAATCCATCATTAACCGTCAACTGCTCCGGTACCTAGAAGAACACCAGCTGATCTGTGATCGCCAGTACGGCTTTCGACAGGGACGTTCGGCCGGTGATCTTTTAGCTTACTTAACACACCGATGGGCAGTGGCTATCGAGAGTAAGGGAGAGGCCTTAGCAGTTAGTCTGGATATCGCGAAGGCCTTTGATCGGGTGTGGCATAGAGCGCTGCTTTCAAAGCTACCTTCATTTGGGTTGCCTGCGAGACTGTGCATTTGGGTCGCCAGTTTTCTCAAGGAACGTAGCATTAAGGTCGTAGTCGACGGAGCATGCTCTGATTTAAAACCTTTGAATGCTGGTGTCCCGCAAGGCTGTGTACTATCTCCGACTCCGTTTCTTCTGCATATCAATGATATGTTACAGATAAGTAATATTCATTGCTATGCAGACGACAGTACAGGAGATACATTATATACCGGTCATGCAAGGATCTCGCGGGCACATACCGATGAGTGCCGGAATAGACTTGTGTCTGAAATCGAAACTTCACTCCATCAAGTTTCGATCTGGGGTGAACAAAATCTTGTCCAATTTAACCCCAAAAAGACACAAGTCTGCGCGTTTACCGCAAAAAAGACGCCGTTTGTCGTATCTCCTCACTTTCAGGGCACTTCCCTTGATAAAAAGTCGAGTCTAGGAATTCTGGGCGTTGATATATCTTGCGACGTCCAGTTTTGCGGTCATCTGGAGGAGAAGGCTAAGATAGCTTCCAAGAAGTTAGGAGTGCTCAATAGGGTGAGACGATATTTCATGCCAGAACACCGCCTGAAATTATATAAAGCCCAAGTCAGGCCGCATATGGAATACTGTTCTCACCTGTGGGCAGGAGCGCCACAGTACCAACTCCTTCCGTTAGACCGCATTCAAAGTCGGGCGGCTCGAATTATCGATAGTCAACGCCTTACTGTCCGACTTGATCCACTGAGGCTGCGCAGAGATGTTGCATCTCTGTGCATCTTCTACCGAATTTATCATGGGGAGTGTTCTGAGGAATTGTTCGGATTGATACCTGCTGCTGATTTTCACCACCGTACAACCCGCCACAAACTAAAGTTTCATCCCAATCATCTGGACGAGTGGCGGTCTTCCACCGTGCGTTTTTCAAGGCACTTTCTTCCACGCACAACCATTCTTTGGAATCAACTTCCAGCAGCAGTATTTCCGAACCGATACGACAACATAACCTTCAAGAAAAGAGTATATTCCTTTTTAAAAGGCCGGCAGCACACCTGCAATGCCGCTGGTGTTGTGGGTGATCATGGGCGGCGGTAGTCACTTACCATCAGGTGAGCCGCATGCTCGTTTGCCCCCTGTGTTGTAAAAAAAAAAAAAAAAAACTGCCTACTTTTCAAAAACATAAAAATTAATAAAATGTTTTAGATTATACTGATGAATAGACTTACTTATTTTAAATACACTATCGGGACTTAACGCGATGAAAAAATAGCGTTAAGTTCCGTATGTATGTAAAATGTGTAAAAAATACGAAAGTTTAAAATTTTATAAATTATTTCTGATAGAAAGGGAAACAACGCGGCTATCTTGTAGGGGAATATATACGAAGACGTTACGACGAACTAATTTCCCGGCTGTACCTTCCTGATGAGATCAAAGTTCGCACGACAGAGTACGCTCGAACAAAGATGACTGCGCTGACTGCACTGGCGGCTATGTACCCGCCTTTACCAGCACAGAAGTGGAACCCAGGGCTGGAATGGCAACCTATACCATTCGATACGTTAGGTGCATCAGTAGATGATGTAAGTATAATCGTATATATGGACTGCCGAAGAAGGTAATGTTTTAAGGGTGTTTATATCCTTCTATATTTGTACTATACTATAATCCACGCGTGTGATAAAAGTTGAAAACATGTACAGAGATTTTAAAACATAACACTATTTGAATATTATTATTTATTTACAGCTGTTATATTGGTACTACTGTCCACGATACCTTTGGCTAAGAAACCAAGTTTATAGTTTTCCGGAAGTGAAGAAATGGCTGAAGCCTTATCAGAACTTATTTACCTATCTGACAGAAAAAGCAGGAAAAAATATCACTACGCCAGAGGACGTTTTCTTTTTAGATAATCTGTTTCAAGCTTTGGTATGTTTATAATTTTTAAGAATACCTATACACATACAGATATTTTTTTATAATTTTTACTTTAATTATTGATCAATATTTATTAATTGTATAATAGTTGTTATCGTCACAATTTCATAAATAAAAAGTAAAAAATCACAAATTACAAATATAGTATTGCAAAAAAAAAAATGTTAAATATACAAAAATGAATATTTATATATATTTTTAGGAAAATGTAGGTATAAAATCTCCGAAGTGGGCACAGGAAGTGATGCCACAAATAAAAGAAATTACTAAAATTGAATACGCCATAGAATTTTACAACGCCGAACTGATAAAATTAGCTACAGGTAATATTTTATTTATTTATATTAGGAAAAACTCTTCTGATAATCATTCTAAATGGACAATTATATTATCCGTGTTCAAGGTAATAAAGGGCGAAATTTTGAAATATAATTCCATTATCTACCAATATATCAAAAAGGCTCATTTCGCTATCTCATCTATCTAATATTTCAGAGTATGGTGTCACTGAATCTAAAATGCTATTTTTTTATCAAGTGAAGTGTGCCGATGTGGGAATAATCTGTCATTCTTTAATAATTTTTTTTTATAGTTCTGATTGGTTATATTAAAAGAGCTCTAATAGGGAATAAAAATGTTATTAATATAACAATTAGCTTCGTATTATGTTTCTGAAATTTCAAAAACCATTTTGCCACTAATTTCAATAATATTTTAATAACAATCTTACTGTATAATGTTGATTGAGATTGGCCTCAGAGTATCCTTAAATCGTTGGTTGTCCTGACAGAATTAAAGTAGTAATAGTAGGTATAAGAATAACTTGCGTGTCTCATACTCTGAACAAATAACCTGTACTAATTAGCTCATCAATTTACTATGATTTTAAATCAAACTTTTGGCAAAGCCCCACAATTACAAATACCAGATTTCTAACAGCCACATTCCAGATTGGAAAAAATTTTTGCGGAATAACTCGACACGTAAAAAAATAAACGAGGTAGATGAATGGCTACTAATTTATAATTTAAAAATATTTTTTGAGAGCTAAACGTTCGATTATAAATCACGGACACAATCACAAACTGTTGCCCTCGGCTTCCAGGCATGGTGTTGTGGTTCTTCTTCAAGTTGAAATTTAAAAAAACCCTGCTTTTTAGCCATATGTTGATAATAGTCAATCAAGACAAACCATTTTATAATTGATTTATAAACCATTTTATAAAAGATTGTAAAATAAAAAAATAAAAAATAAATAAATAAAAACTATATTATTAATATTATGCTGACTACTGTTTCGAAAATATTGCTAACAATTCTGATGTTACTGTTTACTTCAATATTTATAAATGGGAAAAGAGTATATGAATATATGTAAATCTTACTTTTAATAACAGGAGTACTTATGAATGAAATATTGAATGCAACGAATGCAGCAATCGCAGGCGACATGGAGCAATATAAATTACGTTTGTACTCTGGTCACGAAAACAATGTTGCTGCGCTAATGGCTGCAGTCAACGTGTTCACGCCCCACCAACCTAATTATGGCGCCACCTTTTCACTAGAGCTGAGGAAGCATCGGTCAACAGGACAATATGGGTTTGCGGTAAAGATTTTTCAATTATTTTGTTGATACTAAAGATAATTTTATCATATTATTATAAGGATTATTAATTTTTTTTTTTTTAAATAATTTTATTTCTCAATATTATCCAGCTAGTTCTGAATTTGTATGTTAAATAAAAGTAGCACACGGCAGTATTACAGTGAAAATAACAATTCCAGCGTAAAATGTAATTTAGAAATATAACACAACAGTTAAATATAGTCAAAGTACATAGTACATTCGATATAATATGACGTTAATAGAGATAGTTTAAAGGACTTTCATCTAACCCTTAATGATTGCTTATTAAATAAAGCAAAACTTTGGCATTGGCCTCTTATATTATTATCTACATATATTATTATTTAAATATTTGTATGTTTATAAATATCACAGGTACTACGTGAGTAGGTATCTTACACCATTTGTAATTTAACTGCATAACGGAGGTCATAAACATTATTATTTCTATTTATTCCAATTCTTTTGAAATGCTATATGAATGTCCTTTAGTTACTGTCATAAATTAGTAAGTTTTTTTTTCTAGGCTGTATACGCTAAAGACGCTGGTGGTCCTGGAACAATACTACCAATATCTGGCTGCAGTGGTTCACCATTTTGTGATTATGAAACCTTTCTCAATATCACATCAGATGTCGTGTGGAGTTTCAAGGAATATGAAACACAGTGTACCATATTAGTACAGTGAGTTTCTCTGTCAGAAGTAAACACCGAACATTTTTTATAAAAATGTGTGATTTAGATAATAGTAACGAATCAAGTGGCTGTGACATTAGTTAAAAATGTTCGCTTTGTTTATTAAATTATATTTACTTTAACAAATCGTTTTATTGTTTTTACCATATCTTAGAGTTCTTTAATTAAAAATACATTTTAAGATTAAATCTTAACTGTTTTTAAAGTAGCTATTTACATTGTAATGGCCTGAAAGATTCCAAACTATAATATATCGCATAAACTAATGTCTTCGACATAATTACAAACTACAGACACGGGTTTGATTTTAATTTAGAGATAAAGTGACATTTACCTCTGTCCGTATATCTACAATCCATTAACGTCCCACTAATAGGCACGTATCTCTCCTAATATGAGAACAGTAGACTTACATTGTAGGATTGAAAAAAGTAAATAATTAAGCATTATATTCTTACTTCGTAAGAGATACCTATATATCTTTAAAATACGGAATTAAATAAATCTAATATAAATTACAATTATTATTTTTTTTCTGAACAGTTAAGTAAACATTATTAATTTAATTAAATTATTTAACTTCAATTGACTTAGTGTAAAGGGCGGACTTAATACCATATGGCGTTATCTACTAGTTAACCGTAGATTAGAATAATAGAAAATATAATACACTCCTCGCAAAAATTAAGGGAACATAAAATTTTTTGAAATTTTTGAATATTTTCAACAGGCTGTATTTCGTGAAAATATATATCGTATAGGAAATTTAAAAAAAGAAGCTTGAAAACTCTAGTATTTTTTGGTGAAAAAATTTTTTGACAATAATTCTAAAAAAGAAAATATTTTTTTTCTAAATTTTCTATACATATAAAACTTATATAATATTATAGGTCTACATTATATATAAAAATATATATCACATTTGTCTCCGAGTTTTTTGCAAAAGCATCCTTTTCCATTCATGGATGAATATCTCTGAACTAAAGGTCGCACAGCCCGAGTTTCTTTATCTGCATAAAATTTCCATTAAGCACAGTCAAGATTAGTGAAAAAAAAATTTTTTCCACCTCTAACATTGAATTGAAAAAAGTGGAAAAAGTTACTTTTTCTCCTTTTTTGGTTACTTTACATCTTCGTAATATGGGCGGGAAAGCTAAGAGAGAAAATTTTACAGTCCATCTTCTCGAACCCCTAAATCCTGGAGCGATAGGTTCAACGGTTTTTACGACACCAATTGATTGAAATTTTGGAAAAAATAAGGGAACAAGGTTTTTGTCCCTTAAACTCACCCTAATCCATTCAAAATCAATAATTTTATTTGTTTTTCAATTTTTACTCAATTTTTTATTTTTTAAAAATTCATTATCAAAAAAAATCGAAAAAAATCAAGAAAATTTTTAAGAAAAATTCTTTTTTGAAAAGTCGAAAAAAGTTTACAAAAAATTTTTTTTTCGTTTTTAAGGAAATCAAAGTTTTCGACTTAGAATGGCAAACAAGTGACGGCCCACCTGATGGAAAGTGGTAACCGTCGCCTATAGACATGAGCAGTACCATGGACATAACAGAGTTTTTTCGCCCAAAAATTTTGCCATTCCTGAGGACTCATGTTATTCCTCTGTACCCAGTAAATTTTATATCCCCTTCAAACCGAAACACAGCCATGCAAACACAACTGCTTCACGGTTGAAACACGAATGGGACAGAGGTACCCAAGCAATCGACTTTGTACAAAGTCTCCTCTGGTATAAACTTTGATTGATGATCATACCACGTGGAGGTTGCACGACGAATCCGACCGTGCAACCTCCACGTGGTATGCTTTTTAATGCCGGCATAAATCGATCATCAATCAAAGTTTTTGTCAAAAACTTTGATTTCCTTAAAAACGAAAAAAAAATTTTTTGTAAACTTTTTTCGACTTTTCAAAAAAAAATTTTCTTGATTTTTTTCGATTTTTTTTTGATAATGAATTTTTAAAAAACAAAAAATTGAGTAAAAAGTGAAAAACAAATGAAATTATTGATTTTTGAATGGATTAGGGTGAGTTTAAGGGACAAAAACCTTGTTCCCTTATTTTTTCCAAAATTTCAATCAATTGGTCCGGGAAAAACCGTTGAACCTATCGCTCCAGGGATTTAGGGGGTTCTTTAAGGAACAATAGACTGTAAAATTTTCCTCAAACCTTAGCTTTCCCGCCCATATTAGCGAAGATACACTCAAAAACTTTTTCCACTTTTTTCAATTCAATGTTAGAGGTGGAAAAAAATTTTTTTTTCACTAACTCTTGACTGTGCTTAATTGGAAATTTTATGCAGATAAAGAAACTCGGCAACCGCTTGCTGTCGCGACCAGTAGTTCCAGAGATATTAGCAGTTGAATGGAAAAGGATGCTTTTGCATTCAAAGTTCGATATCTCGGAGACAAATGGTCGTAAATTTTCCAAAGCGATTTTTGAAGCTGAATAAACACGCTAAGAGACCTATACAATGGAGACGAAAAAAATTTTTCCATGCCCATAGAGTGAAAAACGAAACCTCTCTAGAAAAAAAAATATTTTCAGCTTTGTTTAAGAATTGCATGGAAACGGAGCTCAAAAATTTTTCACCAAAAAATCTGAAAACTAGAGTTTTCAAGCTTCAAAACCCTTTTTTTAAATTTCCTGTACGATTATTTTTCACTGAAATACAGCCTGTTGAAAATCACCCAAAAATTTCAAAAAAATTTATGTTCCCTTAATTTTTGCGAGGAGTGTAGACGGTACAATGTCATCAGCAAATAAATGTGCTAAAAGAATATAGGGTGTACATATCGTCTAAATACATATGTATAGTTGTATAAAAAGAACAAGTATAAATACAATAATATAAAATAGAAATACAAAAATAACATACATATAATACTTATATAATATTATCTACATTATATATAAAAATATATAGCACATATGTAGTTTTTTTTCTATGGATGAATATGGAATAAAGCACCCGCCTATGTTAACGGTATACAATTGTGGATGGACTGATTAGTGCCCCCTTCTGGGGGTTGCCAGTTAGGCTTTACAGATGTTTTAAGAGAGACGCTGCTGTCCATCTCTCGCCCGTCCTTAGTTGCTTCTTACGACACCCACGGGAAAGGAAGGGATGGTCTAATCTATGCCGGGACCATACGGCCAACATCTAATATACTAGCTGTAAATTTGGGTGTTTCTGTGAAACATTAAATGCAATTACTTTTCACAGATTACTGCTAGGATGGGCATGTATTATATATGTGTAATTCATAAACAGTACTATTAAGTTTACCTTTCAAGATAAAATTTATTACTTTGAGATTAGATATAAAGTGAAACAAGTGCTTCATTAATTACTGTTTATTCTCAAGATTACCTCGTCGTCTTAGAACGTACAAAAAACAGTTACTATTTATAAAAAAATATGGTGCACTTAATCAACATTTGTATTCAGTAAGTTTTATATTTTCTATTAGCACAGAATAGCGCATAAGTAAATAAATAAAGTTATTTGTATGGATTTGTTTTGTAGGATGAAGATATAGGTATAAAACTATGGCCCTTTTAATCATAAAAAAAAACAGTATTTTGTTCGTAAAGTGTTTATTATAGAGGCTTAAAATAAAAATTTAAAACTTTACTTGTTTAATGAAAAAGTTTCCCTAATTTACTAAATTTGTATTAAATTATAGTGTTATATTTGATACATTTCTATATACAACGCCATATAATGGTATCAAAAATAAAAGCGTTGTAGAATTGTCGTACTAGATAGAATTTAATGACACGATAAAAGAAGAATCTATATATATAATGGGCAGAAGGACAAAACTTCAATTAAAAGCTCCTAATAAAAATTAATAAATACATTAAATTTTTTGCCCTATCAGGGACATTAAACATATCTACGCCTATTTTGAGCCTTCCCCCTGAGGAGTACTAGAAATTATACGAATTACAGAATTACAATGCTACGAAATCAGAATTTTCAGATTTTTTTATTAAGCTAAAGCCTTTATTAGTAATATATCCTGTTAGATCGATCTCCACACAGTCCCTCCTATTTAATTTCTGGTGAATAAGTTATAACGAATCAGCAGACCTAACTTTATTTTCATAATATCGTCATTTACTGGTACTCCGCTGCAAGCGGAGTTACCATAACATTTTCATTCCTTAAAAAAAGTCTATAGTGATCAAATCTAACAAACCCAATAACCAAATAGCTAATTATTGCGAATACTGGCATATTTTATCAGATTTTGTCTAAATAATCTCTGTAGAAAATATTACAGCAACGTAAACATTTACTCTGTATCGAACGGTGTCTATACTAGTTATGTAAATTCAGATAATTATTTTCATGGTTGTCCTTTTGGGATTTTCTTTGCGATTAATAATTTTGTCAATGAATGCCTATAGCTCTACCTTGATTAACCACTTCATATAATATACAAAACGAGTGCATACCGACAAAGCCTCAACTTCCCATTCAAACTGACGTCGCAAGGGCGTTACACACGAGATGAACTACCCATACAAATAGCATTGAATGATGCGGGCGCGCATGAATTAGGTACTATCTATTCAGTAAACTTCGGTCGCTGTAGGTCTCCTATGTAAAATGAACATTGGAATTTAGTGATAAGGACGGGAATCGCTTGTCAACCTGTATGCTCTGTATCCATATCGTACCACAATCGATTGGATAAAGTCAATCATCTGAGGCAGGTCACAGCGACCGTGAAATTGTCAAGCGTCCCGTGCGGACCTCAGTGGGACCCCGCTTCGCGCGCTGTACACTTCCTGCCCAACACCAGAATATATACAGATCAGTGGGTAACATAGTGCTATTGTTTGTTAGTGTACATAAATGTGAATGACGTAAATTATTTTAAGTATGCAATAAAACAACTGTATAGAAGACGATTTGGGATAAGACCAATATGTAGAGCTGTCGACCCGAAGGAGGAAAATGTAAGTGATAATAAAAATAATGCGGTACCTACTACAGACATATATCTATCAGTTTATGTAACTTTTTAAGTAGTTTACCACTTATATAGTGTATAGATTATAAGATTTCCACAGCATTAATATAATTTTATTATTATTATTCATCTATCCAACATCATTGCAATTATATTAAAATAAGTGACAGTTTGTCAGTTTTTTTTTTTAATCCAACCACTAAATATATTTAGGAGTTCTTTTAAGCATGATAAAGCAATGTTTATCCCGTCTGCGTTATTGGTACAAAAGTGTGAGGCATCAGTAATGATGAGAATGAAGTAAGGCCAGTTAACCCGTCGTGAGGAATACACCAGAAATTAATTAAGATAGTTTCAGGGGATGGTGAAGGTCAATCTGAGAGAGTATATTGCTAGCAATGGGTCCGTTAGATAGTAATCAGACTATGATCAAACATGCCGTAAAAAGAGGGATGAAGGAGTCAACAGTGAAAATAGCGTCTATACATAGGATGTATTATGAAAATGCATGACTTAGGTGAAATAGGTTTCTGTTTATCATTTACTGCTCCATATGGGACCTTGGGTGAATATAAGCGTGTGCGCAGGAAAGAGGGCGGTCGCGAGGAGGAGTCGACCAACGCGGCGGAAGCGGCACCGGGCCCGGGTGTGCGGACCGAACACACCTGCTGCTGCCTCGGCGTGTTAGTGGGCGTCTCGCTCATTGCCGGTGTGTATTCGTATGCAATTATTATTAAATTAGTAGTACATTTTGTCATAACTTTTGTTTTTTTTTATACAACTTAGAATGGCAAACAAGCTGAGGGCCCACCTGTAACGACTGTTGCACGTCAGTAATAACAAAATCTGTGAAACCATTATAATATTACCATATGACCTTATTGTACCACATTTATAGCAATAAAATTCATTAATTAATTCATTCAATGTTTACAGTTGATTATATTGGTAGTGTTTCTACTACACAGCAGTTATTCTTTTTTTTATACAACTGGTGGCAAAAAAGCATACGACCCGTCTAATAAATGGGGTTACTGTAGCCTATGGACTTTTGTAACACCAGGGATTTCACGCGCCATGCCGATCCTTAAGAAACCTTAATAAGCCCTTTTTGAAGAACCCAATGCTGTAGTTTCTAGGGAAAGTCTCGGAAGGAAGATCGTTTCACAACCTGAATGTTCTTACAGGGATATGTTTAAGTTTGAAAAATGACATAGCAATGAAATTACAGGGTACGGAAGTACGAGTATAACATCTTAGTACTCAGGAGTGGTACTCTTCAAATCGAAACACAGCCAGTAGGCAAAGCTGCTCACGGCAGAAATATGAGTGGAACGGAGGTACCCAGGCAGACGCCTTAGTAGAAAGTCTCCGTCAGCTGAAGGAGGTTTTACAAGTCATAGCTTGTACACTATATAATTATATATCATAACAATGAAAAATTAAAAAAATTACGTGCATAAAATTTCAAGCTGCAGAAAGCTAATAATACTGTAAACATCCATGTCTTATAATGTCAATGTAAAAAATATAAATGTAAAAATGTATTTATTATCCAAGTATGTTTGTATAAGCACAAAATTTTGCATTGATTCCTAAACTAGACCTATTCGTAAAATTGATTAGTGGATCACGTGTGTACGTGTGTTTATCAGGATAAAGAATGTGTAAATTTATTGCTGGTTATGGCTGATGTACAGTTAAATTGGATGGGTTTCTCTAAAATAATTCTCTATGTATCCTCCTATCTGTAATACATAATTATCAGAATTATTAAAATTACTTGGTTTTTACTATACAGCCCTCGTAGCAGTTATACTGATGAAGGATAGTACGGTTGAAATTACAGCGTTACGACAAGTGCATGTGGTAAGTCCTACGAGTACACGCCGTAAATATATATAATTTAAATAATTATATTAGATATTTTACATAATCATAATTCGATGAGGAAAAACAAAGCTAACAATTTTATTATGTTATTGAGTTATTTTTTATAATTATTTTTAATTTTTGTAAAACTTATGTTATTTATATAGTACAGTTATATTATTTATTTAGTTATGTTATTTATATTATATAGATTGTTGTTTCTGACAATTGTTTCAACTTTATTCGAATCGTGCAAGACGAGTCACTGTGATGTAAGACGTAAGCACTGCATTTGTCCTGAAGAGTACTTCTGGATGAAGTAGCAACAATTGGCGAAAATGGCAAATAGTTCATTAAATTTTTCTAACTCAATTGTATATAAATTACTTTTAATTTCCGTAGTTAATGTCGCACGGAGAACGCACGCCGAGCGAGCTTGAGCTCGCCATGCTCGGGGCACCACCACCTGAACACGTTTTCGCGCCCTATGGTGCTGGAGCTATGACTAATGTAAGATGTTGATTAACATATTTTCACAGTAATTCCTTATTAGATATTATTATCGATTATTATTAATTCTACAACCAGTACGCTACTAAATTAGTAGGTATGTGTGAGTTTAGATAAGTCAATACGAGAAACATTGAAAAGACTAATCTCTCTTCTGTATATGTAACTTATTATCCTGATAACAAGAGTTGTTTATCAGGAGGCAGAAATGTCATTTTTATTAGAATTATATAAATTAAGTATATGTATTTTATATAGTTCCATCTCTAAAGATCGCATTTTCATAAATAAAACTGTATCACACGGTTATGCTAAATCAACGTTTAAAAATTTCTCATACATTCAACGATTTATTAGATTAGTAAAAACCGTGAATACAAAGTCGAACTAATAAAACTGCAATAAATTTTATTAGTATGTATTACATCATGGGAATGAGAGCTCTGGGTTTTAACAATAGCCTTTTAGCGTAGTTCCTCGGTTCATCAAATGAGGTATCCGGCAGCCGTAACAAATCACTCGTCACATATACAACACACTGAAGAGCTGTATTGAGTGTGGTTTTTGCGCATTTTTGTATAGGACCTGTTTTACGACGTTAAACATTAGCCTTATCAATACGTTTAATACTTATTTTATAAACAAATTTCTTTCATAATGAATCGTAAAAGAATTTGTTCAGCAAAAAGACTTTAACAGTAACAATAATACGGAACCAACACGTCAGTAAACCCTACAAGATTATAAAATATTCAGAGTGAAATAAAAACTTGTCGTAGAAATCGCAAAATATGGCGATATATGACAGCTAGCTGTCAAAGCCTACTACTAACCTGTAAATTAAAACACATAAATTCGGATTTTCCAGAAGTTATAAATTTTCCCACATACAGACATTTTTTTATTGTAGTCATTTCCTTAATACTATGAAAAAAATAATAATTAAAAAGCAGATAGTGAGTTGACATAGTAGAGTTAAGCGGCGAGTTAGGTTCACCTGGCTCACGGGTTGATCTTGTTCCTGAATTATGCACCCAATGTTATTTCTACAGGCATTTTACCATCTCATGTCAGTAATACGGTTGTATTAAGTACATGGATTATAATTATGCTTTTATGCCTACTTGTTATTATAAAATATGTATAAAAAATAATTTGCACACATATAAAGTAACGCTTTTTATATTAATAATTATCAACTGCTCGATTTATAGACTCAGTAGTTAGGAATGCAACGGTACGTGTTATGAAAGTGTTATGAAGCAAGAGTATATTTATGTAAGGATAGAGGCCCTTGGCACTCGGTTCTCCCTACTTCGTAAAGGACTTGGCGTGAATAGATAGTTGTTAGGTATAATAGATACACGATTTACCATTGTTGTATAATATCGAAATATGTCGTATAAATATACTGGTGAAGACATCTATTATGCTTTTGTGTGTAATATTCATTTAATAAAGTCGTCAGTTCTCTGTTTAAATCTCGACGTATCGTTTTACTCCTCCCCACATACATTAATCATATTTGTCGACTGGTGCGTAAAGTTGAGGGATCACAAGACAAATGTCTTTATAACAAAGTCTACTTCCCGGTCCGCATACGGCGGGCATTACATACGGGGGGCGATTCCTGAAGGTCGCGAGGTGCTAAACGAGGTCCGTGAGACGCAGATAACCGCCGTCAGCCACTAATAATGATTTATTGCCTGTCGCGCCGCGCGTCACCGACCTAATAGAAGTAAATAGAAAAGCATTGTAATGTCAGGGGGCACACTCGAAACAAAACTCCTTGTCACGGACACGTGACCACTTGGTGAATGTAACTTTTAAATGACTACAAGTGGAAGAGATTTGTTTTCTTGATTCAACAATATTTGTTTTATATGTGATTTTTTTTTTGCAATTAATAGGGTTTATTTACCCCAATATTGGTCTTCTTTTAATTTTGTCACAAATGAAATCGCCTTTTTTTATTTTGCTCAGTAAAATTTTAAACGTCTGTTTATATTTTCAGGAAGGGAAGATGTTGACGTTCGAAATGGGCGCATTACTTAGGAAGAGATATAACGAGTTTTTAGGACCTTATTACGAGCCCGGTAATCATTAAGTATAACAGAATATTTATTACGTTAATAATTTCAAAAACAAAGAAGAATAAGTAGTTTTTCTTTTCTGTACTCACTGGTATGTATATCACAAGTAACTCATGATAGCAGATTATTATGAAATATATATAGGCTAGCCCAATATAAGGTCGTGCCATCTTTGTGGACCTACTACGCTGGATTATATAAACACTTCTCTCTTTAAGATGTTCAAATGGTTTTATCAGTTATGATAGTAAACAATGAATTGTATGCTACAAAATTAAAGTATATTATGGAATGCAATAAGAAATAAATAAATAAATAGTGTCAAGTGTAAATATAGAGAAAAAAATTGAGGCCGTAGGCAAAATTTTCTTCTTCTGCCTTAAATGGTAAGAAACTGAAATACTGACGGGAATTCCACAATTCGATGAAATGCTAAATACAAATTGTTGTATATATCAATTTCGTACATATATTTAATAATATTATGGTATTATAATTCATTAATATATAATATTTATATTTAATTTTGAAATTGAAAAAGTACCTAGAACACAGCATAGTGATAGCGTCGGATACAGGACTGAGCAAGATGACAGCCCTATTGATAGCAGCGGGCCTGTGGCCGCCGCCACCCGAGCAGATGTGGAATGACACGGTTCTGTGGCAACCAGTGCCTTATACATACCCACATCCGGATCAAGATTATGTAAGTATTTTATCTAAGCTTCTTGTAGTTGAACATTCAACTATTTATTTTTCAAGTATGTACCACACAATCACACAAATGTTCTGGTGTCCTCAAACTAGTATATCCTATGTTATGAGCAACCATGTATATATGGTAATAAACCAAGAACATCTAGACGCGAAACAATTGAAAGTTTTTTTCCTAAATTGGTCAGATCGAGAACGGAACCCGGGACCACATTACGTAAAATAATATACCAACAGTTGCGCTACGAAGGTCGTCATAGTCAAAAGATAGAAAGTTTTTAATATTGTAATTATTTATGTCGACTTGATCACGTTTCAAATGAGTTCATGTTTCGAGGATTCCATATTTAGTATGTAAAAAGTATTTTTTTTGTTTTCTTTACTTTTCAAGACTTCTTTCCTGTGCTTAATTTTAATATGTAGTAATCAAGTCGATCTGAAGCTTTAAAGTCGTAATCTGGAGTTACTTAAAAATATAAATCTTGTATAATTATTACATAGACATTCGAAATTATCTAATAACACTTATTTGTAATACCGTGTGGTCCTGACACAAAATGGACCTGTTTCTTTTCCGTGGGTATCATAAGAGGCGACTAAGACAACTTAATGGTCGCGAGATGGGCAGCAGCGTTCCTCTTAAAACATTATTAAAGACTAACTGTGGTTGCCAATCCGCCTGCCAAGCGTGCCAACTACTCGCAAAGTACCCCAGTAAATGACATGAAGATGACTTATTTGTATAACTTAAAGCATTTAAAGCTATTGTGAAAGATTTTTTTTTTAAAGTTATTTAGATATAAATTTATTAATCAGTATTGATAAAAAGCATATTTAATTTGTCTGCCATAATGGAGTTGCCATAATTGTCAAGAACAGAGATTATGACTTTATTATACGTTAATCGAAGTATATATGTTACGAGTACATTAAGCACAAATTAATTGTATTTAAATAAAATATAAATTTCAGCTTCTATATGAAGAGAACTGCCCTCGATACAAACAAGAGAAGGAAAGAATATTAAAGGCATTTATAGAAGAAGGATTTCTAGTCCCGTATCGCGATTTCTTTCACAAGATATCTCAGATGACCGGTACCAACTTCAGCACACCGCAAGACGCGTACTACCTTAACAATTTATTTTTGATACAGGTTTGTTATTTTATTTTTAATATCTGACTTTTACTTAATTAAATTTATTGAACTAGTATTTATATCACGTATCAATAAAATTTGATATAATACTCTTAAAACGTAAATAAAGTTGCTGTCTTAGCTAGTAAGTCATAATCCTTACTCATAGCGCCTTTACAGGTAAACCCAACAACAATAAAATTTGGTATACACGTACTTTATGGGATGGAGGAGATAGACTACTTTTTATTCCGACCAGTAATCAAATCCTGGTCATACGTACAAAGTCGTGGGTAAAAGTCACCATATATAAAAATCACAAATATTTTCTAAAAGTACAGTTATACTCGTATTAAGAACCCATACTTATTTACTGATACTAATGAACAATAATAACATAACGCCGTAGGGTCATTAGCACGATTGGGTACAGTCGTAACGTAATCCACGACTTCATATAATTATATGGATAAGCATGTTTAGCCGTCACCTAGATATTGCACACAATTGTTTAAAATAAAAAGGTGTTTTCTTTGTATATTAGAGGAGGACAGAAAAAAAAATATAAGTATTAAAAAATTGTAAGAGGCCAGTAAACTATAGTATTTACTTTAAAATTAAAAAAAAAAAAACCTTTAAATAACTATACAGACATATTAGGTACTTAAAACAAACTTCTTTCATGTTCTCTACGTTTATATTATATTTTTTACAAAATTTATACGTTGTTTTCAGGACGATATCAAAGTAGCTAATCCGAAATGGGCAAAACATGTGAAACGAAAACTGATGGACGTCGCAAGATTGGAGTATTCAATGATGTTTCATAACAACCTTCTAAGGAAACTCAGTGGTGGTAAAAAGTGCACTAAAATTTTATAACGTTCGGTGGCTAATTAGGAAACCATGTATCTACAGTTTGTTGTTTCAAATTTATGGTTGTCAATAAAATTAACAAACCATATTAAGACTGAACTTCCTAGAGGGATTGTTGAGTTGAATTGTCTACGGTAATGAGAGATATGCTGAATTTTATGACGTTAGGATCTTAATATGAGAACTATTTTATTCGTCACGATGGACTGACATACCTGCTTTCATGCTCATCTATTATCCCTCACTGGTGCCCCGCCAGTGCATACCGATAGCGCAGGTGGGGTTGCCATTTCATTATCATGCATTAAAAAAACCTACGTTTAACACATATTATTATAATACTTAGGTATTCTATGCTAATACTTAGTTGCCAAATATGCTATAACATCACAACCATAATATATATTCGTTGTTTGAGTAACAAATTTTACATATTATAATAATAATCTACTTATTAATAAGGAGATTGTTTCATATTAGGTCCAATAGTTGTACAGTATTTCAAAAATAAAATTAGAAAGAATTAAATTAGGCATAAAGTTTGTGTTAAGTAGTTAATTGACACATACGAGTAATACTTTTTTGTTACATCATCTAAAATACCATCAAAACAGTTGGAGAGCGAAACTGACAACAGATCATAGATTTAGTGTAAAATGAAAGCAGTTAATGATATGAAAGCTTTTTAATTTTGTTATTTCATAATATTATGAGTCAATATCTAAGAATATCCGAAATATTTGGTCAATAAAGAAATAATATAACCAGCCAGTATTATAAATCTGTATGAGATGTTTCATATTAGAGAAACGAGATATTGTGCAAAGAGTTAATATTATCACAATTAATTTAAAAAATGTACAACAGAGTTATTTATTCAGTGAAATCATTTATTATATTTGAATACTTCGCTTCAGGAACCCTACTTCAGCAGATAATAAAAGAAGCCCTGATCAACACGAAGGACAGATCAAGTCCGCGTGTTATAGTGCGTACCGGGACGCCGGTGTCAGTGGCGGCGTTGTTGTCCGCATGTGTCGCCCCACCCCCACGTTTGCCGGACCCTGGAGCTGCATTACTATTCGAGTTACACGAAAGGTTACCTTCTCCCCAAGGCAAGAAAGAGCATAATAAATTGACTGATGGACAACGGTTCGGGTTTAAGGTAACTATTAAAAAAATCATCACTAATTTAATTACAAGATTAAACTTAGTACAACATGTGTATAGTATATACATATGTGTGTGTGTGTGGTGAACAGACTTTTGGTTTCTGATATTTCGTATATCAATCAACAAGAAATTTGTGCAAACTTTACTTTTTTTATGCAATTTATAATGGCAAATAAGTTGACGGGCCACCTGATAAAAAGCGGTGCAGGCAACTCTGTTATGTGGCACTGTTCATGTCTATAGGCAAAGAGCCTATAGACATGAACAGTGCCATATAACAGAGTATACTGTGTCGCCCATGATACCCTTCATGCATTGTCATTCCTAAGAAATAAGATGTTAATGTCTCTGTACATTGTAATTTCATTATTATATTCCACTCTTCGAATTGAACAGAACTGTTTCATGGCGGAAATACGAATGGAACAGAGATACCCGCAAGCAAATGAATTTTGTAGTCTCCCTCTGGTATATAACTTAATATTTACGAATAAACACTATATTTTTCAAAGAAAATAAAAAAGATACTTTTTATATTTAGTATTACTTGGCATTAGACAAAATGTGTCGGGCCATTGAAAATTCCTATAGTGTCCTTGTTTCAATTTAATTATGCTATATTGTATTAATTCCAGATATACTATTGGGATGACGACTCTGCCGAACCTCGTCTGATGGAGGTTCCAGGCTGCAACGCATTCTGTCCCCTAGAAACCTTTGAAGAGTTGACTAAATATATAGTTTCCCATAATTATAAGAAAGACTGTGCACTGGTACCAACCGTGTAGTCACGAGTGACTTCCATGCATAGTGACGTTTAAACGAATGGACTAAGGCTGTGGTTAATTAAAAATGAACTATACAAAGATTGAAATAAAGTGTGACTTCGCTTACTTACCCTCGTCGATTTTGAGCCCAGCTTCGTCTGGCGGTATGTTTTTAGATAACTCGGCGAATTCGTCTGCACCCCATGACTGGGTGCCCCGTAATTTTAAATATTCTGCTATCAGTGCCGCTATGTGTAGTTGGCAACACATGGCCTGTAAAAAAAGTAATAAACGATTATAATGTCTGAAAGTTTTTTTTTTTACTATTTTATATAACCTGAGATAATATCCTGATTGTTGAAATTCTGAAGAAGATTACATAATTTTAAAATGAAATATTTACATATTTGTAGGTACTCGTTTGGAACCTTTCCTATGATTGGGAGAAGACAGATGTCTGAGGTGATTAATCGTTAGTATTATGCCATTGCAGAGGGTGTAGTAGAAATTTGATATCTCTGGCTCGATCTTTATTGACAGTACAATATTACAAAGTATCTGCTGTAAAATAGCATGCTGTGTTTACATTTTTTTATACAACTTAGAATGCAAACAAGCTGACAGCCCACCTGATGGAAAGTGGTAAGCGTCGCCTATAGACATGAGCAGTATCATGGACATAACAGAGTATACTGTTTCGCCCATGATACCCCCATGCGTTGCTATTCCTGAGGACTCAGGTGTTATTCCTCTGTACCCAGTAAATTCACGCCATATCCCATCCTTCAAACCGAAACACAGCCATGCAAACACAACTGCTTCACGGTTGAAACACGAATGGGATAGAGGTACCAAGTAATCAACTTTTGTACAAAGTCTCTGGTAAAGTAGTTACTAAACTGTAGTAGATTCCAGTAGTTTGTTAGATTCATATAATATTTATTATTATTTCAACTTTTATCTGTCTACTGCTGGACATAAGCCTTTCCAATAAGCGGACTTTTGCCAGTAGTTGCAATGTTTGGCAGGCGGGTTGACATCCACAGTTAGATTTTTAGAGATGTTATAAGAGGGACTCTGCTGCCCATCCCTTACCCTCCCTTAGTCGCCTCTTAGGACACCCACGGGAAAAGAAGAGATGGCCTATTCTATGTCAGGGCAAACACGGCGAGAATCCGAAAATAGTTTTGTCAACAGTTTCAATGTCTAATTTTAATCAAACAGACGTCAGTATAAAGGTGAATTAATACTATTAGTAACTGATAGTTTGGTAAGATTACAATACCTCGTCGTGATCTCCCTGCCTCGCATTATGGTCGGCGAGGGTCGCGAGCCACGCATGTCGCAGCCGCGGCGTCGCGCGACAGGACGCCGCCAACGCGTGCTGCAGCTCAGCTAAGTGTACTCCGCCTGCAAATAAATTATATATTAGTAATACATATATACACAGAGTACGAAGATAGAAGTGGCATGTATGTACAAGGTTCTACTCTTCATAAATGGAGCCTTGAATTCTTTATTATTTTATTTTATTTTTTTTATTTTTTTTTTTATATATATTTTCATAAAAACATTACAGAGTCCAATTTGGAATTACAGGCTTTATAAAGAAAAGGTTATTAAGATATCAATTTAAGAATAATATAAAACCGATAGATATACTTTAATAAATATTCTAATAGAACTAAATAAGTTTGGATCATCTGATGGATAGTGGCAATCGTCGACTGGAGATGCACTAGTATGCATTGTTATTTAGAATATCATTTACTCAAGTTCTTATAGAATGTGAACAATAATACTTACTTATCTATTATTAAGAAAATATTCGAATATTGCTGATAATAAATACAAGAATGACTTACCAGATCCACCCGAGCCACCGACGCCTGCGAGGCGAGCTCGAGCGCCCACCACAGTCCGTACACGTCGCATCAACTCTGCCACTTCACTTGATAAACCTATATAAAAAGATTTTTTTATGATAAATATGATGAACAACATTCTCTGATAAAAACAATTTATCATTTATATAATTATCTCTTGAAATAGATTACACTAGGATTATTATAGATTATCATTTATCAGCACAACGCATATTCTAAATGGTGTAATGGATTTTATATAACCCGTGTGGTCAGATTTATTTTTGTAGGATTTTTATAGGCTAAGTATAAATAGCATAAAATAAATGTCCGCATATTTTATGCGCGCCCGTTAATTACACAATGGTGCGATTTAAACGACAATTTTCAAAACTATGCTGGATTGCAAAAAAAATATAGTCAGGTATTCGTATTTGCGAATTATCACTTCCATCTTGTTTGTTATTTCAGTTATTAATGACAATTCTGATATTAAACATACCATATTATAAATATAGAGATTGTAACAAACCTGTTCCTTTCATAGCTTTGTCGCCAGTAGCGAAGCAGTTGATCACAGAGAGAGATTCTTGGAAACGCTTGCAGTTGAGCGCCGTCGAGTCATCCAATAATTTCGAAACAGCTATAATGACCTGCGTAGCATAACAATAATAGTGTACAGTAGCCAAAACATACAGCAAAACTAATTATTACAGTTACTTTGTTTCTGTATGCTATTAATTAGGAACTACTAAAAAAGTAAAAATTTATAAAGACAATTTGAATGTTCGTTACTAAATGGTGTTTACTTGCCCAAATTGATCTGTATCTCTGGACATCAAGGATCTAAATAAATACTTATCTGAACTGGTACATTCATTATTTGTTCTTTAAGTTGAAATTAACCTACCGGTAGATGGAGTCTAGTGTAGGTCGTACAGTAGTGCGTGTAGCAAGTATCAGTAGGTGGAGTATCACCTGGTAAAGGCCGCGTTGTACAGTAGTACAGGCAGCAGTATGTACCTGCAGATGGAGCCTGGTGAGAACCGCGTTGTACAGTAGTGCATGTAGTTGGTACCTGCAGGTGGAGCCTGGTGAAAGCCGCGGTGTACAGCAGTGCGTGTAGCAAGTATCTACAGGTGGAACCTGGTAAAGGCTGCGCTGTACAGTAGTGCGTGCAGTTAGTACCTGTAGGTGGAGCCTGGTGAAAGCCGCGCTGTACAGTAGTGTGTGCAGTTGGTACCTATAGGTGGAGCCTGGTGAAAGCCGCGCTGTACAGTAGTGCGTGCAGTTGGTACCTGCAGGTGGAGTCTAGTGAGGTCCGCGCTGTACAGTAAGAGTACGGGCAGCAGTACGTACCTGCAGATGGACCCTGGTGAGGGCGGCGCGCGCGGCATGCTGGAAGTTGGCGCGCATGAGCAGGTAGAGCGCGGCGGCCGCCTCGCGCCGCAGCGGCGCCGCGCGGGCCGCGCACAGCCGGACTACTGCGCTTACAACGCCCGCGCACACAGCACTGCCGCCTGCGCACATACCGTAACAACATAAGCTTATCCCGCAGTTAAAGGAGGGAAAGGGATTGTTAGTAATGGAGATTGAGAATCACATTGCTAGCAATATACCCAACTAGGTCGACCTCCACGCGGTTCCCCCTGAAATCTATTTTGGTTAATTCCTGTTGCGGCCTCTTTGACCAGTTTTCTCGTTGGCCACTAAGACATTCTACAATTAAAAACTGACAGCTTGAGACAAAACAAAAGGACTTGGACAAAAGACCTATTAGAAGACGGATATAATTTAGAAACAAATTTGCCTTTTAATTTTTAATACCTTTTGACGACAAATTCGGACCCTTCGACCTTACAAACGGTCCATCGACCTTTTAATTCCTAAAGAATTCATCATTATGGGCTAACTGACCTATTTCATTCTCACCTATCATCCCTCACTAGTTGCCCCACCAGCGTATACCGTTAGCGCAGACGGAGCAGCCATTCCATTTTTACTCATAAAAAAAAAACCCCGCAGTTAAACACACGACATACTACTTCACATTGCGGAAAATCGCACGTAAATCGTCCTACATAGTTTGAAAAAGGAATTTCCATGAGAGTAGGACACAATGGAACTATGTATAAATGTAACTGATATCACCTGGATGATTCTGCTATCCTAGTACTTATAGAATATCTAGATTCTTATGGAATTTGATAAAACGACGGGATTAACCGCGCCATCCATTTGTGGTGATTCTTCTATCTAAACATAATCGATAGTTGAAAGCTAATTGTAAATAAGATTGTGATAATAGTAACTCTAGTATTGTAAAAATAAAATACATACCTTCAAAAAGTGTATTAGAAAACTGATTTATATAGGCTCGGAGTGCAGCAAATAGATGCTTGTACAGAGTTTCGCTCTGTGGATACTGTAACAATTTAAGGTAAGGCTTGGCGGCTACACCGTCGGCTGCGCCCAAATTCTTCATGAAAAGACATGTGCGGTCAATAATGATCAGACCGACTTCTGTGGCTAGGCAAGCCGCAGACAGTATAGTATGTTCTGCTATTGCTTCTAGTTCTGAAAACATTATTTTTTTTATTAAAATTTGTCTAGTAGTTCACTACCGATTGTAACAGAATAGTTATAATGAATATCTATACCTGTTGTAACAGTAGGTGTCACCAAGTTCTCTCTATTAACTGTGTTGTTCTTCTCCACCATAATGGGTGGTTCCTTGGAGAAGTCGGGTGGACTCATCCTAGCTGGTAACGTGCGAGCTTTGATAGGTTTCGGTTTTTCGCTAGCTTCAGGCGTCACAGTTTTTAGTTCCGCCAAGATTTTCTTTCTACCCACATATTGAAACTGTTCTGCGCATATTCTAAAATTAAATATAGAAGCAAATTTGAATAACATTCTTGATAAATTTTCTAACATAAAGTTGAGAGACGACCTCAAAAGGGGCTATAGTTTTTCCATTTGTTTCAGAAGTTCAGTTCAGCAGTGGAAGAGTTTTTTATTAAACAACTTTAAGATTTTATTAAGTAAATATAAGAATATAGTTTTATATCTACCATAACACTAACAATAGGCAAAATAGCTTTAACTAGTATTTCTGGTATTTATCATAAATAATTTTTGACTGACACGAAAAACGTATAAATTTCAAATTCCGATATATAAATATATTCTCATATGGTTGAAGATACCATTAATAAAACGCGCAAGATGGCAGAAAGTTAATACCTGCCAAATTAAAAAATAACTAGACTAAATGCGTGGTAAAGCATTACATTTAATACACCGACAACAGTCAACAAACACTTCTGGGACACAACAAACCAATCTGGGATACGTACTTAGTCAGCCGTACTAGTCAATAATATAATATAATTATTTATATACAGTAATAACATAAGAAACCCATTTCCGTACACTTACTCTAAAACATTAAAGAAAGACTGTTGTTGCGCTTGCGTGTGAGTCTTCCACCATTCTACGAGTCTTTCCTCGTCTAAGTATTTCAACACAAACAGGAAACACAAAAGCACATCTCGTACCTCCTCAGCGGACATAACACCGAATCTGGGACACACACAAATCATACAATAATGAAACTTAATGTGAATATCGTTGGATCAAATTTAGTTCGGATGGGGCGTGTATTACCTGTTGACTTGATCACCAATTTCGCTCAAGTCCAGCCGCCCTATATTCCTAGGTAGCGAGTCCCCACCGGACATTGTCGAGACTGACTCTAGTGAGCTTTGAGATACATTGTTTGTATGATCTATAAACATAAGTGCAAGTGTATAGACGTAAATTTATAAAAAGTGTAATTAAAAATGAGAATCCTTGTGTGTGAAAAAAAAGATAATTGACAAAAAGAAAAATGTATGTATGCAGATATACTAAGGGCTTTTTAATATTTTACTAATTCTCCTTGGGATTAAAGATGATCACACACTGATCTACACCGATCGCATCGAAAAAAGTAAAATAGTCTAAGTCAAAAAACTTACAATAAGCTGATATCTTGGATACTTATGCGCACCGAATCGGAATTGTCAAAAGAATTTATAAAGATATCCAGACGAATTCAGATTATTTCATCAAAAAGCGCGGTAATAGGGGAACATGCTCCTTCATTATCTGTTATTTCAACTGTGTTGCCACCTTTATTTATATTCTTTTATATTAAATTATTCATTCAAAAAAGAATTGCCACTTTCCATGAGAAATATTACTATAAATACACATACATACATATAAATACATTGATACTACTATCTAAAAATTCGCCTAGGATAATAAAATGGTTATATAGATATAAATAATGACAATAAAATTCTTGTCAAATTTGCTACCTAATATACTGATGTATTTTAAGTAACTTCATCTCGTTCGGCGCGGAAAAGAGTGCGATCACTTTAAGGAAGACATCAAAGGAGGTCATTGACAACTTACAAGTTTACATAGAAAAACAAAACGAATTTAAATTAACATTCACAAGTCAGGCCAAAACCAAGAGACAAACATCAACAGATTATGAACTTACCTTTGCCATACATATTTATATTCGGTGGTTCTTTAAAATGCGCAGAGTTCCGGGCGGGCGTGTGGTCGAAGTGCAACGTGAGCCGGTTCCGTCGCGGCGTACTGCTCGCTGACGTCACTTCTTTCGCCGTGACAGCCAGACATGCCGTTCCGTCACCGTCCAGTTTGTCATGCCCATTTTCTAATACCGGACTAGCGAGATTTTTTGTTATTAGGCGATGGGCGTTGTCTGCAAGTAAAGATTTATAATAAACTTCCTTCTTCTTCTTCATTGATCTTCTACTTACGTGTATGTATTAATTTGAAATGTATTATTTAGATGGTTTCGAAATTTTGTACTATTAAAAACTACTAAAGGAAAGATTAATAAGTAACTTTCGAGTAAGATTTCATGGCAATAGAGACATCACAGTAGTAATAAAATACATACAGTCTCATTCAGTATTGCATTAAGTACTGTAATAAAATTCAATGACAATTTAACCTAGTCATATCTCAGCTACTTAATTTTGACATAGAATGTAAAGACAACAGCGGCAATGTATAACTATACAGTAATATCCCTGCTGACATACGGGATAGTCCTTCTATTACTTCCTTCATGAGAAGACTGAAATCACACCTTTTAATCAATAGTACATGATAATTCTATGCACTTATAGACATGTATATATATTTATCTATTTACTTATTTATTTATTTAATTATTCACAATTTGTGTTTGTTGTATTTACATTATTTTTACCAGTGCCTTCCCTGCAATGGATTACCCAAATTATTTTCTCTCTAACTACACTGGGTTGGCTGGAAGAGATCTCTTTCAGAGAAAAGCCCTACCTTGCTAACAAGTTGTTAAACTAATCATTGTATGTATTGTTTAAGTGCAACCAACCGCTTACCATCAGGTGGACCGTATGCTTGTTTGCCACCTCAGTAGTATAAAAAACATAAAGAATATATATAATAACGTAAGAAGATTTTTTATAAGAGTGGGAGATTTTTTTGTAAGAGTTTTTTTTTATAAGACTTTGATAAGAGTGTAGTTGGTCACGCTGTTAACTGCCAGCGGCGGGTATACGGACCGAGCACGACGGTGAGCCAGGGCGCGTAGAGCTGCGCGAGGCGCGCGCGCGCCTGCCGCGTGCGGTAGCGGTCGTCGTGCTCGTGCTTGGTGAGCAGCGCGCGCAGCACGCCCAGCGCGCCGCGCCGCTTCTGCGGTGCCTCGCGCAGCGACTGCTCCACCTAGCCCACATGTGTCTATATCAATGCTAAGACACGCGACACAACTACGCGATCGGTATATCTACGGAGCTAATATTTTTTAAATTACCAACGAAAAAAAAAAAATTAAAAATATAGTGTCTCGTGTATAAGGGCAGACACACGAGTGTATGCGTGAGTGAATGCTGTGTTTGTGTCCAAACATGGGTTTAAGCATTAGCGCGTACTAACTAAACACTTATATGCGCACTTTACTATAAGAATAACATGTTAATAATATTAAAATAGGCTGATAAGATTTTAATCAATGTAGTCGTAGTAGAAGAATAGTATATAGTAACTGTAATAGAATGTAGTTAATTAATGTAGTTTGTATTCAATTTTTTTTTGAGCATAAATAAATAATCTTACATGTTTTAGTAAAACTCCAGCGAGAAAGTGCCTCATAATGAAGTCTTCGGTCAACATCAATTTAGCGGGATCTATTAACAGAATATTCATTTATTTAAACATAAGATTGATAATTTTTGATACATATTTATATTGTAAAATATTTATTTTAATAATTCAAGAAATATGTAAAAAAATACGTAATAGTGGTTTCCTATTTTAGTTGTAGTAGTAGTGTAATGTAACACTGATAGGATCTCCTAATGTATATGGTGAACTATACGGTTCCTTAGGTATCATTTGCGATTAAAACTGTAATTTTTCTCTTTAATATGAAAAAACTATAGATATAAATCATACTAACCTTCATCATAATCCTTAGACAATTTGTTTGCTTGTAAAGGCAAGTTGAATGGGACAAAATGTTCATGAGAACATATCGTTTGGAGAAAAGTAAATTTGAAGTCAAATAATGCCTTTGGATCGCATGCCTTAAATTTATCCAAATACTTCTTTATTTGCCGGAACAAAAATCCTCGATCCATAAACGATAGACACGACTGAAACGAAAAGTATACGTGACTATGTTAAATTTAAAGGAATAAGATGTCGTATCGATGTCTTAAAAAACGTACGATGGAAGACCGCCACTCATCCAAGTGACTAGATGGACCTTATAACTATCTTTCGTTAGGTCTTCTCCGTTTTAAGTTCTAATATATATAATAACTTAATAAATTATTTATATATCATGAAGGTGGCAAAAAGCATACAGCCCATCTGATAGTAAATGTTCACTGTAGCTCATGAACACCTGCAACACTAGGATCATCACGTGTACATTGTCAACCTAAAGAAATCTTAATACACATTTTTTTTTTCAAAATAGTCTCATACATTAATAAACTGTTGAAATACCTTAAGAAAAACAGCGAGGTTCTTGTTGAATATATGGGTTTGCATTGGCTGTTGTAAAATGTAAGATGGTTCCACCGTGGTGACTAACTTATCAATATTATCCAGAAGATCACAATGAAACCTTTCATGTCTTGACATCTAAAAACATAAACCTTAAAAATAGGTAGTTTAAAACACATTTCAATCTGCGAAAGGTTATAGGTCTAGTAATATTCTGCGCATTGAGCACAGTGCAGTTAATAATTATTTAAAGTTGCTGTAAAATAACTGTATACTTATATAGTTTTTTACATTATACAACTTAAAATTTATACATCAAGATCAAATGTTTCATTTAATGCACGGTTTTAATAACTATTTTTCTGATGGAAAGTGATAACGGTCGCCTATAGGCATGAGCAGTACCACAGTACAACACGAATGGAACAGAGGTACCCAAGCAATCGACTTTTGTACAAAGTATTATTTAGTATTTTGTATTAGTACAGTAGTAACTCTATACAGTTATTTTATAGTAACTTTAAGTAATCTAGTAATCATAAATAAGATACTTTCTCAAGACCAAATGTTTTATTCAACGCATACGTTGTGTTTTAGTAACTGTTTGCTTTTCACACCCTTTAAAAAAACAGACAGCCATACGACAACTGCTATATTGCGTAGAAACATAGAAAGGGACACATCTGCCATTGCTATTTTGTACAAGTAAAAAAAAAGGTTTCTCTGGCGAAAACATGAGCTTTGCGAACTAGTTGTTCTGCGCTGATCAGATTACTCGTATGGCGCGTATAATACCATACTATAGTTACAATACTATAAATATAAAAGATTTTATAAGAACTATAATTTCAAGGTATTTCACAGATCATCGAGACTTTCATTGCTAGAAAGTTTACGCGTGATGCAATTTGAAAGTAATTTTTCATACGGACATTTATAATAAATAATACATGTAGTAACTAGTTAAAAAAATGTCCCATCATCAGGTTGCTGATATACTTACCTACTAATACATAGTAAACGATTATATTGAAATGAATAAATTACATACATATATAGTACATTATATATAGTATTGTCTATTAAAGTCACTTATTAAATATTAATAAATCCTATTTAAAGTTATTACTTCTTATTCGCGTAATATGCAATATAATTTTTTTAAGATTTTTTTTTCCAATGACTGTATTATATAAATGTTATATTAAAATCTTACCTTTATTCTACCAGTGTTGATTAGGTATTGAGCCATGCTTTTTATAATAATATCAAAGAAGAATCCAGAATACTGCATAAATTTGTGACCCAATAAGAAATCCTGTTGGTTCGGATCAACAAACAAGTGAAGTGGAGCAGTTAACACTGTGTGAAGTTTGAACTCTACGCAGTTGAAGACATACTGTAAAAAATAAAAAGTCAATGGAAAATAAAACAAAAAAGTGTTGCATTTAATAATTTTTAATAAACTATTATATTAATTATTATTATTTTTTCTATCTGTAATTTCTTTATTATATGGAGGGTATACCATAAAAAAATAACACCATTCGGGAATAGTTGTCATATTGAAATTCTTAATTATTACTAAATTTTACATTATATCATTTTGTTTGAGTGCTAGCTGTATCCAGCAGTTCCACCCGCATGAATTCATATATAGAGTATCCTATGCACTAAGTTAGAATGTAACTTATCTGTGTACCAAATTTCATTCAAATGCGTGAAAGAGTAACAAACATCCAACTTATCAACAACAAATTTCGCATTTATTATAATAATAGGATAAAAAATATTGTTGTAAATTAATCTTTCTAGAATATGCAACTAAGTATTCTTTTTAATAATTTGACAATCTGTATACTGTGAATCATTTAAACTATAAATATACGAAAATGAGGTCAGTTACCTTGACGTAGCTATCGAGTAAATCCTTTCGTCCATAATCGTGTATCATGTGAACGAAATGCACTATTAACTTCACTATTTGATAGCCCATGTCTTGAGTGTAATTTTTTTCAAAAGTCTGAAATACATTTTAATATGTTACCAAAAGTTGTAATTAGTCCATCAACAAAATATTTATAAAGTTACACAACACAGCATCGCACAATTTAAATATCACTCCATTATTTAAATATATTTTACTAAATATATATATGCAATTGTAAGTAGACTTTTTTCATTTTTTCGTAACAATATCCTGAACGTGCATGGAAAAAAGATGTTTCATTTTGGGTCCAGACATTGTACAGTATTAAAAAAAATTTGAGACATTCCGAGATCATTGGATAAATAGAACAAAATTCATTCTGTAAATAGTTCATTGACACATAAATATAATTGATTATTTTTTCTAATTGTTATTTTATATAACATACAGTGTCAATGTAAAAATTAGAATAAAGAAGTCATGAAATAAAAATAAAAATATAAAGAAATTTAGTTATTTAAATCGTCGTGTATCTTTGCATAATCTAAAAGTTAACAGGTAGAGAATGCTTATTGAATTAAGTCCATCTTTTGTACATTGTATTGGTCAATAAATTTTAAACAAATAAATATATGAAAATATATGTAAATCGTTCGATTTTCCATCTCAAAATATTGTGGCTACTGACGATAACGTTGGCCACGAGGCCTTTTTGTATAGTACTGCAATCACACTAAAATATTAAAAGTGAATGAATGAAGTGTACTTACCATCAATTCAAACAACTGGTTCAATATAGTGGGCAGGAACGCAATCAATGAGCTCAGTCTGATCGCGTGCGCGGCTTTTAATGCATTACATACATCGTTCCATGGCGGTGGTGATGGGGAGGTACCCGGCGAGTTGCATCGTATTAGTCTCTCAATCTGAGCGAACAGATTGTGTAGATGCATGTCCCGGGTCACTACGGTCGAATCTAGGACTAATTGACAACGGAATAGTTGCTTCTCTCCTTCCACCCACACTACTTCTGGGCCTGTGTTCTGTGGCATAAATAAATAACAAAATGCATATAAGAAAACAAATATGTTTGGAAAAGAAATATATATCAGTGAGAACAATTGAGATCATCGTCATTTTAGCCCTTATCTGTCCACTGCTGAACATAAGCTTCCCCTATAGACTGCTATAAGGAACGGTCCAGATCCACCAATTAAGATAATCCTGTTTAATTTTTTACCGACTGCATGTAATTGAGAACACTAACAGTTAGATATAAGGCATATTTTAAATTCACGATTGGGGCATAACGCGATGCGATGCCAGGTAAATAGTAACTACATGTCTGAATTTTATTGTAAATGTATTGACGTAGAGTAAAATTAACTTTTAAAATTTTTATAATTAATTAGACACAAGACAATCAGAAAATTTCGATCGTTAAATGGTCCATTTACAACATAAAACGGGTACTTTGCGGTCGTGTTTACCGACCACAAAGGAATTCACAGCAATGGAGCAATGAAATGATTATATTGAAATTTGTTACATTGAGATTTTTTTTTTTATAATGAGAAATGTGTTCAAAACTCACCCCTTTGCCAAGTCCAAGCGGTTGAATGGAAAGATATCCAGAAGGCAAATGAGTAGCGATAGGCAAATTAATTATTTCCTCAACTAGCTTATCATTCTTCAATAAAGGAACCCAAGCATATCTGTCGAAAAATTTTTTTTTTTGTTATAGAATGACTACACCTATTATATATTATACATAATGAGATATGTATAATATATTATAGGTGTAGTCATTATTTAATACTAATAATTTTATGATTAAATATTTTTTTCTTTTAAAAAGAAATATGTATAATAGATTACAACATGTGATAAACTGATCGATTCTTTTTACTTTTCTTTATTAATATAATATAAAAACAACTTATACTTACCCTATACACGTTTCTACATTGGCATCATTCTTTTTGGTAAGATCACAAGAGATATGATAAAATGTGAATAGCAAGTGATGCTGCGGCGTTATCGTCGCTGGTAGACGGATTTTCGCTTCATCACTCCAAATCGGGCTGGCATTATGGTGGAGTACAGAACAGCGATACTGTGTTGTCATGCCCATACGACCGTACACTACCTGAAAATTGGTTATTATATAGATATAAAGGGTCGTTTTGACAGAAGTGAAATTGATACATAATTTATCAATATCTCTCTCATGTCGCCGAATTATAATTTCATTTTCATTGTAACACAAAACTGAGTTGTTTGCGAAAGACAGAAATAAAAAAAAAAAAAACTTAGCATCTACATTAAAAAAATACAACATTGAAATATGTAGGTATATACATTTCCTAACAAAACTACGCTACGCTTATTATAAGCGTAATAAATGCATAAGATAAAATGTTAAATATCCAATCGATCTTACCTGTAATGGTTTATTATCTCCCGTATCACTGTCTCTAAGTTCGACTGAGCATGCTATGTTCCTTGCCCTTGCGAACATTTTTTGCGACTCGAAGTTGAGAGCCAAAGGCCGCACGTACAGGTGGTGTATGAACGCAGCATATGGCTGTTCCGGTTCCACGTTTAGCGTTGCAAGCTCTAATGTGAGCGGCGATGTAGGTGGAAGAGGAAAAGGTTTCAACGCAGCGTAGGCACTCGTCATACAATCTGTAATTAAACATGAGTTTATAAAAATGTAGAATATTTGTTACTTAATCGTATATAAATGGTTGGATGTAATGTATTTGAATTTTGGTATACAATATCGGATAAACAAAATCGTAGATTAACATGTAAGATACTTCTGATCCGGGATTTTAATTCAAACAAGAAACGGTGATAAAAATTAATAAATCCATTCCTCTATTCAATAATATATTCACCGCCTACTTATTTCTCGGTTTGGCCAATGGTTGACTGGTAGAGAACACAATCCGGTGTTAAGTCCGCCAAATGTACATATAATTCTACTATGTATTTATGCATAAATAAATGCAGTAAACACTCTCAAGTGCTCCATTGTGGCTACGCTAATGATACATAATTTAGTTTTTTTTTTATTATTTTTGTACTATGCATTTATGCATAAATAAATGCAGTAAACACTCTCAAGTGCTCCACTGTGGCTACGCTAATGATACATAATTTAGTTTTTTTTTTTATTATTTTTGTACATATCAAGTTGAGTTGAGTTGTTGAGTTTCAAGATGACAAATAATGTTAAATTCATATGTGATATGGTGTTTGTTTGGTTTATCAGAGAGCAAAAGTAAAATATAACTTCCTTTTTTTTACAACACAGGGGACAAACGAGCATGCGGCTCACCTGATGGTAAGTGACTACCGCCGCCCATGACCACCCACAACACATGCGGCATTACAGGCGTGCTGCCGGCCTTTTAAAAAGGAACATACTTTTTTCTCGATTATGTTGTCGTATCGGTTCGGATATACTGCTGCTGGAAGTCGACTCCAAAGAATGGTTGTGCGTGGAAGAAAGTGCCTTGAAAAACGCACGGTGGAAGATATACTTACTTGATATCTGTTCATTGCTCTGATGTATATTAATACTAAGCCAGCCAGGTATTGTCGTTAGTTTGGACAACTTTTCCGGTTTACGAAAGTCAGATAATATTTTAATGAGATCATCATCAGACATTTTATTTGGTTCTTGTCTGTAAATGGCGGGAAATTCGGGAGTTGTGTCCAAGTCATTACTGTATAACCTGCAAAACAGGTAAAAATTGTCATTTATTCAAAATATATAAAAATATTAATATTATGTATTCTAAATATCATATTTACTTTAATACACATACACTTCTTATGAGACATTATAAACATACCTAAATAAAGGTTTGGCTGCCCAAGCAAATGGCATTCTGTAACTCCCGACACGGTTGGCGTATGCTTGCACAGTTTTGTGAACTTTGAGACCTAAGCGAGGGTCCTTGGTAGCTTTGAGGTAGGGTTCGAGTACTTGGTTCACGTGGCCTTGGAGTATTTTGTCGATTTTCACTACTAGGAATAAATCTGGATGAGGGTTGTTGATCGACAACACGACCTGCAAACGAGAAGAAATAATTGTTGATTTTTTAAACAATTTTTTGACAAATGACAAACAAGCCGACTGCCCACCTGATGGAAAGTGGTAACCGTTGCCTATAGATTTGAACAGTACCATGGACATAACAGAGTATATGAAGTCGCCTATGATATCCCTCATACGTTGCCATTTCTGTGGACTATATTAGTGTTATATCCTGTAATTTCACTGTTCATGGTACACATAACTGCTTCATGGTACAAACACGAATGGGAAAGAGGTACCCAATCCGACGACTTTTATAAGTAAGTTAATCAATCAAGCTTAAGAGTATACTGTTTCGCCCATGATACCCCCCATGCGTTGCGATTCCTGAGGACTCAGGTGTTATTCCTTTGTACGCTGTAAATTCACGTCATATCCCACCCTTCCAACCGAAACACAGCCATGCAAACACAACTGCTTCACGGTTGAAACACGAATGGGACAGAGGTACCCAAGCAATCGACTTTTGTACAAAGTCTCCCTCTGGTAAAATGGCATGTCTCAAAAAATTTGTCTTACGACATTTGTGTAAAAGGAAGTTAGCATTGTCACCTGTTTTTTCGATCTGTACCACTCTTCGGGAATCTGTGTAACATCTAATTTAACGTCGTAGCTAAAGTTCTCTATTAACGAGTCTGTACACTCGTTCTCCTTGACTAGATCTTTGACCGCGCCGTGGTTGAGGTCGAAATGAAAGTTTTCTGTGAGTTTCTTGCCGCTTCGCGCGTCGTACAGCGCAAGGTGCGTGAAATAAGGCTCCACTTGGCACAATAGTTCTTTGTCGCCATCTATCGGCGCTTGTAACCTAAACTTTAAGCTTTCGCATTTGAGCAATATTCTTTGGCCAAAGTGTTCTCTGAAATATAAAATTTTTATTTTAATATATTTGAAGTTTATTCTCCCTATTCATAAAACTCTCAAATGTTATAAATCTATTTTAAGATAATGCAAAAAGTGTTATCTGTTTTGTCTAGATAAAAGATTATGTTAAAAAAACTATTCTTGAAACAGGTTTGTTATAGTTCACAATTTATATACAAGTAGATATCCTTGTATACTAAAGTAACATAGTAAACGACGGTCATCGATTCCTATTTTTGTTTTACAGAAGGTCTAATATTATTTTTTATTGAAATATAAATTTTCACAAATCTTAGAATAATTTTATATTACAGGTACATATTGTTAACTAGTGACCCGACTCGGCTTTGCACGAGTAGACACAATTTTCGAAAAACAATACATATTAAAAAAAGTTTCAGCCAATTCAACTGATTAGTGACTTTACAGTATTTTATATATGATTCTTTAGATTGATATAACTTTTTTATTTATAAACCTAAATGTTAATTGGAGCAATCGCAACGCATTAGTGAAAATTGCATTCAAATCGGTTAAGCCTTTTCTAAGATTATTTGATTTTTTCCTATGTATCTGCAAAGTAAAAATATGTAACAAAAGGCTATCTTACTTGAATGGTTCTAACTGAGGTTCAGGGGAGGGTGTCCGTTTATACGGCATACTGAATATATGGACGCGGCACTCGTTGCGAGCCACGGCTATTGATAGGTCGGTCTCTCGCGAGTACCGCATCAGGAGCGGGTTCATGCTATGCTCTAATCCTTTGAGCGTGCCATACGTTGGAGGTGGCGGTTCAGCTGTCAAGGACACATCCGCGTCTGAAATTTAAAATTAGTATTAAAGAGTTGTTTACGGAAAATCAAATATATCCGATGACTAATCATACTTTGTATAGCAGAAATGCCTACTGTATGACATTAAGCATTTATAATAAACTAACGGACAAAATGAAAACACTAACAATAAATATATTTAAAGATAAATGGTGGTTAATAGAAAAATGTTTTTAATCGGTTAATGAATATTTTAATCATTTTAAAGCTTAAATATGTGACTCAATTAATTGTCCATTATTTGTAATCTGTGTAACTTATTATTAATAAGTAAATATGTGACATTCGGTTTTTCTTTGTGTTCGTAGCACAGCAGAAGTATATGAATTTTGTACGCTAAATTCTGCTGAAAAGTGTAAACAATATTTAAATAATATGTACCATCCTTTTTAACACTTTTCAAAGTAAAGTTATTTGTATTTATATTTTGACTTTCAGTATGCCAAAGATCGAAGAAAATGGAAAAAATTGCCCTGAACCTGGGGTCGTAAATAACAGCGCTTACAAGCCAACGACTCATAAACGTGGAATTACTACGTAAATTAAAACTTAATATTTTTATTGGCAAATTTATGTGTTTACTTTTTGATTCTTTTTTTTTTTATATATAATAATCATGCATAAAGTAAGCAGCTATCGCAAATTATACCAAACCCATGTTTATATTCCCGGATTATCAACAGAATAATATAAAAGGTCTCATGCAGAGGGCTTTGTAACAAATCATCCTTTGACTTGTGATGACGTATAGCAATCAGTACAAAATATTAATCTGTATAAAAACTACAAACCTTTATCTAAAACTTCATCATTCTGATGACCTTCCTGACTATCTAGTTTTTTCTTTAGTGCTGCGTTAAAAGCGTTGATCCATTCGTTCATCTCTTCATCATTATCAGTTGAAAATGTGTATCCTTTCCCACCGGCCATTCGCAATTCAAAACAAAAACGCCCACGTTTCGGATTCTAAAAGCGTAACGGTAAAAATAAACGATTGGAAGATAAAATAAATGTCTTTTTATAACAGAGAAATAATATAACATACTTTAACAACATCTGAACAAAAATCCATGACTATGGTGAGCTTGGTGTCCGTTTTCTTCTCGTCTTTATACACTTCCAGAATATATGTGCCGTCTGCTTCCCTAACCATTGAGCAGTATCGTTTTTTAAACGATTTGGAAGCGAGATTACTGAATATTCTATCTGAGCCGATTTCGGGTCCTTTGAGCAGGTACCCCTCCTTGGTACCGATGTCCACTTTAGCGGCTTGAGCTTCATGATCGCTTTCGATTTCGGCATCAATGTCGTATACTTCCTCCGGCAATTTATTGTCTATAGGCCTTTTAAAATATAAGTAAATGGTTGGATTAGACTACGTCCAGATGTTTTTTACATATTTTATTTAAAATGGCAAATAAGCTAAGTGGTCTCCTGATGGAAAGTAATAGCCGTCGCTTATAGACATGAACAGCACCAGAATACACTATTATATCTCTGTTACATCGCATTGGTTTTCATTCCTGAACAGATGATATGATGCCTACGTACCCTTAAATTTTTTTGCCTTAGCTCACAAAAAAACGAAAAATCGTTTTCAAACATAGCTACGAATTTTATTGTCTTCAATTATTATTTAAAGTAATCTTAAAACTTATATTAAATCATGGTTTAATTATGGTTTAGTTTCAAGTTCAGGAAAATATTTCTAATCTATTAATATTATAACTGTTTCTAGTAGTAGGTTTCTTGCTCAATAATGCATAAACGTTTAAACAGGTTTGAATGAAAATTGATACATACGAGTAGACTACATTCAGAATTAATATAATAGAGTAAGTACTATTTATAATTTACACGGACAAGGTTACATCTAGTGCAGTATAAATACAAAGAAAACAGGTGAGTGAAGTTCAGTCAACCATAAAGTTATTATTAGCGTAAGTCGGATAGTAAATAAGTTCTTCACAGTCAAATGTTGTTTGCTAAAATATAATATAAGAAGATCAGCATAAACACAATCCTTTTTAAAAAAGAATTGACGCAATGCGGAAATCGATGCGGAAACTTATTACATGCCAAAGTGAAACTTAAGCTTAGTTATCTTAGACACAAATCTCTATTATTCCAAAGTATTATCCTTTATCACGCTGTTATACTGTAATTTTATGAAGATGTTCAAACTGTTTATAATAAATGAGTCAAATTAATATATTTTTTATTCAAATAGACTTATTTACAAGAACTTTAAAATCGTCATTTTTTTATGAAAACAGGGTTTGGAAAATTATTATCTATTGAGAAGAGCCCGCAATATTTATTCAAGTAATTGTTTAGTGTGTAATAGGCTTTGTTCAATGTTTTTAATAACAGTTTAACACCTCTCAAAGCATTGGGATCTGACATGTCGACATCTCTAGTGATGTACAATTCCGTGGCCACCTCGAAGATAAGGTAAAGCTGGCATCTAAAAAACTCGGTGTGCTCAATAGAGCGAAGCATTACTTCACGCCGGATCAGTGATTAATGCTCTACAAATCACAAATCCGGCCCCATATGGAATATTGCTGTCACTTATGGGCCGGAGCACCTAAATACCAGTTTGAACATTTCGACTCGTTGCAACGACGAGCTATGAGAATTGTCGATGATCCCAGGCTTACAAGCGGTATCGAACCCTTAAGTCTTAGGAGAAATTTTGCCTCATTCTGCGTGTTCTACCGCTTGTACAATGGATTATGCTCAGAGGAATTGTTCAATATGATGCCCACAGCCACTTTCTACTATCGTACGGCTCGCCATCGACAGGGAGTTCATACTCATCCCAAGAGACTACAGCATGGGGTTCTTTAAAAGGGGGGTAAAGAAGTTTCTTCAGGGTCGGCAACGCACGCGTAATACCTCTGGTATTGCAGGTGTTCATAGGCTACGGTAACCACTTGCCATCGGGTGGGCCGTATGCTTGTTTGCCACCTCAGTGGTATAAAAAAAATTATGAAAAGGTAGATCCAAAATATCCTTCGGTATCTTATGTTAGTATAACATTTAATGTCCATTTCCATAAAACATCTATTAACATTTTCTAAATGATACTTCGGAATAGTAAATAAGTTTATATCTAGTGTTAAGATTACTGAGGTCGCTGTCGAGATTGAGTCATAAATGAGATGCATTTAAATAAAATTTGGCATATAGATAATCGATTCGCAAATATAAATTATGCGCAAATGTAATGCATATTTATTAGAGTAAAAGCAGTATAATCAAATATTTAAAATGCAAAATGGTAAATGGTTATAAGTTTTTTGTAAATTTAGATAAATCACAATAGGAGCCGTTGCTACAGATTAATATGTATATACATATTTTTTTTGAGAAGGAGGACAAGGCACCATATGGGTATATTAATCCAGAATCAGTATTGGAAAAAATTTTACTCCTTCGGAGTTGCGAGTATTTATGACAAATAAAAAATAAATTCAGAACGTTACTATAAAAAACTCTCTGTATTTTTTTTTGGTATAAATGTGAAACATTTTAGGATCCTCACTAATTAAAGTACCTACTCATTTTAGACTCTAAACATCTTTATAAAAAAATTATTTCAAAAATTGTATACAGTTACAAAGTTACATTAAATGATTACATAAATATTAACTGTTTGAATTGTATGGACTTTTATACAAAGTTAACTCACGACTAACAATAACAGTCTTTGTTACATGAGTATAACTAATGAAATTTTTAGAATTTTATCATAAACAGGATGACATATGGTTATATGCCTACAATATTTTTCAGGTTCTGACGGCCCGTCAGCTTGTTAGGCATTCTTCATAAAAAAAAAAAAGTTATGTTTCGAAACTCGAAATGCAAACAATGTTCTTATCTAACAAGCTGGATCAACAATAGTTACTAATTAGAGAATTATCACAAGCAAATAGTGAATTAGTGTTTCCCGCCTTTATTAGTCCAACTAAAATAGATTGGTAAACAGCGCGGTCCTTGTACGACTAAAGAGATAATAAATACTATACGCCGAATTCGGAGAATGTTTCTATATCCATAACGTTTGCGTAATAGATTTTCATTTGTTAGTTATGAATTTAGAATATATGAATATGAATTTTGAATATGAAATAACTATAACTCAAAATTTAAAAAGTATTTATAATATTGTTTTGCAGTAGTGCTAGCATTCATGAATAAGGACAAAAAGTAGATTAGGTATGTGTTAATTCAGTGTGATTGGTAAGAATGTCAAAACAATATTTAAATTTGTAATGTTAGTAGGATTAAAAATGTCATAAAAACACGTTTTCCTTAAATAGATAGAAAGAACTAAGTGCAGTCGACCACTATCCTTACATAATTATACAAATATCTTGCTCGATATACTTTCAATATATGTATATTTTATATCTAGGTATACTAGATAAAAAATGATATGATCTAACATTTTCGTCTCTTTCTCTCTCTTTCTTTATAATATAATAATAGCCTTTATTAACAATCTTACAATATAGTTACAATAATTTAATTAACGGTTTGACACCGGTACGTGAAGATTATCTTGTTGTTCAGCATAAGCCTCCCCTAGAGTTCGCCACTGAATGCGAATGACTGTGCTTGTCTTTTCCAGGTGTCTTGCTATATTTTTTTTTGATATCGTCTAAGTAATGAATATTACTGGTACAGGTAATACAGGTAATATTACTGGTATTGGTGGTATAGAAAAAAAAAAATGATAAATGTTTATCAACTACATTAAAGGAGAATCGATGTTCTAAAGAAGGCTTTTTTTACAATTTCAGTTGTAGATAATTATACTCTTAGAATATTATTATTCCTAGAATTTTAGTATGCTGTATTCAAATTATAGGCCGTTTCTCCTTAAAATATAAGTAGGTACGTTTTCCTCGAACTGTTCCGAATAATCAAAATTTGTCATTAAATAGTTGTTTTAAAAGTATTGATGTGAAGATAATTTTTTTTAAAAAAGTTGTTTTATTGCCATTTGAAAGTGTATCGATATATTGTTATTTTGTATGTAATTTCGGTCATAACTAAGCTTGCAATTTTGACTTCAAAATATGGGTAAAAAGTAATGAAACATACTAGTATTATATTAATTACATTATGGACATGTCAAAGAAGATTATGCAAATAGAAATTGCACTTGATCTTTATTGTTTAGAATTTTGGATATTACGTTTATCTTGTATGAGGTGCAGCAAAATACAAGTATGTAATAATAGATATATATTATGTACACTATTGTGGTCATCATTGCATATAAGCAAGGACATGACTCATAAATCTGATAACTAGAACAACATAACGCCGGCCTTGTTAAAACAGTATCAAAGTTGAAAAAACTGTATACATATATTCATGGTCATGTGAAGTGTGATAATAACATAAATGAGCATTTCGTATGTTTTTTTTTTTTATAATTTTAGCATATCGTGCAACAATCTAATGGTTATCGGATTGCTATAATTAGTATGATTTTATGAAAAATATTTTAATACATAATAAAGAGAAAAATCTTTTTAATTGCTTGCTTATGTAGTAGTTGCCGTGCACCTCATAAATGTATTAAATTCGCAATTTTCTATCATGTACGCTTAGTTTTCTTAATAATATAGGTATTTTAAAATTATTTGTTTTAATATGTATAATAAATGGTTTGTTTTACAAATAATTGGAATAATAGTTTCACTTCCTACTTTCTATTATAGGAGTAAATACTTGTGAATATGTTTATATTATTTATTATGCAATAACGTATTCGCTTTCATGTAATATTAATATATTCTATGCAACCAAATTGTGACATCATAAACAAGAATAAAATAATATTTTATTAGCAAAGTAATTTTAAGCACTAATAAAATATATAGATAAAAAAATTGTTTTAATATATATCATTAAATATTAAAACCATTTCTGTATTCAAAGAATTGACGGAAGGTGATTAGGTATAATAAGACTTACCTTGGCAAGTTAAAATAGGAACCAGAGTAATTAGAATACTTGTAATGTATAAGATTCCAACTGGAAGCATAGCTGAGCAGAGCTTGACGAGTGAGCAAAGGGCAGGTAGCGGCAGTTCTCACATCAGGTACTGCTGTAGTTACTGTTCTCCAGCGCCTTGGAAGGACTACACTCTATAAATAATTAAATTAAAGACCTTCTTCAATAAAGTATTTTTTTTTTAAAGAAATATACCTACATTAAGAGATTTAAGAGGAATGGTAAATCCGCCCGCACTGACTGCATATGCGTATATTGATCCAATTTGGATTGATTAAATTATGAGAAATTAAATATAATGGTGTCCATATGGGATCATGTGGAGGTCAACCTGACAGGGTATGTATATTGCTAGCAATCGGATCGTTAGTTTTCTAAATATCCCTTTCTCCTCCCCTTCCCCCACTTCCCAAGAAATATACTTGTATGATTATTATTCATTTATATGACGTTAAATAAAAAAAAATTAAAATCTGTATATAAATGACAGTTAAAATGTAATAAACATAATAAAAATATATAACCAAAATGAGAACCTCTTTTTATTCGAAGTGGTTTGAAAATTGAAAATCAGTATTACTCTACTCACAGACACATCATCTGTTGGATACAGAAGAATATCTCGGAGTGGATCATTTAATAGTAAGGTCTTATTTTCCTGGATGTAATCTTCAAAGTCTAATGCTGTACATTTCTTAGCAATTATGTTCTGAAAATAATTATTGTTATAAGGAAATGGGAAACCAAAGCTATTATTTATTTATTCATTAAGGATAACAACAATCTTAACCTCATGCATGTACTTTGAACTTCAATAAATATACCAGGCCAATAATAGTTATTTAATGTATTAAATTATTTTATAGTCCTGATTTGAGATTGCAAATGGTTAGTAACATAAATAATTTATTATACATACATATTCTTAATTTCCTCTTAAAGAGAGACTTTTAGGTGGATGCTGATAGACAGCCCATCAGATGATGATGATATTAAGTATTCTTTTTACAGATAATAATATGGTAAATAAAAAATTGAAATACCAATTGTAAATATTCACAGTTCTCAAGAAACTAAAGTAAAGTACTATTACTACTATACTACTGTTTATCATCCTTTCTTTTCAAAGATATGTGGCCATATGAAGAATATGGTATGAAAAAAAAACTATTTGCATATTTCATCTCATGTTCCTTAGGGAAACTTATCCAGTTTCATAAATACTATTAGTGAATAAGTTAACCTTATTAGTTTTTACTGGTAATTTCCTTCATATGAATGCAATATGTTAATTAACCTAAATAATTAGTAGCCTATGTTCTTCTCCATCCCAATCAATACATGTATACAAAATTATATGACAATTGCTTAAGCTGTTAAGTGTTAAAGAGGTAGAGATAAAATATACAAACTCACTTTCAAATATATAATATTAATAAAGATTAGATAGATGGATAAATACTCTTGTTTTGTTCGAAAGATTACAGTAGTGAACTTACAAATACAAACAGTTACAAGATTATACTGAGAAAACAATGGGTGACCTTATCCCTAAAAGTGATCTCTTCCAGGTAAGCTTTGGATAAAGAAAAGCAAATATTAATATTCTACTTATGAAATAGATTATTGATGAGCAACAGTAAAAAAGTATTTCATAAAATATTCATATAGTCTAACAACTAAAGACAAACATATTGCTAATTCAATGCCATTTCAAGCTTGTTTACATAATTGAACATTAATATTATGTAAATATGGTATCTTAAGCAATTCATAACTATTATAATGTTAATAAACATATACCATTACTTAGTACACTACAGCCAACTAATTATTTAACAAAATGTTTTTTTTGAAGATTAATTAATGAGGCTTGGAAGCAATATGATAGTCATTAACTTCAATTAACATTATGCTAAGGTAAAGTACATTAATTAATTAAAATATGATTTCTGTAAATGATTTTCATGTCTGCTTTTCCTTAAAAAATCCTTACTAAAATTATAAATGTAAAAGTGAGTTTATCTATTTGAAGCCACTTAACACCTTAACGACTTAATGAGCTGACCTGAACATTATAAAATTCGGTACATACATATACTATATGAGATAGAGAAAACATAGGTTGCTTTTTATCCCGGTCAGTGAATATATTATGGTTTCGTGGACGAAGTTATGGATGAAAAATAGTACATTATACACTTTTAATATTTTTAAGATATATTACTAATTTTATATAATGTTATTAATTTTATACATAAAAAATACATTTACATTGCCTATTCTGTACATATAAAATAAAAAGAAAAACCGAAATATATCACTTGATTTATTTAGCGGTGTAGGCAAATGCATTTATTTAATATAAAAAATAATTATTTTTTATATACTTAATTATTTACAACATTATTTAAGCATTTACCTCGTATTCTGCGCCACTTCTTTTCGTTTTGGAATTGATTGGGGGCATATTGAACGTGTGACACTACAGATCGAAGTAAAACTGTAATATATTTTTTAGAATAAAAATTGCGTACATTTTGATAAATATTTCTATTTTTGCAGCTGAGTGAATACAAAACGCCGAAAATCGAATTGCTAACGAGAAAGCTAAACAAAATGTCAAACTATTATTGGTTTGGGACTTTGGCTTTGGATTTGACAGTTGAAGGGTAGCTATTTGTAAGAAGTCTGACTGACATATAACTGACATTTTATGACAATCACTCTCAGTATTGCCAGTATTTGAAGATTGCTACACTTTGATGGTAGCCAGAAGACTATATACTATTGGTATACACTGTAATTCCTTGTTTTTACGTATACCTTGGCGGAGACAACATTAGTACATAACTAACTTAGTTATCTACCTAATACAAAACATATTAGAGATGAAGATTGACACATTGATTGAGATTTAGAGGCTGGTGCTACTATTGCAGAACGACTTAGGAAATAATTAAATTAATTCTATTTATCTGTTGCTGTTTAATAGCTAATAGTTTGTTTGTAAAATAAGCGTAACTCATTTAGCGATTAGGAAGTAATCACGGCACGTAACACATTTTGCGAATTAATTATTAGCGAAGTATTTGCGCACAGATCAGCTTATAAGAAACCATCTTTATACAGGGCAGTTCAAAAGTAGACCTTAAACACTATTGTTTAAATTCATACTATGACGCCTTTAAAGGTGAACTATTTAAAAATTGTTTTCCACCGAGTGAATAGCTTAAATTGTCTCTGGTCGTCTGGCCTAATATTACTTTACCGCGAACATTCAAACACTTAAATAATTATTACCAAATTTTCATGAATATTGAACAAGAAATTTCATAATAATTACCAATTTTGATATAATAAATATTATGAATTCTTGTTAACTCGATATAAAAACCCAGTGTTTTTATAGTTTAAATCACTTTACAAGTTAATAAACAGTATTAAGAATTTGAAACCGTCGTCACTCAAGTGGCAAAAAAAGTTTTAAATTTGAAGTGTTTTAAAATAAAGTTGAATAAATCCAAACTTGCTAAAGTGTTTAAATGTGAACAATGGATTGGGGAGTAGCACTTTACTTTCAGTATTTGGCTATCCTTTGTGCATAAAGGTCTTCGAAACTATAATGTCGTGAGTAACTATTTATTGTTAATTTAATAAAATTTCTTTGTATATTAGCAGCCACTTGTGTTATATTATAGGTCTATTTATATTTTTATGTTTATTATTATATGAATTGCAGTGAAACACAAAGCAGACGGCGCGTTACATATACCCAACTGCAAAATTTATGGGAATTTCTTAAAGATCATAGGGAAATTGCAGTTGGGTACAACAAGTCTGCTCAAGCCCGAGAACACTCGAAACAGATGTGGTTAAGAGTTGCATCTGTATTGAATTCTGTAGGTGAAGGCGCTGTTAAGTCTGGCCCCGAATGGTCTAAGGTATGTTCCAATAAGGTTTATTCTCTTAAACATCTTTTTATATTTTTTTTTTATAAAATTTTTTTCTTCTAGTATTGGTTGGTAGACCTCAAAGCTAAAATAAAAAGAAAAAACCGCCTGAGGAGAGATGCCTCGAGTCAGACAGGAGGAGGTCCATCAATTTATGAAGAATTGTCAGAAATGGATATAAAGTTCCTGTCCATTTTAGGAGCTGACTATGGTTCTGGATTACCTGGTGTACAAATGCAACCAATTCTGATAGAAGTAAGTATTCTATGTATTTTATTTCAGATACCTATATCCTTATTTGTTTGATATAATGTTAAGTACTGAAAACAAAATATATCTCTCAAATGTACCCATGCCAACATGTAGAAGTTTAATATATTATTTTATAGTTATGTCACTTTATTGAGACAATATTCATTTATGTTTCGTAGGAACCGCAACCTGCTGCTTACAATCCTTCCCAACACAGCACCAGTGAAGGAAGAAGTGAGGAGGCAGTTTGGTTAAATGTTGACTTAGAAGGAAATGTACGTATTTAATGATAATTATATTATGCACTTAAATATTTGTAAATGCTTAATTACTATTATGAAATAATAATAATTCAAACATAAAAGTTATAATTCTTTGTGCAAAGGCCTCCTAATATAAAATAATTTTTTATTTAGAGTGATGATCTTACTACTGCAGTATCGAGACCTAGTGATACTGGTACAAATACCGACAGTGGTACAACCCAGATCATAGAAGTACCATCGACATCATCAGCCCATATTATGGTGACAGAAAGAATAGAATCACCAAGACCATCAACATCATCCATTGATATGCAGAGCAATGTCCCATCGGGCATTACTCAATTTGTTGAAGGAAGGAAGTACCAAGAAGGAGGCGTCGATTGCGACGACGTCACGTGTCCATTGCAGAGGCAAGGGAGCAGTTGGTGGCAACTTCCAGGTCACGAGCAGAAGCAGAGTTAGCCAACAGTCGTTCTATAGAACAGGCTGTTGGTATACTCAAAGAAATGTTGGATGTAATGAAAAGGATATGCCCAAGGTCAGTAATAAGAATAGAATGGTATATTTTTTTTTTTCAAATAAATTAATTATGTATTTTGAATAATAACTTTATAATTTATATCACTTAATTTAGAAAACAATTTTAGCTGAGAAATATAGGCAAAAAAATTAGATGTTAATCTTTTCAAACAAAAATAGAATACAATAGAAATAATCTTCATTCATTTATTTAAACAATAATTTCAAACTAGAAGCACACCAACACCGACAACCAAATGGTTAAACAGATTCTACTTAAGTAATATGTAATAGAAAAAGAGATAATTCAGTTTTGTTGAAAACATAATAGTGTACAGTTGTAAAGATTTTGTATCTATGAATATGAATATGGTGTGAAATAATATGTACTACATATGTATGTATATAACAATGATTGGTATTCCCATATATATATTTCAACACTGCATACATTTTTAACTTCCTAAAGCTACCGTTATTTATCAACATTACTAAATTTATCTACTAAACCAAAATAATTTGTTTTCAGTGTGTCTGATGAAGTGCCCAGAGACGGGCAACGAGATCCCGGCGTGTAGCAGTACCAACTTGCAATTCACGGTTTTGTCGTCCTACTGGGTCTTCATAAGGTACTACAGGTGGTTGCATTAAGGCCTCTTGTTGGTTCTCCTCTGCAGACAGATCAGGTATTGATAAACCGGCTGCATTACAAATATTGTGCAAAATTATACACGCATTTGTAATATAGCCAGCTATTTGAGGTTGATAATGCAACACTCTGTGAACTAATAGACAACGAAAGCGAGCTTTTAAAACACCTATTGTTCTCTCAATAGTATTTCTCGCTTTCACATGTAGCTTAGTGTAATGAGCTTCTGGTGATTCTGGTGCTGCCTCCAAAATTGGCGTCATCATAGTTTTTCTTAATGGATAACCGGAATCCCCTGTAATAAAGACCATTACTCATTGTAAAATCAATGATTATTATATAAACATTTAAATACAATTATGATTTTATATAAAATTAGTGATCTAGTCTGATTTCGCATGGGTAGATAGAATTTTTAAAAATTATATATAGCCTATGTTATTTATTGACAATTTGTTTTTCTATAGCAGAAAGAATTTTTTAAACTCGGTTGAGTAGATTTTAAATTAATCCATTATAAACAACCAAATCTTTCTTCTTTATGATATTAGTACACACATAAATAATTACTGTATTTCTTTAATATTACCTAAAAGCCATATAGCCTCTGATGCACTCAAATTTTCTAAATGAGATCTAAGGGGGTGGTTATTCCAGATAAAAGAATCGTGGTTGGCACCAGGATGACTTGCATCAACACTGATTATATCCATATCAGCATTACAAATCTGAAAAAGATTAACTTTTTTATTATTATTTATTGCTAATAATTTTATATTCGAAAAGTAGTTTCCTAATTTATTATAATAAAGTATAAAAATGAGAGATCAATACCTCTTTTACTGTACATGTTACAACAATAGTGTAGTATGATTTACTGTTTAATTATTGTAGATATGAAACTATTATATTTCTTATGTATGTCACCATTTTCTAATAAAAAATAAAACAAATATAGCCAGAATAAGTGCTTTGTTGTACAAACTATTTTATATATTTATATTGTAATTATAAATCATTTGATATAATAAATATAAAATAACTAAAATATATAATTTGCTGTTTATCACAATTGTATAACAATATAGAATAAGTAATACCATTATGAAAACAATATCCAATTTGATGCAGTAGTTTTTGCATGATACCAGAACAAATTTATAGACAACATTTTTCAAAATTATTGTTTTAGCATCTAATGTTCTTATTATAACTTCTCATACAATTTTTCTTAAATCTTCATGTATAGACATTGTCAAGTTACAATTTTATTATGTTAGTAAGATTATAATTAAAATGTAATGGGCTAAGTCCACCATTTTATATTAAATCTTTTAATATGCCTAATTTAAATTATGTACAATAAACATTTTACCATACAATACAATACAATGTAAATTCTGTATCTTTTATTTCAATATAGCTCATACTATGTTTTATGTTTTATTTTTTAATTAAAATAAAAAAAAGAAGCTGCAGTTATTTATTATGCATTATGCATATAATATAGTTAGCTTAAGTTAGCTTCATTATGCATATAATTTATGAATCTTTTGTTTAATTCATAGTGGCAAATCCTACCACCATGAATTAAATAAAAAATATCCTATGTTGATCTTATATATGGTCTATCAGAGTAGTAAATTTAATTTACTGAGTAATAAACATTTAAACATCTTTATCAGGGTTTACTAAGTTGTGTTTTTTTTGATGGGCGAAACTGGAATGGTAACCTCGCCTGCGCTAGCGGGATATGCTGGCGGAGCACCAGTGAAGGGTGATAGATGAGAATGAAAACAGGCCAGTTAGCCCATCATGATGAATTCATCAGGAATTAACCATGATAGTTTCCAGGGAGAACCGCGAGGAGGTCGACATTCAGTCTCCATTACTAACAATCCCTTTCCCCCCCACTAAGTTGTGTTAGGTAACACAGGTAATTTGGCTGCAATGGAGTCTACTTAATATTTTAAAATATGTAAATCATAATTAAATTTTACATTACCAATTGAACATTTAGGGAATGATAATTTTTTCTGCAATAATACCTTTCTTCATGTTCATTGGGTCTTACTATTGCAATATGGGAACAATCAATGCATCCAATCACACCAGGAATACCAAATTTTTCATAAAATCTGAAAGGTAAATAAGGAAAAAAAATAAAGGGCATTCTGTGTAAGTTGTCTGCGGTATTCATGGTCACTTGTAACAGAAAGTGTTCTTGTGTGGTTTAAAAATATAAAAAATACCTTAACTTATTTGTATTACGTTCTGCAGTATTTTGGGGAAATTTAATGTATTTATTTCTGATTTCTAAATTATTTAAAGCAGCTGTAACCTCTGATAATACAGAAGAGACAGTCTGCTGCGCAATACTTTGAGCTTTACCAGTGGGTTTCTGATAAGACCCATGTGCATATAAATACACTGCTGTTAACACCTGAAAACAAAACAGTTAATTTATTAACGATCTAGACTAGAGAAAAGAAGAACCAGTAGAAAACAATATATATAATAAATCACAACTACCTTTGTTTCAATGCTTAAATCATTGGATCGTTTAGGTCGAGTCTTTAAATTAGGCTCCAACTCCTCACACAGATCTCTAACCAAATCTGGTGATAATCTAATAAAAGAAAGTTGTAAATAAATAGGTATTAAATAAAACCTGTCTCTAAGATTTGTAATTGTGTGATCTTTTCTTATGATTGTGTTTATAATAAGTTTAATAATGAATTTTTTTAGAAAAAATAACAAAGGGTTTTTATCTATACAAGACTATCCATTAACTAAAACGACTATTATAAGTAGAATATGATATAAATGTATAATATAAATAACAGTAAAGTATCTACCTATATTCATTTATAAACTCTCTATCCTCCAATTCGAAAGGGTCATTAATTTGCCTTAACCGACGACGCTTATTTCTTCTCTCCATCCGGTATTCACTCTCCAAGTATTCAAACAATTCGTACTCGTCGCACATCTACAAAAAAATTTAACTTGGATTATGATGCAACTAAAATAGAAATAGATAAAATAAGAGTTTTTTGTGTAAAAATATGAACCTTAAAACCACTTGAAATTTATAAATTCTGGCTTAATTCGTAAAATGAAGGGTCACTTGAACTCTGAACGTCTCCCACAGAGCAAGTAATAAATTAAATCCTTACAAAACCACTACAAACATCAAAACAATTTATAAAAAGTTCCTCAAGAACTAACTTTTTCAACATTGCTTTATTTGACATTAGAGATGCGTAAGAAACGTTTTGTTGCTGTCAAAGTTGGCGTCATGGTACGAATTGTTCATATAAAAAAAAAGGTGAACGGTTTAGAAATACTAGTCTAAATAGTCCTGTAGCAGGCCTGCTATAACGCGGTCATAGTACGTTTTAGCAGGACAGTTGAATTTAAGGCCTGCTTAAAAAGCTCATAGTAAGCAGGGCACCGTATGCTTATATAGGCATTTTTGCATTAGTCAAAATATCACTTGTATCAATTAAAAGCGGCTTACGAGCAATCATCAATAATCGTTGGTATTACCTTTACAGAGAGAACATTAAGAGTGTTCATAATTTTTGCTTATTGAAGTACAACAATACGTCCCAAATACATGTCAATTTTTAAAATAATTTAATATTTTTTAATGTTTCTTATTGATTACTTAAAATTTATTTAATTAGCGAACTAAATATTAATCATAAAATATTTTGCATATGGATTTACTATTAAAAACCCAACATTTAGTTCATATTTTCTTCGGCAATTTTTCAAATAAATTTTAGCTATCAAAATTAAAACTTTCAGTGACAGCTTAATAATAATATTAATGCATGATAAACATTTTAATTCGCTAGCAAAGCAGTTTTAAAAATGAAAAAATATTCAATTTTTTTAAAAATTGACAGATAATTGCTATGTTGCCATGTTTCCTTATGAAGGCTCAAAAGAAAGAAAAATTGCTTTTGTACCTATTTTATGTATTCATGGCTAACATTTATTGTGCAGGCGCTTTGATGATCAACTAATTTAAAAAATATATCAAAGGAAACTTTAATTTTTTTTGCAGAGAAAATCGATTGTGATAATTCCTTTTAAAAGATAATCTTTGTATTTTCGTGTTGGTTATGTACAAACTTTATTAGGGTAAAGGTTTTTCGTAGTAAAGTTTCTCAAGCGAGTTTTTTTAAGAAATGTTACGCCTTTAATTCTTTAACACTTAATTAGTTACAAAAGTGTGAGCGTGAGAATTTGAGTTTACCAAACCATCCACTATATTTCTATATTAACTAAAATAAAAACTAAATAACTATATTTTTTAATACTAATAATAATCTTGTTCGAATATAATATGAAAATAAAAAAATAAATTAAGAAAATGATATTTTCATTAGCTGTTAGCGTTGAAAAGTCGAGAATGTTTTAGTGGAATAATTGTGGTATGTTATAGAGGATTTCGGTATTTTGAAAGACTTACAATTATATATAAATATTGTACTTATAAATTAGTGGTTAGAAAGTAGTAGGAACAAATAAAACAAATTAAATATATAAACATTCTTGATGGTATAATATTTTATAGGTAGGTACATATTATCAAAATCTTAGATGACGTGCACAATTGTATAAAAAAGTTGACCCGCGTTTTTCGAAGCATTTGTATGGAAACACTCTATCTATATAATATAAGACCAAAATATACTCTTTCAGTAAGTTTGAAATAAGTATTACATTTAATTAAGTGTGAGTTGAAATAACACTTTTAAAAGGTTTAAAATAATATATAGGGTTAGACTATGCAAAATTATTGATTTTATAATATTACTTTGTTTATTTTATGTTATATATAATAATTTTGATACTAAAGTAACACCTAAATAAAAAATTTATTGTGAAAATTTTGCGATAGAGATAACTAAATTTTTTTTACTTTACACACATACTTAATTACAGTTGACAATTGAAAGGTACTTATTACTTATTGTAAATTAAAGCCTAATTTACATTACCAAACTGGTTAAATAATTTGTACTTAAATTAATTCCAGTGCTGTAATTTCAATATCCAAGAAGAATACTAATTTTCTGATAGCTGTATTTTTTTTAATGGATGACAATTGAATAGCAACTCCGCCTGCGCTAACGATATACGCTGACGGGGACCGCACCGGTGACGGATGAAAAGGCAGGTCAATTAGTTCATCGCGATGAATAGTACATCTAGAAATCAGCGCGATGGTTTCCAGGGAGAACCACGTGGAGGTCGACCTGATAGGCTCTATTACTAACAATAGAACTAGTGGTCCGCATTACTACCAATTCCTTCCCCCTGATAGCTGTATTGTATAGGCATTATATTGTATGTTTAATTTCACAGCAACACGCGTTTAGTTAAATGAAAATGTTTGTTATATGCTAACAAACAATTTCATTAGGCTGTAAAAACACTAGGCGGTATGAAATTAAAAGTTTAAACAACGTGTTGTAAAATGTCGTGAAACAAGTTTTATACCACTTATTTCGTAATGTAAGTTAGGCTTTACTTACCGAAATTATAAATCCTGAGTCAGCTATTAGATAAAATATGTACATATCTAAGAAACCAATTCAGGTATTATGAATTAAATTTACATCGAAAATGACATAATGTTAGCTCGTAGTGGGTAGGTACCTTCTTAAGTAATAATTATTGTGAAATGAGTATGTGTATTCTCTGGATATGTACAAAGGTAGGGATTTATTTGTTAAATGAAATATTGTACTTTTGAATAGATATAATTTGTATGATATTGCAGCACATTAAGAGAAACAAAAAGTGCCTATCAATAATAAAAAATATAAAAGCGGGTTATTCATTTTCGAGCAAAACAGCTTGTATGTATCTCAATGAGTCCGTGAGACTATAATAAGGACTAATGTAATATACATATATACTAAGAATCTATGTATTGCACCATCTTCGAAAATTATGGAGAGTGGTGATATTTAAAATAATAACAACCACTTAAAAAAAAAAAAAAAAAACAACATTAGGATCCAGACTGTTTTCATCGGTGCGATGATTGTATTATTTACCTATAGATAGAACACTGTTGTGTAGGCTGTTCAGTTTCAATAGAAATCTACAAATATAAAATGTTTATTTTTGTATCTATGTACCTACCTACTTAATTCAATTTACACATGTACAACCATAGTTGTCTACATACATTTAAAAGAGACATAAATTTCACAAAGATTAGACACGCAAAAAGATTCATACAATCAATTAATATAGGTAGGTATGTATTGCGAAAATAAATTAACTTAGTTTTTGAATTATATGTACTTAGCAATATTTGTACAAACAACTCTTTTAAATTTATCATATTTAAATGGAAATGATTAATTTCGATCCTGGGCTCAGTCAGTGTATAATTATAAAAATTTAATAAATTCAGAAGTAATATTGAATAAATTGAAGACGATTAATTTATTAAGTACTAACATAAAAATGATTTTTTATGTTTCTACTTAATCAACGATAAAACAACGATCGATACTTCTTAAACACTAGTAAAACTAGTATATGTAACTAGTAAAATTATTTAAACTGTAAAAAAAATATAAATAAATTGACCGTCAATTTCAATCAATTGCATTACGTAAGACATTATTATATTATGATTTCTCCGTATTTATAATTCCTTGATTATTTTGCAAATTCGACATGGTTTGTTAAGTGATCTTCATATAATACTGTGCCAGAAAACAAAACACAAATATAAGAAATAATGATTAAAATTGTAATATGTTTCGAATTCTCTTTTTTATGTGTAGTGTTCATTGACTGGACCCAAGTCTAAACAATTCTGAAATAAATACCAAAGTGTATTAATTACAACAACAATCTTGATGATATTTACAATTTAGGGGTATAAAAATATATTTATAATTGCTGGTTTTATTATTTTTGTCATTGTTATTCGAGGTATCTACGTATGTATATTGAATATAGATATGTACTTGAATATTATTTATTTATTGACGTGATTATTATAATACCTACTCATGTAGATACATAATATTAGATTACTTAAAATGATTAAAAAAATAATAAACTTGTCTCGAATTATTATGCTTTTATTGAGTATAAGTATAAATATAGCATAATCGGTACTGTATTGGAAACGATTGGGTCTAACGAGATATAATTTATTTTTTACTTAATGGTTGTTAGGACCTTGTATTTAATTTCTACTTACCACTAAATGTAATTTATTAGGTACTTGGTTATTTTTGGTATATGGCACATGATAGGTTATTTAATTTATTTACACGTTGATTCACTTAAGATCTAAACGTACAGGTTTATATTCATTTAGTCACATAAATTTAAAGACTGAAAGTTACCTAATTAATAAAAAATATCACACTTAGGTAATTGAGTATCACCTTCAGATTTGAAATGTCCCCTGTCATAGACAACTCATACGCTTGTTGCTGTGTTAACACTCGAACTTGTCGTCAATAGTCTTTTGCAGGAATGTGAAGGCAACAGCGGCAGCGGCAGCGGCGGCTAAAGGCGTTGAGCGCGGCACGTATTGCGACGCCGGAACCGGTGGTGGACGTCAAGTGTACTCTTCGTCGTCATCGTCCTCACTCAAGTCGGATTCCGATTCCTGTTCAGGGTCTGGTAATGGCGCTAAATAGTCTACCGGCGGTAGTTGAGCGGGTATCAGATATCCTTCTATATCCTGAGCGGGAGGTGGAGGACGTGGCAGTCGTGTTTGTACCGTGGAACCACTGGTAGCCGCTGCTACCTCTAATTTTCGACAAATTTCATCAAATCGTATTCTGTCACGAGGATCTGATTTCCAACAGGCGCGCATTAGCTCGCCAGCGAATCTCGGACAGTCTTCGGGAGGCACCAACACTATACCTTGCAATATCAATTTAGTAGCACCGTCATTATTGTGACCGTAAAAAGGCTGTTTACCACGACTGTATATTTCCCATAAAACTACTCCATATGACCAAACGTCCGATTCATGGGTGAATCGCGCGTATACTATACTCTCCGGAGACATCCAGCGTACAGGCATAGGCCGCTCACCACCCATTTTGTAATAGTCACAGGTATAAACATCTCGTGACATTCCAAAATCAGCAATTTTTACTGTAAGATTTGCACCGACTAGACAGTTTCTGGCGGCGAGGTCTCTGTGCACAAAACGTCGAGTAGCGAGATATTCCATACCACGAGCTACTTGTAATGCCACATGGAGTAGTGCAGGTTCATCTAGAACAGGACCTGGGCGGCCTCCTCCTCGTGATCCGCGTAGTACGCCAGCTAAATCACCCCATTCCATATACTCGAACACCATCCAAGGGCTCGCATTTATATCGTCTAAAAATAATAAAAAATAACAAGTTTTATATTTTATTACATTATTATTATAGTAATCTACATACTGGTTTAAGTTATCTAAAAAAACGAGAGAATTATTTCCAGGTTGGATTAAACCAAAGGAATCAGTTACTTTGTTGGAAAATGTAGTTGAACAACAAAGGAAAGCTGTTAGAATGTTTTTAGCACTGTTATTTGGAGAAATGAGAAAAGAACGACCGCTCTGTTATATACTGTTGCTTATGCCAAATGTAAGTCGTCAGCTTGAGGATCTCTGTCTCATTCGTTTCTTGGCCGAAAAATAATAACGTATACGCGAAAAGATAGGTAATATTTGCATGTGTTCAATTTGAAATAAGGAAAACAAACATGTTAAGTATATAGATTATATTCTACTCTATATTTATAAATAAAAACAATATTCAATCTTACCTCTGTACACAACTCCGACTAGCGTGAGAATATTGGGATGTCTGAAAGCTGACATAATGGACACTTCTCTCACAAAGTCCTCTTCTGCGCTACGATTTGCACTTTCCTTTAACACCTTTATAGCCACTACTTGTTCACCGGTGTTCGATCGCATTAGTCCTGTAAAAATGTTTTATTATACTTCTCTAAACGTTCAGACTCAGTAATTTTTTATTTTAAATTTTTTTATTATTAATTGTTCTTATTTTAAATAAATTAAAATTTCGTGTCATGATGTTCGTTTATTCTAATATCTGATAGTTAAACCGATTTTTAATCAAGTATTGTTTACTCCATCTTGAGAGATAGGTTTGTTTACAACTCGATAAGAAAATGGTTCCGATGGGAGCAAAACAATGTTTGCTGGGTCAACCAGTATAAAATAAAAATATTGTTCTATTGATAATTATGTCTATAATAGATACTCAATTCAGACGCTACAACAGTATTTATTAGTTATGGATTGAAGCTTTTAATGTTATTTACGTTGATCTTCCAATAATTACATATATATTCCTATGTCTAAAAAATAAACGAAAAAATACAATTTATATTTTTGCACCTACTTGGTATCTAAGAGTATAATAAATAAAATTAACTAACCTTTATGAACTCTGCCAAAACATCCTTCGCCGACTTCTTCCAGGAACGTCAATGCATTGCCGTCTAATAGAGGGACCTGGGGATCGTTTGTATCATCAGCGCTGATTGGGCCTACGGTTCCGGCGATGGACGCTGGCGCAGCTACTGGTCCCGCTCCGTAGACGCCGTACTGGGGGTTCGTTATATACCGTTCAGCAAGCAGAGGTTCTCCTGACCGACGCTATAAAATAAGAGGTGGCGCCACTCTATTATTGGCTAAAGTGCTTTTTAAGAGCATGATTGCCTATTAGACGTAACATATAATATAACATTATAGAGACAATAGGCAGCAAAGTTCAGTAAAACAGAAGGACGTGATGTTTCAAATTTTAGATCTTAGTTCTGAAATACATCCAAAGTGGATGAAGTCAGCTTTTTTGCTATTCCCAATTATAGAAAAGGATAATTATATATATTCTTTATTGCAGTTGTAAATTACATAGACAATACAGATAATACAAATAATTTTAAGGCAGAAGTAAATATTTTACGGGGTCGTTACAAGATGGTTATTTACTATGATTGGTCATTGTTTATTGTTTACACAAAAATCATAGCTTCTTATCAAAACAAAACTATTAAATCATAATTTTAATGACAGTTTTATAAATTTAACAATTATAACATTATAGTTCGTTGATCTGTGAGAATAAATTGACTAAAATTTTGTAAATAAGTCTATCTTTAAATACATTAATTATAACAATGCGAACAATAAATAAAATATGATTTTCAATTCATATGATTATTTTAAAAAAATGTCTATATACATATATAATAATAGGAATTTTATAAATTTATTATGATTGTCGTTTCTGACAATGGTCCGTGCGAGACGAGACGCTGTAACGCAAAGCTTTCCCTGAAGAAGACTTCCAGATAAAGTTGAAACAATTGTTGGAAACGACAAAGACAGCAAGTTCATAAAATTCTCATTGTGCATATATATTGACTAATAAAATATGCTCATGAGCATATTTTATTTGTCACCTAGATGTTACCTAGTTCAGGCAATCAGAAGTAAAGTCGATTATTAGAGTGAACAGTTAAACGAATATAAAACTCTACTTGTCCACATTTCGCTGAACATGTTTGAATTCAACATAACAGGGAGCAAGCATACTGCTATCTCACTAAATCTAAACATTTTTAATGATAAAAAGCATAAGTACTTACCGGTGGTGTCTTTCCATCAACAAGGCGAATCCGTCTCCTGAGGTAATATACTGTAATGGTAGCAAACACGATGAGGAGAAGTAATGCTCCTAAGGAAGTGGCAGCCCATAGTGCTCCCGTACCACCGACGAAGCCTACACCCTGCATCGTGGGATCACTCGCTGACGAGTCCGAGTGAAGCTCATTGTTTACTAGTGACTTAGAAATCTGAAAACAGATAAAGATCGTTGTAATCCTTACTTATAATATGAATGTGAAAGTTAATTTATTTTTTTATTTGTTACTTCTTAACACCTTAATAGCTTGAATAATCTGTATAACAGTAATAAAATTTGAAATTTTTAAATATACTCATACTATTTCGGCTAGAGAAAATACTCTTGAGGTAAATATTGGATACTTTAAATCCTAGTAGTCAATTAGCATAGCCCAGACACTCCTCTCATCAATCAATTTGAAGATACAAAATGCTAGAAAATAAAATATCATCTTATTCATAGACGCAGTATAATGTACTCACATACTGACAGATTCGCAATGCAATTACAAAAACTAATCATGAAAATCATTACACTAATGTGCGTATTTTATATGTGACAGATCACAATTTATACAGAATAAAATAGCAAAAATTCACGTATATAGTACCTATAAATTAATTGTTGTTCTTAATTATAATACACAGATTGTATAATAGAAAAAGTCTGAAAAGCTTTAAATTTCAGCTGAAAATTTTAAAAAATTTAAAATAGGTAATTTTGTATTGGAATCGCTATTTCGGATTACTTTTAATAGAGGGTGTTGTTGATAACATTTAAATCCGTGGATGATCAGAACTTTATTTGGATCAAATTAAACTTTCTTTTCTACCAATTCTTGTACAAAATATTTTTGATATTGTCCTATAATGTTGCATTTAAAAAGATAAATGTTTGCAGCGTAATGATGTAAAAAATGCGAAAGATGTTATTATATATATGCATTTTGTGGAATTTTTTTATGCTAATCAATAAGGATAATCTATATCTCGACGTTAGAATCCTTTAGATTCTTGACAGGATAGTCAGAGAGTTAATATAAGAATATCATAGTTCAAAAAGTAATACCTAAGTAGGAACTGATTACATTGAATTTTGTTGTTTGGAGTAATTAATAAGGGGGGCTAGAAATAAGAAATGTAACCCAAATCAGTCATTGTGTGACGAGAACATGATCGAGACGATTTCAATAAAATGTTATGTTTTAATAGGTACCACCTATTGCTTATCATAAAAAATTGGTGGAAATATGTTTTATCAGAATCGGTCAACGAATCATGAGATACAATTTGACCCCTTTGTTTTATTAAGTAGAAATATTTATCTGAGAAATCTTTGTTATTGGGATACACAAAAATTTACTTCACAATCTTGTACAAAGGTTAATATATGTAGTGCGCTTATTGGTAACCGGGGATTTCCCAAAATTTCTAGAATTATAGATAATGAATTCAGAACCAGAAATGCCGCTCAAATAAATGAATATATCTTTAATCATCATCAGTGTCGTAAGAGGCTATTAAGAGAGAATAGGCAGCAGCATTCCTCTTAAAACATCTCCAAAGCCTAACTGCGGTTGCCAATCCGCCTGCCAAGCATGGCAACTAATGGCAAAACCCGAAGGCGGAGGCTTATGTTCAGCAGTGGCTAGTTAAAGACTAATATAAAATGTAAAAAACTTAGATGAATAGAGTAAAATTGTATATTCTATATAATTTTATATAATATAATACGATACGATATTAATTATTAGAGATTTAACTATAATATTTTGGAATAGTTCGAAGTACAGGGTGGCCCATAAGTCCTTAGTAATGAAAATAATTAATTAAAATAAAACTAATTACACTATGAATAATATTTTTATTTGTAAATATAGCTAGAAAAACGGGAATTATTTTTTGTAAATAACGTCGTCCAAATGTAATCCGTTACAGTCACGGCACTCTTGCAAACGCCTTCTGAAATTGTCGATGACTGCGCGGCACGTCACTGCTGAAATGCTTGCCATTTCTCCGCGGATGTTTTCTTTTAGGTCATTAATTGACCGCGGGTTAGAGTCGTACACTTTAGCCTTAAGGTAGCCACACAAAAAAAATCCATTGGAGTCAGATCCGGGCTACGTGGTGGCCAGGAAATGTCTCCTCTCTTAGAGATAACTTTGTTTGGAAAAAGTTGACGGATAACGGGCATAGCAGTATTGGAGGTGTGGGAAGTTGCTCCATCCTGTTGAAACCATGTTCGGGCATTAAAGCCTGGAAAGTTTTGCAATTTTTCTGTGAAAAACTCCTCGATCATGGCCACATATCGCTCCGAAGTAACAGTAACAGCACGCCCTCTGCCGTCCTCAAAAAAGTAAGGCCCTATGATGCCATGGGCTGACATAGCGGCCCAAACTGTAACTTTAGGGCTATGTAAGGGCTTCTGGTGCTTAAGTTTTGGATTAATCGGGATTCAATAGCGGCAATTTTGTTTACTAACATGTCCGTTAATGTGGAAGTGTGCCTCATCAGAGAACATTATGTTATTGAACGAAGTAAACCGATTAAACATTTCATTAGCATAATTCACTCTCTGAATAGCATCAGTTTCTTTTAATTCTTGCACCAACTGAATTTTGTAAGGGTGCATAAGTAAATCTTTCTTCAAAATCCGTTTTAACGATGTCCTGGATACGTTTAATGCACTGGAACGCTTACGAGTTGACTGTGTAGGATTTTCACGAATAGATTGTGCCACTGTGTCGATGTTTTGTTCCGTACGTGATGTCCTTGGGCGACCTAACCGCGGTTTATCTAACGTCGAACCGGTCTCCTCGAACTTAGCAACCCACCAGAGGGAGACTTTGTACAAAAGTCGATTGCTTGGGTACCTCTGTCCCATTCGTGTTTCAACCGTGAAGCAGTTGTGTTTGCATAGCTGTGTTTCGGTTTGAAGGGTGGGATATGGCGTGAATTTACTGGGTACAGAGGAATAACACCTGAGTCCTCAGGAATGGCAACGCATGGGGGGTATCATGGGCGAAACAGTATACTCTGTTATGTCCATGGTACTGCTCATGTCTATAGGCGACGGTTACCACTTTCCATCAGGTGGGCCGTCAGCTTGTTTGCCATTCTAAGTTCTATAAAAAAAAAAAAAAAAAAAAAAAAAAAAAAAAAAAAAAAAAAAAAAAAACCCAATTCTTAATCGTTTGGAGAGCTGGGGTGTCATCAAAGTTGTGTAAACCTTTGTGTTCTCGAAATTTACGCCTCGCAACGGTTGCCGAATTGTTGTTTTGATAACACTCGCGCACACAAAACGTACGGTCCGCTCCGGTGAAACGCTCCATCGCGACTAAATTCCCAGAAACCGAAGTTACTGCCCCCGCTTCCCCTGCACCGCTCACGCGCGCCGGTTTCGTTTAATTCAAATTTTACTTTTCTAAGGACTTTTGGGCCAGTACAGGTAGTTGGGACGTGAGCGCTTAAAAGCGCACTTAACATTGTTTCTTTTTTTTTACAACGCAGGGGGCAAACGAGCATGGGGCTCACCTACTGGTAAGTGACTACCGCCGCCCATGATCACCCATAACACCAGCGGCATTGCAAGTGTGCTGCCGGCCTTTTATTATAGTTGATGGTAAACTTGTATCTAGGTATTTATTATAGACTGCACTTTACATAGGCCCAATTCTTGTAAACGACAAAGTATATTTTGTGTAGGTACCTAATTGTTTTGATAGTCGGGGAACGTCTGGCGCCTCACTTGTCTTGATAAGGATTTTATATTCTTTTAATTATTCAACTTAGAGATAATGGTCATTATTTCGAGAGAAATATGAATTATATGAAATAATATAATTGGTTATTATGTAGGTGATTTATAATTTTATAGGTAAATTTTTGTATCTATAGATAGAGCAATATAGGTACTTTAATTTGTTACGAATAGGGGTTTTCCGCGAATATTATTATTTCCTGTTTCAAATTTCTGCTCTTTTTAGTTTTACGTTGGTAAGTCTTACACAGGTTAAGTCTTTTTATTAGAAGTCTTTCTTAGTGGAAAAAGGACCGCGGAAACTATTTTTAATCAATGTCTTTATATTTAAATACATATTACACTGAATTGCAATATCATTATGCAAAAGTTAATATTTAGATAATAGTTTAGATATTTTTTACACATTTATATAATATATCTTAAGTATAAAACTAAATAAGTATAATTCGTTAGTAAGTTAACAATAAACTTTCTTACCTTTCAACTTTGTTATTAGATAATATAATAATATTAATAAATTGTAAGATTTATTTCAATTATTGCCTACGTACTACATATGTTTTAAGAGAACTTTTTATTATCTGTTAAAATTGTTATTTCTCTATGTATTTGAATACAAAAGCTTGATTACGTTGTAGATATAAAGCGAAAGTAAACAAAGCAATTGCCAATATTTCGGATTAAACCCTAAAATACATTAGGTGGGCACCCTCAATTTAGATGACAACGTTATCAAGGCTGACCTATCATGAATATTTATCAGTTCACTATGGAAAAACACTGATTTCGTTTTCTATTCCGTCCATTTCATCGGACGCGATTCGCAAAATCAATATTTAGGTACTTCTCGATAAAGATGATTAACTCAACGATGACGAGAACTTATATCTAAAAATTTATTATAATTTTTATTTTATATTATAAACACAGACGTATTTAAAGGGGTTCCGTGTGATTATTTGTGTTGTAATTGAGGTATACTCATACAATTTCAATTAATTATTTGACTAATAAAGTTCTGAACTTCTTATATTTTACAGATTTTATCGATCACTTTTAATTTTAGATACCGGGTACTATATTTAATACATGTCCACCTACTTATTTTATATATAGTATCTTAAAATGAAATTTATATTAAACTTGGATAATTACGACCTCTTTAAAGTTTATGGCTTAATTAATACCTAGTAAACGATACGACAAAATTATAAAGATAGGATAGTTTGCTAGATAGTTGATAAAAAATGGTGTAATGAAGATGGATGCGCTTACTTGTGCGGTGGGCGGTGACGCAGCGTATCTCGTGTCTGAGGCGTTCGACGTGCGTGCTAGCGGTGGGATGACGTTGTGAATCGGATTAGGATTCACTGGCACTGCAGACGAAAAAGAAACATAGACTCATTGTTGTTAAAATAAGCACCTATAGAAATTCACATTGTTATTTTTAATTAGCATCCTGTTAAGGATGTATTCCACTAGTAAAATTGAAAAAATTTCCCAATGAAATATCAGTTGAAAAATGATAGATAATTTTGAGCCTCCCATTAAGTATGCAGATATTTAATATGTATATGCTTCTATTCTCACATGTTAGTATGGGAGGCGTAACATTATTTGTCGTTTTTATTTCAACCAATGTTCCTTTGGAAAAAAATACTCAATTTTCTCGTCTCTTATAAAACATAAAACATGCAGTGCGAAAGTCTAAAAGTTAATACAATACTTAATTTTACTAGCAAAACACTCTCTTGAATTAATGCAAATATTTTAGACTTCATATGTATACAAGATATATATTTGAAAAATAAAATTAATGCAGTCTTTCGAAGAAATAGTGATACACGAGTGAGTCCTAAAAATGATTCAGTCTATTGTGATACAGATCCATTTCAAAATATTTAGTTTTGATTTTAAAATAAAGAAAAAACATAAAATTTGAAATATTTGCATTTTGCTCTTAGTCTTTCTGTTATTTATATGTAAAATATAATGAACTTTTGTCCAAGTTTTCTTTATAATTAATTTTTTCCATAACATATTTCAACTCTATGATATACAGTGAGTGTAAAAAGTATTCGTACACCTAGGGTTATAATAAAAAAAATACGAATTTGATAGACTTTCCTCTATTTATTTAATTGAAATCAATACTGTTAAATAGTTTAACATTCCCGCACTTTGTTTATGATAATTTTTGTTTTTTTAAAAAAAAAATTATACAGCATAAAAATATTTTTATGTTAACTAAGCAAATAATGACAAACAAAAAGTATTCGTACATTCATGCTTTTTTAAATGAAATTCTGTATAAATCATTTATTCAATCGAATTTTTCATATGCCTACAATGCCAAGGTCATTTTTAATACGTAGGTATAGATATTAGACGTTTTAGTTGCACTCGTGACAAGTATAGACGTGTTTAGTTACAAAAATGGGTCGTAAAGCAAAAGAAACGAGTGAAGAGGAGAGAAAATAATATATATTTGCATAATCAATGCAAATCATTATGTGAAATTGCAAAATTTGTCAATAGACCACGTTCAACCGTACAGACTGTAATTGATCGGTTTTCTATTACTAAAACACTAAAAAACAAACCCAGAGGTGGGGCGTCCATCAAAAATCACGCCTCGATTGGATCGGAAAATTTTAAATTGTGTAAAAAAAAAATCCAAAAATTAGTGCCCCTCGAGTGTTACAAGAAATTAATAATATCAATGATTGCCATATTTCTGTCAGTACCGTTCGGAACGTATTACGTAGTAACGATTATCATGGAAGAACTGCGCGTAAAAAGTATTGGGTAAATGATATTAATAGAAAAAAAGATTAGAATTCGCAAAAAAATATATTAATGAAAAAATCATTTTTGGCAAACTGTTATTTATTCAGATGAATCGAAATATAATATTTTCAAATCGGATGGGCATCATATGGTATGGAGAAAACCTAATATGGAATATAAGAAAGAAAATTTATGTCCAACGGTAAAACACGGTGGTGGGTCAGTATTTGTATGGGGTTGCATGATTGTTTTTGGGGTGGGAAAACTTGCATTTATTGATGGAATTAGGGATCACAAAGCGTATATTAATATTTTAAAAGAGAATCGTCTCTCTAGTGCAGCTCAAATGGGTTTTAACAATAATTGGATATTTTTACAAGATAATGACCCTTAACATAAAGCATGGAGTACTAAAGCATGGATCCTGTTTAACGCTTTAAAATACCTAGAGATTCCTCCTCAATTACCTGATATTAATATTATAGAGCATGTGTGGGATTATCTCGATAATAAAATTCGAAATCGACCAATTTCGAGTAAAGAAACACTAAAAATTGCACTTCGCGAAGAATGGGCATTGATACCGTCTTCTTATATTTTCAAACTAGTTGATTCGATGCCGCAGAGACTCCAAGCTATCATCAATGCTAACGGTGGTCCAACAAAGTATTAATATTTTTTTAATATTCATTTACTTACAAATTTTATAAGTGTACGAATACTTTTTGTTTGTCATTATTTGCTTAACGTAAAAATATTTTTATGTTGTATAATTTTTTTATTAAAAAACAAAAATTATCATAAACAAAGTGCGGGAATGTTAAAATATTTAATAGTATTGATTTAAATTAGATAAATAAAAGAAAGTCTATCAAATTCGTATTTTTTTTATTACAACCTTAGGTGTACGAATACTTTCTACACTCACTGTAGGTATAAATAAGCAAGATAAATAAGCTAGCAGTGGAGTATAATAGCAGTTGAGAAGTTTTTCTTATAATGACGACCTGAAATCACACCGTCCTGAGCGAACATAGAGACAACATGGTTCATGAATATGGTCAATCAAAAAGAGAATGTTTTACACTTAACGGTTAGCAGCACTATGCCGGTTAAAGTAACAAAGTGCATTTTCAAGCAAAGTTTTAAGTTGTTTATAATTTTAAATTACCTGTACTCCTCGGGCATTTGTAGTTGACAGTGGGCTTCCCATTTGAAGTACACAGACAAAAATGTTGTGTGTTGTTGTTGTACGGCTTACACGCTACTTCCTCGATCTCGCCACATGAGTGATCGTCGCATGCCCCGTTGAAATATGTTACTGGAGCAAAAATAAGATAATTTTATTGTTAAAAATTTCCATTGTCCATCAAATTGATTCCAAAACTATACGGGCTTTTTCGATCTATTTACATGTAAGTTAAATTGGTAGTTATTAAATTATAATAATAAGGTGTTACCTACATTGATATTGTTGCTTGAAAACCATGATGGTTGGTATGCATTTAATGTAGGAAATTTCATGACCTTCATTCAATTTAAAGGTTTGAAATTGTGAGAAAAAAATAATTAAATATTGCCGAGGCTACGCTAGTTTCCATTGCTAGCAATTAACCTGTTAGACTAAACACCATGTTTCGTCACAATGGGTCGATTGATTTTACATCCTCACCAATCTACTCTCACGATTAGGTAGGTGTCCTGATTTATGCAGTCAAGATGTCTTTTTTTATACAATTTAGAATGGCAAACAAGCTGACGGCTCACCTGATGGAAAGTCGTTACCGTCGCCTATAGACATGAGCAGTGCTATAGACATAACAGAGTATACTGTTTCGCCCATGATTCCCCCCATGCGTTGCCATTCCAGAGGACTTAGGTGTTATTCCTCTGTACCCTGTAAATTCACGCCATACAAACGACGACGACGACGAAACACAGCCATGCAAACACAACTGCTTCACGGTAGAAACATGAATGGGACAAAGGTACCCAAACAATCGACTTTTGTACAAAGTCTTCCTTTGGTAAAAGTGGTCTAGTGATGTGACTATACTATACATATTTGTTTAGTATGTATGCATACTAGTAATATATAAACCTGATAGCGCAGGTAGCATCTTTTATGACATAAGGGCAAACGAGCATGCGGCTTCGCTGATGGTAAATAATTACCGTCGTTCATAGGCCGCCCGCGCAACATCAAAGATATTGCCGTTGGGATAGTCGGTTTTTAAAGAAGGAATATGCTCTTTTTTTGAAGGTTCAATGATGCAAATAATAAAGTGATCTGTTCGGAAATACTACTGTTGGAAGTTGGTTTCATACTTATTTTGGGTGTAGAAGAAAATGTCTATAGAAACGCACTGTGGAGGGCCGTTACTCATCCTAATGGTTGGAATTATTTAATTAATTAATAATTATTTAATTTAGAGGAATAACACTCGAGTCCTCAGGGATGGCAACGCATGAGGGGTATCACGGATGAAACAGTATACTCTGTTATGTTCATGGTACTGCCCATGTCTATAGGCGACGGTTACCACTTTCCATCAGGTGGGCCGTCAGCTTGTTACCCATTCTAAGTTGTATAAAAAAAAAATTAAATTTTAGTTCGAGGCAGGTTGTACGAGGATAAAATTTAGCAGCTGACATTAACTAGTTAGTATCATCATAAAAAATATTCCGAAATTTAAATCTGGCTGGAGATCTAAGGTTTTTAAATTAAGATATATATAAATACATATGTATGTACTTATATAGATTACGTTCAATAGTTTTCGATATCAGATTATTCCAGAATCGTAATATGTAATAAATAAAAAACTTTACTTACTTGGCGTTTCTTCGTCTTCCAATTTTTTATCTTCTCTCCCTCTTGCCATTTTGCCTGCATTATCCCGAAGTCTCTGTAATAAAAATATAATAATGTTTAAAATTTATATACATACCGTATAAATAAGTACGTGTGTATATATAAACATTTATTTACTTATTTAGACTTTAATGCACAGTAAAGTTCTATGTACATTTTGGACTTAACACCGGACGGCGTTCAATACCAGACAACCATTAGGCAAGCCGAGTAATAAGTAGGCGGTGTATTATTAAATATAGGAAAATGTATAGGCTGAAAATATATGTGTATATATTTTTAGTCAACCCATCGGTTTCAGTGCTCTTAGGGATATTTTAATTATCTCTATATTTTACATAAAAAAGAAGAAAGAGTAACAAACAACTAAAAAGAATAGCGTACAAAATTCTTAGCGAAAATAATCGAGCAATGGAAGCATTTGTTATCTACACTATTATTGTCCTTTTAGTTTACATATTAATATTTTTACTAAATGTAAAAACAAAAACTGTAGGAGTAAAGAAAAGAACGAGCATTTAATCGCTTTATTTGAATCCACCTTTATATGTGTTTACTCAAAATCACAAGTAATGGAAAATACCTCTCAGAAGACACAGTCATGGAATAATAGTCGTGTATTCCCACATTAAACCTTCGGTTCTTGGTTGCACGTTGCCCATAGTAAACAGTTTCAGCAAGTCATTAGTGGTAATTATAATAAGTACCTACTTTACTCATGCATATTGATATTAAGCATGTGCCTTTTAATTAGCACATTGATAATCGTCCGCTGTATCGGATATCGTCCTCCCGACATTTCTAACGTTTCATCCTTAGATCGTTATCCCTTAAGATAGAGCATTGAGTATCAAAAAATACGAGTCAAAAAAGATCAAAAGTAACAATGCAATTTCAATGATTCTGGCAATGAATATATTACATAACCAGTGAAAACAATAGTTTTGTTATGCTCAATCTAACCCATTCAGTCCAATATAGATGAGAATTTTGTATAGTTTGTAATTTTTTAATTTTAATTTACAATATACACTTCTTCTATTTTCTGAGAAACAACTACATTATCTGTTTTAATAGAACTTAATAAAAATATAAACAAACGAATGATTGATTTACCTAAAAGACAATCTACTGATGTCCAATAGTAGTATATATAAGAAATCAATTAATTGATTGAATGTTATATTGTTTGTTGAATGTTAAGACCACGGGGTTTCGGCATAGAATAGGCCACCTCTTCCTTTCCCGTGGGTGTCGTAAGAGGCGACTAATGGAGGGCAAGGGATAAGCAGCAGCATCCCTCTTAAAATATATCCCAAAGCCTAATTGCAGTTGCCAATCCGCCTTCCAAGCATGGCTACAACTGGCAAAATTCCCTAAGGAGGAGGCTTGTGTTCGGCAGTGGACAGTTAAAGGCTGATATGATGATGATTATGATGAATGTCATTAAAAAAGATGATAATTTTCACAAAAATTGGCTAAATTAAGTTTAATAAAACAAATTGTATTGTATATCTTGGTACCTATTTATGCATATAAGAGTAAAAGAGCTAATCAGTTTTTTATTTAAACTGATCATTTAGTGGTATCCATACTCAAAATCATAATACGATCTAAAATTTTATTGTTAAGTAGGATTATTGTTTCTGATAATCAAACGATCGATTTAAATGTAGCTCTTATACTTATAGTGTTATATAAGTGGTCAATAATAAAATAAAAATAAGACATTTGGGCGTACGTTATCTGTTGGAACGTTTGAGATGCTTGCCGTGGAGCTATTTTGGCTACCTTATCGTGAAGAGTGGCCGCGCTCTGCCGTGGCCCGGGGTTACGTTACGATAAATCAATAATATCATTATACCTAAGTGAATTATTGATATAAATTCAACATTTATATCATAAACGTCAATAATAACAAACATCTACACAATGATGCCACTGCGCAATGATCGAGACTGATCAACTACGAGGGAGAAGTTTCTATAATTAATTACATAATAGGTTAAGAATTAAAAAAAAAATATTGATAACGTATCTATAAACATAATTTATTTATACAAATTGTAAGCTTAATAAAATATATATTTAAAATTAGTGAAATAATTTGATCAATTCTAATATCTTTTATAAAAATTTTAAAATATGTAACTCGCTTAGAAATTGTATCTGGGTTCAACAAACTAGGGCCTCTAGTAGGTATGGAAATGCCCAACGTCGCTTCTGTATCCGTTGCCAATTTCACTGAGCTACGTTTGAGGACAATGGAATGAGAATGAACAGTTGTTTGCTCTCCTGCAATCTAATTGAACTTTGTCATACCCATTAAACTTGCATAACCGTTACACGTGCGCGAATGGTCCTGCAAAATACTCCTGCAAAATAAATAGAAGAGGCTTTATTTTGTTTGAGAATTACAAATCATGTAAATATAACGGATGAAATTAAGTTAGGGTAGTAAGCTACTAGGTCACAGTCTGTAGAAGATACAGAGGGTACCCATATCTAGGATAGTACGGATTGGCAGAGGCATAATTTATAATAGACAATTCATATAATTGCGAGATTAACCTCCTGAGGAGTTAATAAATTTCCAACTGGTTGGCTTAGAACCTACAATAAATTTATATAAAAGGAAGAAGTAAATTTAATTCTGATTTATTCTGACTTGAAATATGGCAATTATAAATTAATAATTTTTGAGTGATTAATAAAAAAATCCAAAAAATTTTTATCTAATCTTGAATTATTTATACTATAATCATGCCTTCACGAAAGCAAAATTGTTTAAAAAGTCAGACAGAATAAAATACAACACCTTATGTTTTATACCTATTGAGTATTTTATTTTGGAAATTCAAGTTTAATCTGTGTATTTTTACTACTAGTTTTAATTATCTGAAACCAAAAACACAAAAAGATAAATATTGCCACAACATGGTTCGATTGGTTATAAAAGGTTGCCCAAACAAACAAACAACCTATAATACAATTCAAATTTGAATTAAATCATCATAAAACAGGTTTCCCGACCATTATTTTATTGCGTACCTATCTTTTTATGGACAATTCAATTTGTAAATGAACTTAGGCGCTCGTGAACACCAATCAAGTGGCGCTGTTACTCAAATATAAACCGTAAATATTTATAGTTCCATTATGAACACGATAATACGGATTTACGATCGGATATTGTACGGGGCGTGTAACAATATCCATATTCTTGGATTGCAGAGTATTGCACAATCAGTGAGCATTCGTCTAACGGGAACCTTTGTTAACGAGCTTTTCATTGCGTTTGTGACTACATTGAAATGTGATTGATACGAGGCCTCCCGATCACGACACGGGTCGGTCAACGCTGCAGCGCTGCAGTGTTCGGACTCAATAATACCGTAGGCGACGTCCACGACTTATAGGGAATCGAGATCTCTTTTAAAATTATCGCTCGGATCGATGCTTAAGGAATGGAATGTTTACAGATACGTATACAAAGCTGCATACCGAGCTTATCCTCAATGTGCTTATTTTACAAGGATTGATTATTTATTTGTAATAATTGTTTATGATGAGAAATAAGAGGAAATAAGATTCAAAATGCTTAAGGTTTACATGTATTATAAAACAACATTACATTGCAGAATTTCAATTTCAGGATTAAGATTGCTATTAACAAGGAACGTGCCACTTGCACGTTTTTAAATCAACTCATAATAAAACCAACTTGTAAAAATAAAAAATAAGATATCATCTCCTTGAGATGGTGGTAGAGGGGATGAAAATATATTGATTTAGTTTGCATTTCAAATAATATACACAGTCAAGAGTTAAGGTGTTTACAGAATTACTTGGTGAATAGTGTGAGAAATTGAAGGTGTATGTAATACTTTCTTATCAAATAAATATTACATGTAGTACCTAAGCTATAAGCTGAAAAAAATATGATGAGGCGTCATTACTTGTTTTTATTTGAATTAAATTAGACTAATAAAGTTTAGAATATTATATTTAAATAAGACTAAACTGTAAAAATTAGAAAATATAGAAAGGACGTAGTAGAAAGGAGGCGTTTTGTTGACAATTTCTGTCGTGAAGAACTTACCACTTGTATAGAAAAACTTGTTATCTGAATCAGTAAACAAATATACTTACTATAATATTAAATCTATCTATTAATTGATGTAAGTCTGCAATTATTGCGGATAATAAAGCTCAAGTTATTTTGTAACCATACTCTTTAGGTACCTATGTAATTATTTAAATATGTTGAAATTAATAATATATTAAGATAATTATATTTAAATAGCTTTATTGTTTCCTCTAAAAGATTATATATATTTAATATATAAAAGTCAAATATAAAGTGTACATCAACTATTATTCTTACCATATGTAGCAGCTTCTTACTATTATGTGAATTCTAAACATACACAAATATTACTAGACAGTAGGCCATAAATAAATATATGTTTTGAATTCACTTTGGTTCCAGATTAGTTAAATTTAGGATCGTTTTTAATTTACAATGAAATTTTTCGTGTTCGTGAGAATATTTAAATAGTCCTAACGTCGCCGTTCGCGTTTCTAAATTCGTTTTTGTTTATGTATGATACCTACATAATAAAAGAAATTCTAGAGTCGCAAAGTTTGTATCAGTAATAAAATTGAAATATTTATCATTGACTATGTTTTTTTTTATTTTTTTATACAATTATGGTAATAATATGTCTTTTTTATGATATTTAAATGTTTGTAAGTGTGTAAATTCTACAATCACCATCATTATCATATCAGCCACCACCTGTCCACTGCTGAACATAGGCCTCCTTCTACTGGGAGGGTTTGCCAATAGTTAGCACGCTTGGCAGGCGGGTTGGCAATCGCCGTTAGGTTTTAGTGATGTTTTAGGAAGGAAGCTGCTACCCATTCCTCGACCTTTAAGTTCCCTTAATTGCCACTTACGACAACTATGCAAAAGGAAGGGATTGCCCATTCTATACCGGGGCCACACGGCAAAGTTCAGTGGTTTTATAATACAATTTCAAAATAAAATTATTATTTTGAAAACGTATTAAACAACTATGGGTCAATCCATTGGCAAATTATAGATTAGATTCAAAATATTCATTTTCCTAAACCAATACAAATGTTGATATATAATATAGTGATCTTAGAATTTGTTATCAATTATATTTAAAAAAAATCCAAAATTAAATAAACTAGGTATATTCTATAATGAATTTAAATATAAAACTTTACACTAGCATTTTTCAGTACGTACGATGTGAATGTTTACATTTACATTGATCGTTATAATGTGAATACGATTACAATAGGTACTTTGGGGCATAAGAGCACCCACGTGACGTTACTGTGATAGATTACAGCTTAGATAAATGTCTATAGCCCGAAGATATATTGGCGCCTGTAACACCAAAACAATACTCCGAATTACAAAGTTATTGTTAACTGTTTGCATCATCGACACCTATACATTTCAATATTTAGTTGTTACGTACATATATCGATTCATTAGAAACAGTATTCATGATTCTGTCGATATTAATCACAAAGCATTTTATATTATTTGACAATAGACAACCTCATAATAGATCCCTACTGTGTATATATGTAAATCAAATTTGTAGATTTTTCTATGTAAAACATTCTAGGTATCTTCATACTCGCATATTCAAAATAATGTGAATAATATGGGCATACACTTAAATACTCAACCAATCAATCAATAAAATTTTTTCCCTATAGGAAACTACATTATCAGCGAATAATATAGGTTATATATTATTCTCAAAAAAGTTAGGGATCCCTACGAAAATTACAATAATATAATTCAAAGTATATAAAATAGTATTATTATAAAGCTAATATAAAATACTAATTTAACTTCTTTCTATTTACCCGTGTAAAACCGGATCGGCTCGCTAGTTAAAAATAAATAATGTTTAGAAACATAAAATTACAAATAAATATTATTACACTAATTAAAGAATATTTAGTCATTTAGAATTTTGTTAAACACTTTAAATAAACAGTGTTTTAATCGTGTTTTTAGTAAGACCGTAAATGTTTGAATAAAGTATTATTTAATGAATTTTCTTTGCTGTTTGATTTGATATCTTTCTCAAAAAATTTATTCTTGAGAAATAAGGTGTTAATCATAACACAACTGTGAACGAAGACACGGGATATAGCTAGTATATAATATATAAATAGTTATAAAAAACTGCGAACTAATTAAGGCGCGGCATGTTTTTCGAAGAAATAACTTGTTATATTTAAATAAAACTTATTTAATTGCAAACATATTTATTAACATCAAGAGAGTGAACAAAGGTGAGAAAGCAACCGGAAAATCCGCTAGTACATACATGTTAACTAATGTCATCTGTCAATTAAGATGCGTTCCTTTATACATATTTAAACTAGGTACGTTCATCTTACACCTCCCCCTTCAACTTTAAAACAAAACTTTTACAATCAATTACAAAATAAAAAACATTTTACAAAATTACATTATAAATTGAGTCTATCTCTAGGTTTTATAATTCTTCCACTGCGAGTGTGACATGCTTTATGAGGGACATTTGCTTGGTTACTATTTTCAGATACAATATTTGGCACATTATTACTAACTTTGTCATTTAAAGAATAATCAAAAAAATCTCTCTTAAAACTATGTGTGTTTGTGTTTGACCTCTTAATGTGATGAGAAGTGCGCCTAAAGGGCTTACAATTTTCTCCTCTACTGATCCAATATGATCTAGGTTCTTTAGACTTCTTAATAACAACTCCTTTTTTCCAATAACTATCATGACCTGTCCTATAAGTTACATTTTCTCCTTCCTTAAAATTTGTTTCACCCTTCCTTATAAATCTATCATGAATTTTTTTAGTTATAGATTGTTTCACAGTTAACAATTTATGAATATTTTTCTCTATTTTAGGTTCTAACATGCTTTCTGTAATAGGTACACAAGTTCTCAACTGTCTACTCTGTAATATTTGAGATGGTGATACTTCTAAACTAGATAAAGGTGTACAGTTATAACTTAATAGAAAATCTCTATAATCTACATTATCCTCCCTCGCTTTCTTTAATAGATTTTTAGCAATATTTACTGCCTTTTCTGACATGCCGTTACTTCTAGGATAGTGAGGGCTACTGGTAGTGATACAAATATCTTTAGATTTATAATACTGAATACATTCATAAGATTTAAATGGATTGTTATCTGCTATAATTTCAGTAGGGTAACCAAACCTTGTAAATACTTCCTGAAAAGCATTTATAACAGACTTTGAACTTTTATTTATTATTGGTATAATTTCCAACCAATGTGATAGATAATCCACA